TAGGAAACAAATATCATGCATGCTACGATTGCAAAGTACCTCTGAACCTTACCAACGCCGAAGACTGAGAGGTCTTCGCCCAAAGTTTAAGGATTCATTGCATCATGGCCAAATTCATCGACGCCTATGGATTGCCATGGGGCGTATCTAGCATTTGGCCAAATCCAGAAAGGCCTTGTCAAACATGAATTACAGCAGTGTGTTCACCTTTGGTACAGGGCTTATGAGACGTCTGGCTATTTGCAAGGTCGATACCGCGATGGGGTCCTGGTGTTGATGATATCACATATAGGCCATTTTCTGTCGTATTTATCATATAAGTCAAACCCCCCACTTCCTGGCACCCCCCTGTTTCTGGCACCCACAAAAACGATGGGATCACAACCCAACCTCCTCATTACTATTAACTATTGATCCTCAACCACACCCACTACAATACAACTGCCAGCCTCACTAGGGCATTCAGAGTCGCTGGATTCAGCCGTAATAACCTCCTTTTCACCCGCTTCGATTTGAGCCCGATGGATATCCCTGATGTTCGCAAACTTCGTGTTGGGATCGATCTGAACAGTCTTCCTCTTCCTAACTGCAGCGTTGGTAACTTGAGCCCTCAGGTGAGCCAGCTGCTGCTGGGCAGCCAGTTGCCAGGCCTGCTCTGAAGCCTTTTTCACCTTCCTGAACAGCAGCCGTTGAGTGCTGGTATCATTGTCGAGTTGGGTGTATAGTGCAGTTGACCGCTGAGCTCTGCCAGCTTCCTGGGTGTCGACCAGACCACTGCAGAGGAAGCAGAATCCCATGGCTCAACAGGGGTAGTTTGTTGACCATTATGGCATCGCTTTTGCCCCGACTGGTTGGTTTGGGTGTGGTGGCTTAGCAGAAGGCTCAGGTAATACCATAGGGTTCATCAGGGGCTTAACCATCGCTACAGGGTGTAGACCAGTCCACTTCCAACCACTTCTGATGTTCGAGACTGATAGACCAGCAAGTCGAGCCTTCTGGTAACAGTCCAGGAAGTTCCTTTTACCTATAATGGTAGAGTCGTTCCATTGAGACAAGTAACCGAGCTCCTTCCGATAGGCTGACTTAACAGGGCTGAAGACAGACTGGTCAAGTGGCTGGAGGACATGAGAGGAGTGTGGTGGTAAGAACAGTAAATGGATATTGTTAATATAGCAATTCCACATGAAGTCTGTCGTCGTATGACTCATGCCCATCCACAATCAACAGTCGAGCCTCGCCCTCAGCCTCGGGCATAGTCTGTGGGATAAACACCTTCTCTAACCATTCAATGGCAGTTAAGTCTGTAGTCCAGCCATTATCTGTTGCTGTAAACTCCCACCCATCGTATGGAACCAGATGTAATGGAAACCACTGTTGTTGGACCGTCTTCCCTTGAAAATGATAAGAGGACGAAGTGCCCTACCCAAGGCTGAGATACACTCAATGATAGAGACCCATGCCCTCGACCCAGGTTGTTTCTTGCGAACAGACGTCGTCTCAGCCATGCCCAGCACTAACCCATTAGCTCCTGACCCTCGAGGATGCCAGTCTCATCCATATTATATCTGTTGGCTGGTTTGATGTCCTTGATCTCAGGGATAGCAAGGAACTTAAACCAGTAATGACCTCAGTAGATGCCCCATTAACGCGTCTAGAATCGATGGAACGACTTCTCTGAACCTTAATGATAGGGTTCCTTCTCACGAAGGCATAGATCCAGCCTTTTCCTAATGGTTTGGTATCCCCAGCAGCAGCCAGAACTCGCTCTGCGAATTCCTTCACCTGTTGGTGTGTTGGTGCGAGGCCCAGCGAAGCCTGAATGCGAACCCATTGTGCCAGCTTACTCTCCTGGTCAGGAGACAGCCTCTGCCAGTCAGCAAAAGCCACTTTCCTAGTCTGACCACCTTGGAGACGTAGTTGGAGGGTTGATCGTGGTATCCCATACTCCAATGAGGCTCTCTTTTGACTCTTGCCGTTTGAGATGTCCTCGAGAGCCTGACGAAGCTGATCTTCGGTATATTGAGGCATTAGATATAGAAGAAGGTATGTGCAAAAAATGAGCCCATTTGGACTCGAATTGAAAATGTTGTGATAAAAGGAGGTTGGGGGTGGGCATTGCGTTGTGGTGGATTTTCGCGTTTTTGTGGGTGCCAGAAACAGGGGGGTGCCGGGAAGTGGGGGGTTTGACTTACTATGCTCCTATTGGAAGTTGTACCTACCAACCTCACGGAATGACTTGCAAGTACCTATGCGGCACTGCACGACGTTTTAAATAACGCAACGAGAGATCCCAGTGCAGCCAAATACTCGCGGCAACTTGATGTAACAATTGTACCACTTTTGAACAAATGAAGGGCTCGAATTTAGTTGAAATTCATGGGTATATAGAAGCGCTGAGTCTGCCCTTACACAGCGAGGCCAGCTTCTGTTCCAATTTCCTAAAGGTAAACAGCGGACTGCCAAGCACCTGTGCCTCAATCATCAACAGAAATGCGGAAGCTCAATAGCGCAAGCATTTGGTAGAGATCTTGCATTGTAGGAAAGATATATTAAGGCAGTCAGTCTCGGGTTTGTATCACTATTATGTGCCCTTTTTGTTTGCTACTTCCACATAAGGAATAGCCTCTCTTGTAGAGCACGTTGGGACCTAGAAAATGAATCCCTCACATCTAGCCTATACGCCGAGAACTTCTTTACTTGATAAATCGATCGGAGTTTTACTCTATCTGTGAAATGTGAAGTGCTGAGTATTACTCATTCGGAGTTGGAGCTCCATGACAATGTTGGCTTCATAGTGCTTCTTGTAACGACGAATCTAACGTGCTTGAAAGGCAGTAGGTTGTATAGAGATACTACATTGCAGGCTTTCCTGGTGCACGTTAAACTATTTACTCAGAAACTAATGAAGTATCTGATATTTCGACTATGTAGCCGTCGTTGTCAACTTAGTAGTTATCGCACCTAGCAATTATCATGAATTACAACTAATTCTGAATCACTCTCAATTTAGCTTCAGTAATGTGTAATATTTGATGTTTAATCTGGCGTTGCTTTTTTTTTTTGAGTGATAAATTAGAAGAAGACGGTTTTCCTACTTCTTTAGTGTCGTATCGTATTTTCCTGTAAGCATTGAAGTGACTCTATTGGAAGTCAGCTGGTGATAGAAGTAGTGCTTTTCTACCTATTTAAAGTAAGACCTAGTCGAAAGGGGTAAGATGATTCGAACCTGATTCAGGTACAGGATCATGCTCGCTAGCGGCTCAAGTTTAACGTTCGCGACCTAGGTAATATAATCCAAATGAACTCAGGAGCAATGCTTTCGAGTTCGCTCAAGGCCACAAACGGTGTATCCACCCACCATTATCACGAACATTGAGTTCATAGGCCACCTGATCGGCACCTTCCCCAGATTGTCTCCGAATTAAGTTTGACTTTTTGAAGTGGAGGGAGATCGTAAATGTCCGGTCACTCGGTTAAGCGTGCATTCGGCCGAATTCCTATGGCGTGCTGCCAAGGCCCCGCCAGTCGCTTCCCTGCTCCTGCATCGGAGGCTGCGGCCCATGCCGCCCGCTCTCAGCCTCAATCTCTTGGCTCGGGGAAAATTCCGGCTGATAGAAGATCAGTAATTTGAGAAGTTGGTAAAGTGCAGATTATTCTAGTCGATCTTCAAATAGCATTCATTGTGATCGAATAATTGTCATACATGGTAAAGTCTTCTCATCAAAGCTAGACAATCCCGACATACCCGACAGAGAAACCAGTGTGCTGGAGGGATTTTTGTGTCTCCAAAATGCCGAAATTTTGTCAGTAATCCTACATGAAATATACCTGAAAGCCGCTTCTTGCAACATCGTACACTTCTGATTCGTCGCGATATGTAGCAACAGCGAAGAATAACCCAGTTTCCACAAAAATGGCCGGAAATCGGAAAGAGTAAGCCACAAAATAGGTTTGAGAGTCGAGCAGACCCATCGCACGTGCGATCCATGGGCCATCCTCCCCAGCCCCAAAGACGTTCCCGCCTGGGCAGATTTCCTCAAGCATCCAGACCTTGTATTCGCTTTGACCTGTCTGGCTCAGTAATGAGCACAATTTTCCTATCATTCTTTGCGCGTGGCCTTGCTTTTCTAAGGTCCACTAGACACGTGTTTCTGATTAGGTTGCCTTCGAGCCTCAATGCAATGAGATTTGAACATTGACCCACTCGTGGAGACTGGAGAAAATTTTGCAAGGTGTGGTAAATAAGAGAGAAACTGCCAAAGCAAGCGAGAGCGAGAGCTTCAAAAGCCCCTCGCATATAAGAATGCGCCTCCCGTCGCAGAGTATCACAAAAGAGCCATGCATTTGACACACCTGAATGTCGCCTGATAAATATGCGTGATGTCAGCAGAGATAGTGGGAAGGTGACACTGGTGTATGCTCATGTTGGCTCAATCTCACAAATGCGGTCGAACTAACGCCCGGCTCAACGGCAAGAAAGTAAGACAGACAACGCACAGCTGCAAATCATTTCCAGCGAGGGAAGGTTACAGAAGATTTCCGTTGACAAACGATCCGGTTCCTGCAGCTAGCGGTAGCTTCCTCAGCAGCTGCATGATTCAGTCTTATCCGTGGACTATCGTTTGCGGAGTAACGTTGTAGAACCCCCAAACCCCAGATTCAAGGCCCTTTTGTTGATGGACCTCGGTATGGGCAGCATGAACTAATATCGTCAACGAGGTCAAAGGCCAATAGGAAAGCCATATTTATGGCCGCTTTATTCCCCTTAACCTCGCTTGGCGCCACCCGTTCGGGCCTTTTGCCAAGAGGGCCACTTATTTTCTCGTATGTCGACCGATGTGTCCGTTATTATCAATCAAAAAGATCGGCTCACTCGGCCGAGTGGAGTCCGGCAGGTGGTTCGGCCATCGGCTTGTGGCGTGTGGTTGCAAAAGTTCCTGGGGCGACGTTCCCGACTCGGGCAAGACTTTTCTAGTGGAAACAGAAGACATCGAAACATGGGCCGCGGGCGGCGAACACCTCGGAGTCGTCCGACACCGAGGGTAAGGGCATGCATCTAGTGGTGATACTAAGGTGTCTCCATTGCTCCCCACCAGGCCAGGCTTTTGGAACTTTTCTCGAAAATTTCTTCCTCTTCTCCCTCTCTTTTCCTTTTCCCTTGGTTCAGCTACTCTATCGGGCCTGTCTTGAGATATCGATTGCGTAAAAATGGCCCAGAACCACGAGGACACGGCCGCAGAGTACGTAACAATGCGCATATCGTCGGTCTAACATCAAGAAGATCTGGCACTGACAACTCGTATTCGCAGGCTCCATGAGACGTTGGGTGAGCGCTTGCCCAACAAGGAGACGACTGATCTCGCGGGAGGCTACATCACGCCAGCCGACCCCGAGAAGAAGTTCTCAAGCACCGCCGACTCAGAATCGGGACCTACGCCTGATGGTGCTGAGCCCAATGAGTTTGAGAAGGGATCCCTGCGTCGTGTTGGAGAGAACCTCCCCGCTTCAGCCTTCCTCATTGCTGTTGTCGAGCTCACGGAGCGATTCACCTACTATGGTGCCCAGGGTCTCTTCCAAAACTACATCAACAATGACCCCAATGGAGCCGACGGCCCTAAGGGTCTTGGAATGGGTCACCAGGCCGCAACTGGTCTGAACTTGTTCTTCCAATGGTTCTGCTATGGTATGACATCACTGTCCGCTTCACTCTTTACTATCGATCAGTATGGTTCCACTAACACAAGTGTTCAGTGACTCCAATCCTTGGTGCCATCATTGCCGACCAGTACTTGGGCAAGTACAAGACCATCTTGGTCTTCTGTGCCTTCTACTGGGTTGGTCTTGTCATCCTTTGGACGACCTCCCTGCCAGCAGCCATGGCCAATGGCGCTGGCATCCCCGGTTACATTGTTGCCATTATTGTTATTGGTCTCGGAACGGGAGGTATCAAGAGTAACATCGCTCCCTTGATCGCCGATCAGTACCAGCGTCGCGTTATGGCTATCAAGACCGAGTCAAACGGCGAGAGAGTCATCATCGATCCTGCCATCACATACCAGCGCATCTACATGATCTTTTATTGGTGCATCAACCTGGGTTCTCTGTCTCTCATGGCAACTCCCTTCATGGAGAAGTACAAGGGTTTCTGGACCGCCTACCTGATGTGTTTCTGCGTCTTCAACATTGGTATCGCAACATTGGTGCTTCGTCGCAAGACTTTCGTCAACCGCCCGCCGCAGGGATCCGTCATTACCGATGCGTTCAAGGCCCTTGGCATGATGATTGCAGCCCGCAACATGGATGCCGCTAAGCCCTCTTGGCGTGCGGAGCACGGCAAGGAGAAGCCTGTCCCCTGGAACGACCACTTCGTCGAGGAGCTCAAGCGTGCTCTGAGAGCCTGCAAGGTCTTTGTCTTCTGTAAGTCCATATATTCCTGGCTATGTTTGGCACAAGACAGATGATTGGAATTCGCGCTGACATGATTACTAGACCCCATCTTCTGGGTTTGTTATGGCCAGTTCTCGACCAACTTCGTCACCCAAGCTGGACAGATGGAGGGACACGGCATGCCGAACGATTTCATGCAAAACTTCGACCCCATCTCGATTCTCATCTTCACCCCGATCCTCGAGAAGCTTGTCTACCCACTCCTCCGCAAGGCCGGCATCGAGCTCAAGCCCATCATGCGTATCACCATTGGTTTCTGGCTCGGCGCCATCTGCCTGGCCTACGCAGCCATCGTGCAGCACCTTATTTACAGCGCCGGCCCCTGCTACGAGGCTCCCGGCGAGTGCCCCGAAGGAATGAGCGGAGGCTCATCGCTCCCCAACCACGTCCACATCGCCGTTCAGACGCCTGCCTACATCTTCATCGGATTGTCCGAGATTTTCATCTCCGTTACCGGCCTGGAGTACGCTTACACCAAGGCCCCGCCTAACATGAAGTCCTTTGTCCAGAGTATCTACCTCTTCACCAACGCTTTCGGCTCTGCTATCTCCGAGGCCTTGGTGTCCGTCGCAGTCGACCCCAAGTTCTTGTGGATGTACACCGGTGTTGCATGCTCATCTGCTGTTGTGGGATGCATCTTCTACTTCACCTTCCGCCACTACGATGCTGAGGAGGACAAGATGTATGAGTTGGACCGCGATCAGCCGGTTCTGAACAACCAGGGAGTCAAGGAAGCCGAACATGACGATTAATTTCTATATGCAAAGAAGAAGGGGCGACAACTGTTACACGCGTGATGTTGTCGCTCTTTCAGCCGTGAGAGATGGTCATGTGGAATGCTCATGTATTGATATTATGAAAAGTCAAGATGTATGATGATGGGTGAGCATGGTTTGAGCAACCATGAACAGTATATAAGCTTAATAGAATACCCCAATACCTACAGAGTACCTGTGTCGAAACCATTAGACTTGGAGACCTGATCGATGCCTTGGAGCTTTGTGCATCAGAGGGAAGGAAGTGAGTCGCTCAACTTCGGGCCTTCGGCTTGCGAAAGCTGCCTTTGGACATAATGAAGCTCCGACTGAGTTGGGCTTTGCTGACTGCGAGTTCGAGGTCATACCATAAGCAAGTTTTATGAAAGTACAGAAGCCTCACTCTGTTACAACAAAAAACCTAAGTACCAACTTACTAGCTGGATATCTCAATCTGAGTCCTCTGAGAAGTTGGATACATTGAACAGGAGAATCTAACTCCGCGTTTTCAGCACTGCTCAAATACGGCTAGGTAATTCGATAGGTTTCATCATCTGAAGAAATGGTTCTTTGACCTTCTGTCTCGTTTGACGTCACGTTAGGAAGATGGTGGTGATGAGTTGACTTTGATGACATCATGACATCAACCACCTCACTAACTCAACTGTGGCTTGCCCAGCACCATCTTAAAGGTCTCGGATGGCCTTTCAATTCTAATACATATTGGTTCCTCGAATATTCATTTGCTTCTACCCGGCGACATTGACACTCACCCGTACCCCTAGCATATTCCGAAGCATAAAGGTCTCTCTAACACATTCGATATCATGGCAGACGCAAAGCAAGGAGGGGACCTCTACGATATGGCCAAGGATGGAACCAAAGGTTCGTATCATCTTATCAAAACAAAGAAGCTTCACTCATTGTCGATGATAGTTCCTGGAGATGCTGGCAAGCAAAACATCATCAAGTCTGTTCCCAACCCGCACCAGCAGGAATCAGCTGCCGGAGGGCTTGGGTCTACAACTCTCCACGGCGCCGCAGACAACGCATTGAACACCAACGAGGGAAGAGCGTCCGGAGTGGGCGAGGGAATCAGTGCTACCGATCACGAGATCCCTCAGTCGGTGACGGGCAAGCCTGGAGGCCGAGGGGGAACGCAAGGCTCTGAGGATATCAGGGCTGCGACGGGTGCGTTTTACACCAAGGGGGGCCGGTCGAAGGATGACGAGTAAAGGAAAAAAGAATGTCCAGCTTGTCACAATGTGTACTAAGATAAGCTTGACGAGGACATGAAAACGCAACTCCATTACATCTGGCTTTCAAGTGGTGTCCTGCATCCAAGTCATCTAATAACAAGTCGGTAAAGTAAACCAGACTCAACCACACGATTGTGTAGGGATATGACCATCCTGAACAGATCAAAAGGGGGTAACACCACTGTACCGCCACCAAAAATGTAAGTCCAGAGCTGTCCAACACCTATCAAACGGCAAAATGAAAGGGACGAGACTCGAACTCGCGCGGGTTGCCCCACCAGGAAACAGATGTTAAGCTGACCTTAACCTGGCGCCATAACCAACTCGGCCACCCTTCCGTGATTTGGTTCATGTCAAATTATGAGGAAATTGAGAGTATGGAGGTTGACGAGTTAGGGCTTCGGAGATTGCGTCTGCAGATTGGAGACAGCCGCCGTAGTGGGGCTGATGATGGGTCGCCCACAAGTGCTTTGCCGGGCGTGCCGCATTGATGATGGCAGGTTCTTGATATACATGGCTATAACGTTCGAAAGTACTAGTCAAAGTTGAAATCGGACATTGAAACTAGGAAGATCTATTACAAGAGAAGACACATCCACTTGCGATCATATATCTGGAGTTCTGTGTCCCTGTATTGGTTGATATCAACATTCTAAGTTTGAAGAATAGTTCGGGCCGAGTTCTTATTATGCTGACTACTTGGCAGGAGATGTGTGATCAAAAGTCGTTACTAGATGGGTTACTTCTTCTTCTCCCGAGACATGGGCTTCCATCGAGCCTTTGGCCACCCACTCCTGAAGGGGCATCATACCTGATGAGAAGGACGAACACCAAGTACGTATCAGAGAACAAGACCACGGTAGACCGTAGAACATGTTCCACCAGCTTCTTGACCGTCAAAGATTGGTCAAGTTCAAGCTGTGCTAGATGGACCCCGGGGAATCAACATGGCTCTCATTCAAAATTATCCAACATGAATTCAACGTGTACCCAGCATGCCCATGTCTACAACCCAAAGCCCATGTCCATCCGCCAACATAATCCCCCATGTTCACTCGGGCTTCCTCCCCCTAGCCAACAAAACAGTCCTCTCAACCTCAAACGGCCGCCCCTGATACTTCTCCTCCATGAACGCCCTCAACGTCGGCATCAAACGCCCCTTCAACCCCTCCCTCTGCGCCCTCGTCCAGAACCTCTCCATGACCCCGTGCATAAACGCCTGGAAGACGGTACACCACTCATCAACCCCAGAGAACGGCACCCACTTCGTCACGACGTCCACCTCCACGTCCACGAATCCGGCCGCGGTGAACATGCTCTTGACAAACGAGGGGGACTCCCACGCGCCGGGGCCCCAGAGCGAGGTCAGCTCGATGGAGGATTGGGGCCAGGAGACGGGGGGTTGGCCTGGCAGGGCGAGGTCGCGTACTGCGTCGCGGGTGTCGGAGATCCAGCCTTCTGTTACCCAGGTTGAGGTTGCGAGTGTGCCGCCGGGTTTGGTGACGCGGTAGCATTCTGTTTGACGTGTCAGTCTTTCTTGTAAATCCGATATAATAGATAGTGAAGTGTTTACCATTGAGAGAGGTATATGGATCGGCCACGAGCATCAGCGCCATAGCGATGATGACAACGTCGAACTGGTCAGAAGGGAACGTTATATTCTGCTCCCGTTAGCCACATTCCTCCCGCATCATCACATCCGTGACAGGGACAGGGACAGGAATCATCGCCTACCATGATATCAGCCTGCCTGACCTCACACCCAACCCATCCCTCCCTCCCAATCTTCTCCTTCACAACGCCCAACTGCGCCTCACTCGAGTCCGCGCTCGTCAACCGCACCCTCTCCCTCTGCTGCCCGGGCAACTCCCTCATCATCTTCTGGATATGCGACGACACGACCCCGGTACCGCAGCACATATCCATGACCTGGATCGTCTTCGTGCTGGCCGACGCCGAGGCCACGGTCTGGCACAGCTGCGAGTGGTCGACGAGGCAGGGGGTCACGGGGGAGGTGAGGTGCTCCGCGTGGCGGTAGATGTTGCCGGCCTCTGGGTTGCGCCAGAATTCGACGAGGTTGGCTTTGTCGCCTGAGTCGTTTAGGGACTTTGAGGACGCGGCGGCGACGGCGGTTGTGCCTAGGCCGGCGATGATGGGCTTTTTCTTGGTGAGTTCGGGGCTCAGGTGCAGGGGAGCTGGGTTGCTGATGAGGGATGACATTTTGGCTCTATTGAGTGTCTTGGAACTAAGGTAGTTCGAGCTGGCGAAGGGTAGGCTGGATGATAAGTGACGTTGGAGAATGCGCGTGCTAGGAGATGTCTGGTCTGTCCGGTGATCTGGATGGAACTGTTTATGTCTTTTGATTCTTGAACAAGCTTATCCAGAAAGTAGCGTGACAAGAAGACCATGCAGCTCTTTATACAAAACTATCCGCTCTCGACCTAAGGTCCTCGAGCTTCGGAAACAACTCCTTCGGGGCCCCTGCTGCAATTGCCAAAGCATGCGATAGGCTCAGTTGACAGACAACCTCCATTCCAACGAATTGGGGGAATCCTAAATTTCGATCCTATTCTTGAAATTACCCTCCTGGACATAAGGTATCAAACACTTTTTCCCTGCCGTGCCGGATACCCATGCCGAACGGTAGGTTAGGGCGGTGCGCAGTCCCGTCGGCGATGTCATCAAAACTCTCACTCAGCCAAGGTTCGAGAAAGGTGTGAAGGGGGAAGCGGTGGAAGTGAGATTAAGTAAAAAAAGACGCACAAAAGAGAGTCGCGTTTCCTTGTGAGGCGAGTTCTGAAGAAAAGCTTCGAAGGCTCATGGTGGTTATCCACTTTCAAGGTTTGTACCGACCGCTCGGATGCTTCATGTTTCCTCTCTCCTTTGAGAAGTACTCTACACCACCACTTGTACACCTCCTTGAGAGGGGTTCAATCCTATCGATGAGTGTTTGTAGGTTAGTGGTCGTGGAGCTCATCGCCGCATATCCCCCGGCCTAAAGAGGTGCTGTTTCACTGGCCTCCAACCGACTGTTTCTGTTATCATACATACCGAAAGCGACATGGAACAATAAACCTACTATAGCAATCCAATAACTCACAAGAGCAGGCGAGGGAAGGGTATAACTGGTTACCTCATCCAATACTTCATCCCACCTTTGACAACTCAATACCTCTACGACAGAGCTACCCAAACCTTCAACATCAACTTTACCTCGGGAGCCTCCAAGACCTCACCAATCAAGGCAACCAAGCTTTCTCAGAGTTATTAGACCGCACCTCTCCAAAAACTCTATAGACCCAAGCTGTCCCGCGGGCAGCGGATATAGCAACCACAAAGAAGCTAATGTAAAACGCAAAATCACGTACCCACCACCACCACCACCACGAACCCCCATATCCCACATCCTACACACCTACGCAGGAGTCCAGTCTCTCGCCAAGTCCCCGACGACACCACAACCCCATCCCACCTTTACGCATCAGGCAGCTTCATCCACGTTCTCCCAAACGAACCTCCGAAAAGCCCCCCCCCGCGCCCTTCATGCCGCCAGCCTCAGCGGCGGCTCAGAGTCCGCTCCAAGCTCCGACGGAGTTTTCTCCTAGGTCGCCGACGGGGCGTTGTCGACCGGCCGCGGCCGCCGAAAATAGCATGCCGTCTCATTCTGGCGTACGTGGTGTCCTGTGCTCTGTTATCATCTTTGACTTCTCGGATCTCCAATAACTCAATTCCTCGTACTCGTGTGGCCTACGACGGTTCTTTCTCATCAACCTCGGAATCAAGGGCCACTGGTTGGCTCAGGGGCTGTGGTCAAGCTCTCGCGGATCCAGCCACCTGGAACACGGGTCGAACGGCCCGTTGCACAATGAACCACAAACGTCAACTCATAAGCATTCCATTACTTCATATCGCATCCCAGTACGTGCGTAAATGTACAATCCTCATTTAAGATAACCCAGCTGCCCCTCCAGGGCGTGTATGTCCGTCCAGGACTGCTGTCTATTTCAACTCCCATCATCTATAGAGCGCCTTGGTCGTGCCCTTATTTGCCCTGTGCTGCCCTCAGGGCGTCCACTTCTCGTTGTAGAGCATCCAGGTCGGCGAGAATATCCGCACCCTTGCCTGAATTAGCTGCGTCGTACTCTTGCTGTGCATCATCCTCCGCGGTGGGCTCTTCTGGAACGTTGCTGCCCATGGCCCTAGTGCTATCGATGCTCGTCCTCCTCATACCATATCCATCCATGCTTCCGCGACTACTGCCCCTTTGACGTGGTGGTGGCGGTGGGGGAGCATTCTCCTTGCCCCCACTGATCTTCCTGCTGGGGGCTTCAATGCTCCTTACGCTGGGAGGCCGGCGTATGGAAGTATTCCGTGCCGGTGGTGGTGGCGGAGGTGAAGTTTTGGGAGGAGTATGCTCCGTAGCATGTATAGAAGTGTCAATGTCAGATGGTGCTGGGCTGGCGCCGTGAAATGAACCACTTGATGGCGAGGCTAGTTGGAATGATTGTCGATGGGATGTGTGCGGGCGCCGAGGTGGAGGCGGAGCCGGAGCATTGATGCTTCGGAAACTCTCTGATCTGGAGCGCTGCGATTCCAACGAAGAGCGAGGCGGCGTGTCGGCCTCGTAACTTGGTACACTTGGAGCGTTGGCTCCAGCATTGGCTGTTAAGGACTGGCTCCGTGCGTGACCCCGCCGTGGTGGAGGGGCAGGTGTCGGTCTCTTGCCTGTCGCCGGAAGAGCCGGGGTAGGTGTTGAGCTGGGTGTGGGGGAGTCCTGCTCCGGGACTTTGCCAGCAGCTTCACGGGCAAAAACATCTTCCGTGTCATCCCCGCCGTGACTGCTTGGAGCGGGCGGGAGGGGCTTGTTCACGTCAGACGGAGAGATGGGCGACGCAGTCTCGGAGGAGATGTGCGGACGACCTGAAGTCTGCACGCTAATCTTCCTACCATGCCTTGAGCTAGGCGGCGGAGGCTTCTTCTTCACGGATGGAGAATGTGCCAGAAGAGAACGCTGGTCGTCAACGCCGCGATCCGCGATATCTTGTGACGTCCGCGGTGTTTCTAGCTCCGGTGCGGCGTATGATGCACCGGGCGCCTTACCTCCCTGTGACACTGATGTCTGCGGGGGCGGTGTTCCGGCACCAGCCTGGCCGGTGAGCAACAGCATCTTGAAGGCGTTGACATCCATAGCTTTGGTCGATCCACCAGATGAAGGCTTCACGTCCGTCAAGCCTTCCAGGTCTTGTAGCGTCTTGCCAAAGGGATTATCGGGGGTATTACTCGCGTTGGCAATACGAAGCGGCGCAGCCTCGGGGAGGCCACCGGGAAGCTCGGGAAACCGCTTTGAGAATTGGTCGTCTTCGTCGTGGGAATCTTCGTCGCTGCTGTCATCCTGGCGTCCGAAGCCTCTGCTGTGTACGGATTCTGGGGACGAGGGAGACGAAGGTGGCGGCGAAAGGACCCTAACCTTCTTTACAACCTTTGGCTTAGCCGGCCGGGCCTCGGGGGGCGGGGGGCCATTCTGCCTCGAGATGCCGGAAGTGATGGACTCGAGAAAGGCCGATGTAGAGACTGGCTGGGGCGTGGAGATGGAAAGCGAGGTGGAAGCAGACTTCCTTCGAAAGGGGTTGTGTTCGGAAGCCATGTTTGCAACTGGCAAAGGCTCGGAATAGGCGGGTTTATCTTGTAACGTGCAATCCTGTCGAGGGAGGATTTAGGCAGCCGCCATGGCCAGGTCCCGGCAGAGCGAGACGCGGACAATGTCGTAATCGCCGGGTGGAAGCTGTCGATGTATAGTGGTGTGGCGAAGAAGAAGAAGAAGAAGACGACGACGACGACGACGTCGGCTACAACTAGGACGAAGTCTCGATAGGCAGTTCGAATTCGTTGAGGTTCGACTGAGGATAGACAGGCTGGGCAGGCGGAGGGTCTCGGATGGATCGCTGGGCAGATCGAGGGGTAGGGGTTATTGGTGGTCAGGTACTGGTACTGTTGCTGGTACGGGGGTACGGGGTGCGGCCACGGGTACTGCGGGCGAGCGTCAGTTTCGTTGACCGGAAGAATCGGTTGGCAAGGACTTGAGTCGCAAGGGACGGTGGAAGGGCGGACTGATTGGGTTCGGGTTCTGGGATGACGGGCAGCCCAATGGGGAAAACGAGGGGTCCACGTTTTGGTGCTTACCGAGTCGCTGAGGGATGCTGTTGGGTTGAGAATGAGCAGCGGTTATGGATGAGGATGTGCTGATAAGTGCTGGTAGATACGATGAGAGTAGACGAGCTAAAGTACGAGGGTAATATTGGTAGACGCAGCAGTACGGCACGGCGTGGGGAGAGAAGTGGTGTGTGTCCGTAGTGGCAGTGCTGGTGCTGGTGCTGGTGCTGGCGGATAGATGTTGGGTCTGAACTGAGGTGGATGTGTCGGGGAACGGAGGAGTTGGTGGATGATGAGATGAGATTGGACAGAAACAAGACGTCAGTCCGAGGGGACGGTACGGTGCGATTCGATACAATGCGGGAGCGGATAAGACAAGCGCCAGGGGGGGTTTATCTGCTTATCGATGATCGCAACCTGGAAAGTACCTAGGTAAGGTACCTGGCTATCGATGGAAGTTATCGAAGAGCGAGGTGGGTTGTGTTCCATGTGTGGTGATTGACAACACTCTTGATGGGGGCCGATGTACCTACGTATGTACGGAGCACTCCGTAGGACTGCAAGTATTCGCAAATAGCAGGGGAGATGAAGAAGAAGAGGAGCCCGTTTGGTGTCGTCTTGTCCCGTTTAGATCGCCCGAGTCCAGGTAAGGCCGGTTGGCTGTTTCCACCTCAGCCCGGTACCTCTGTTACACAGTAATGACAGGTGAAGGTACCTAGGATGATGCGCAGTGACAGGTACTTGCTCATAGGTAGGCAGAGGGTGAGAGGGAGGACAAGTTCCAGACGTGCAGCTCTGCTGTTCCAGCCAAGGCAGCTGCAGATGCAAGCTCTGTCCCCTGAAGTGTTGCCTCGAGAGTCGAGCCTGATGGATCATGAGAATGACTGAGGCTGACGCAATTACTTCGCAGTTAGAGGCAGGCAGAGAGAGAGAGAGAGAGAGAGAGAAGGCGATGTTCCTCCCCATATCTTGCCCTTCCTTCCTGTCAGCACCATCGAGGAAAGAGCATCTGCCATCAACTATTACCCAAAGGTAAGGTATCGTTATAGAAAGGTACAAGCAACATGTATGCTGCCAAGTACTCCATACCCGGTGCCTTAGGTAGGTAGCTGGCCTCAGCACCTAACATTCTCCCCCACATACCCCGAAACGGACGGCAGGATGGATGCGCACGAGCCAGACCATGCTCTCTCTGTCTCTTTCACTAACTCACTCATTCCTTCACCAATGCTCTCTCACTCATACAGATACTTACCACTCAAACTTCATAGCTCCCACACGTATGGTCTTATGCCTCGTGCCTCCTCTCTTATGCCTCACGGCGACCTGTGTTTCTCCACTCTCTGCCGCCTCGGCCATCTTGTGTTCGCATCCGACTCCCCGTTCTTCAGACCCTTCTCTCAGTGTCAAGGGTCACTCTTTGCAAAGACCTGAAAGTGCCGCCTCACTCTTCATGGCAAAGACAACCATCAACCCTCCTTCATAGTCCCCGTACGTAATTGCACTCGCACGACGGCGTGACGGGACCCTTCAACGCTCAGATCACACTCCCCTCAATCCTCGACATGCCGGGGCGTCGCCGCGTCGCCCCCAACTGTACGGTTGCCCCCTGCACCTGTCGCTCAAGCCGTTCCGGATTGACAACAGGGATCCCGGGACATGGATCAATACTGCTGTGTGCGGAGTACACTCACTACACTTGAAGAGTGTAAGTGTACGGATCAACAGGTGAGGGCATATACCATACCGTCACCCAGGTTCTCTGAGATACCTTAGCAGCGCTTAGCCAGATGCTTATACGGATAGTCCGAATCTCATACTCACAGGTCCCAGGTTGTCTCTTGTCTCCTCGCCTCTGCCCCTCCCCTCCTTGCTTACCTCACCGCAATGCGCTTCCACGTTGTACGTACACCTTCACTGCGTGCTGAGCAGCAAGTTGCCCAACGTTCCCCCCCCAAAACATCAAGGTTTGTTTCAGGAACACCAATGGGAAAGCAAGCTCGGGGCTAGCTTTCCACGTCACTCCTTGTCATCCAACCTGGGGAGTCACCGTAGGTCCACTGATGACTGGACACCTGCAACATGCATCGCACCGCAACGCACCACTTGCTCACGCGCTGGCAGCCCGGACCTCATGCCGAGCGACATCTCTAGTACACCTGCCTCAAGGTTCCCTCCCTTACACCTCACGGCACCGCACGATTCGCATCATGTATCCGTACCTGCCCCAACATCAGCAAAGTGACAACTCCTAGACAGAGACAGCAGAAGAGACAGCGGGAGATGAACGCAGAGAGGGGCCGACGGAAGAGCCGCGGCCAACTTCTCCACCTCTGTTCACCGTCCCAGCCCAGAGAGAGCTCCGAGCTTGACATTTGACGCCGTTACACCTGCCCGTGACGCTTTCTCATCCACCTCTCCTTCTCAGTCTCCTCTCTCCCCAAGGCGTTTCCGCGCACCGCCACCTCTCAGACTCCATCATCGCTCTGGCCTATCCTACTACTGCGTAGACACTGGGAACGACGATGTCAAACACTCCGAATGGCACTCTTCACCGTTGCCCACGTCATAATCTCTTTCCACCACGTCTGGGCTTCCTCTTGACCAGATTCATTTATCTATCCGTAGTGTCCTGATGCTATACACTCGATTGTACGAGTCACTGATCGCCAATAGGACTACCTATATGGCTAGCTATCTGCAAAGAAGGGCAAACAACGAATACCAAGACCAGCCGTGCTCTCCTACACAGCATACCTAGTGAGCACCCCTCACCTCAGGATCAACAACCAGCACATAGTGTGGCGCCATCTCCTCCTCATCGCACGTGTCAACCCGTCCAGGCCGTCCATCCTCCGGCGGAGTCCCACTCGTCCGCAGGGCACCGCAGGCCGGCGCAACTATGTATCCTCTCCCAACTCAAAATACGCTGAACGACCACCCGTTACGCCTACATGGTACGTAAGACGGGCACGTAGGCTGGCCCCAAATCTGAATCTGAGAAGCTGGTCAAACAATTCCTTACTCACGACTCAACCCATGGACAATCTACATGAGGGGAAGCTCAGCAGCGAAACATCTTTTCACCTCTTTCGCACTTGAGAATCGCGGATGGTCATACAAGACAGATCTCATTGAAATGCCTTTCGTAGAGAACCGCCAAGCTCGACCGGACTGTTCTACGCCATACTGTAGAACCATCACCGGCGACGGGCGCGCCTCGTCTCAGACCAAGTCACGTCCGGTCCCAAAGTCAGACCACTAAGAAAACGTCTCACCCACTGTATTGTGACCATAAGCCAGAGGAGGGGTAAGGTACAGGGTCAACTCAGAACATCAGTCAAGAACCACAATGCCGCCCAAACGCGCTACAGCTTGTACCACATATCCAAACATGTTTACTCGACGACGGAGTAATATGTATTTAAAGGCAGAGTCATCCAGAAAAGACGAAAAGGCACTCTTCATCTCCGCCGCCAGGCCATGAGAGATGGGAGAACGCGCACGTGACACCTTCACCAACGGCACGGACTTTCTTCAGCTCTCAAGCCTCTCACATCCCCCCGTATCCAAGACAAGCTACCTTAGCCTTCCCTCACAGCCTTATCTCTCTCTCTCCTTCCTACTTCCCGTTACTCTCCAGCGACGCGGTGACCCGTCCGGCGGTTAAGTCAACATACGGGGCCGGGGGGAGGGGAGAGAGAAACGGTCAGAGAGCGAGCTTGAAAAAAGTCCATAAATGTAAACAAGAGAAAAAGACCCTGGAAAGGATGAACCGCGTCGGCTCCACTCCGAAACGGCCATGGGTGAGAAACACGGTGACGGTACCCTGCCGTGCCTGCCCAGGGTCCCAGTCTCCGGTTCTCACGGCGCGTCCTCGTTCTCTCAGACATTCGTCCTCCTTACACTACAGCGGCACGGCGGCAGCTCAGCTCGTTCTTTCCCAACTTCTTCCTTTTCTGTACTGCTGCCCGCTCTTATCGCGACTTGATGAGAGATTGTCGTTCGTACTCCGAAGCTCAGCCAAGACCCAGGTGAGCATCAAACAAGATGGTAAACAATTTGTATCATGTAATATCATTTCCTTCCATTGCCGCCCGGTAATTGCGAGCGAGGCGCCGCATTTGCCGTGCCCCTGAACGAACTCTCTACCCTTACTCGGTCTTGCCGTCTTTCCAGGTCGTCGAAGCCGACGCGCCAGTTGAGTTGGGCGCGCCACTTCACATCGCGAGAATTGCACAAATCAGGAGAACGTCGTATGAACAGTGAAAGGCTCCCATCGTTGGTATATCGCGCGAGCTATAGTTACAGTAGTCGGAAGGGGGAATCCGTTCTCGTGTCGCCAAAGCGGGAATCTTCTCTCAAAGCATTCAACACAATCCCAAGCCCCCCAACCACGCGTCGCGCTCAATCAAAAGCAGCCGCAACATATAGAAAAGACCATCAAGACAAGAAAAAACACAAAGACAACAAGACAACGCAGTTGCGTTTTCCCCCCAGGTTGGTTTCCCACCAACGCTTCCCGGCCCATTGCCCTTTCCCAGTTAGTTCAATAACAACTCCCGTAAACGCCTTTCGACAAGATTTCGTGACACAAAAACAGTTGTGCGGAGAGCCGAGCAGAGTACTCGACATTGCATCATCGTTCAAGGTAAGGGAAACAAGGTAAGAGTGACCCCTTATGCCGTGGCGGCGGGAGCCTCAGCCTTGGCCTCCTTCTTGTCGGCGGCGGCCTTCTTGGGCGCTGCCTTCTTCGGGGCGGCAGCCTTCTTGGGAGCGGCGGCCTTCTTCTCCTTGGGCTCCTTGGCCTCCTTCTTGGCGGCCGGTGCCTTCTTCTCAGTCTTGGTGACGCGACCAGTCTTGGTCTTGCTGAGGACAGCGGGCTTCTCCTCCTTGGCCTACAGGTACGTTAGTGATGGACAGACGATGAGAGCCAGAGTCAACATACGGCAGCAGCCTTCTTGGCGGCAGGCTTCTTCTCCTTCTTCTCAGCAGCAGCCTTCTTGGGAGCAGCGGCCTTCTTCTCCTTGGGCTCCTTCGCCTCCTTGGTCTCCTTCTTGGCGGCGGCCTTCTTGGGAGCGGCAGCCTTCTTCTCCTTGGGCTCCTTGGTCTCCTTCTTCGCAGCAGCCTTCTTCTCCTTAGGCTCCTTGGCCTCCTTCTTTGCGGGGGCCTTCTTCTCAGCGGGCTTGGGCGCCTTCTTGGCGAGCTTGGTGCCACCGGAGGGACCTTGAGGTATGTTAGTATTGTTTCAAAGGCTTGAAGAGACAGACAGGCGGTGACGTACCCTTGGGCTGCTCGAAGACACCCTTCTCAACACCGGCGCGGAGGGCCTTGTTGAAGAGAGAGTCGAACATGTTGTCGCTGACGGTGTTGATCTGGTTGTTGGCCTTGACGTACTTCTTCAGGGACTGACGGGAAGATCCGTTACGGTCCTTGAGCTGTAAGAGGGAAAGTGAGTCAATTAAAGACAACACAAGAATAGGTGGACCATCGTCGAGGCGGTGGAGGGTAGCGCGATCGAAGGTCACGGGCGCTAGGCGCGAATGGCAGCTGACCCAACTCGTGGGTCCTCCGATCGCGTAACCCTTTGCGCCGGAGATGGAGGAGCGGGAAAACATACAGCAACGATAGCATCAGTGATCATGTCCTGTAGAGAGTTAGCAACCAACGCGTCATGCAAAAAGCCGGTCTGGTTGAGGTACAAACCTGGTAGCTGGCGTGGGTGGACTTCTTGCTGGGGGCAGCAGCGGCGCCCTCGGTCTTCTTGGGAGGCATTGTGAATGTTTTGGGGGGGTTGCGTGGATGCGTAAAGCGTAAAGGGTTGCTATGAAGCAGGATTCAACCGAAATGGCGATTGAAGTCGGTTTGAAGACGGGTGTACTTTGAGAAAAGTTGCAAGAATTAAAATCGACGCGTTGTGGTGATTGAGAAAGGCGAGAGATGAAGAGGTCCGGAACGAGAGGGTGGAGGGGGAGCGCGTGCGTGGAGGGGATGGGGCTTGTTTTTATAAATGGGCGGGGGCCGTTGGGCGCGGTGCGCAATCAGTAACTTTTGGGGAGACGACCTGAGGGCGCGGGCGCGGGCGTTGGATTTTTTTGAGGGTGAGCCTTGAGGTGCCTTCTCTCTTTTTTTTTTTATTATCCTCTCCTCCCTCTTGGCTTGGTGCGGGTTCCTTTTGGGCCCTCCAAATCCCCCGTCCATTTTGGGGGGGACGGTCGCTAAATCACGCGGACTGGGGGGGCCTTGGGCCTTCCCCCTCTCAACTTCCAGTCTTTCTCTCTCCTCTCACTCACTCCAGAGTCTTCCCCCCCAAAAGATGGCACCCTCTTTTTCCTCGTTCCCTTTTCTTCCCCTCGCATCTCACTCACTTATCTGCTTCACACGCCAATGATACCATCAAGTGAGCACGGTAGCCTAGAATAAACTTAAAAGGTGTCTCCCGTTGGATCTGGCAAGGGCCCGGGGAAGTCGGAAGGGTGCTTCTCTCCATAACTATGAACGGCGTATTCCTACAGCCTGACAGCTCTACGCGTACGTCGAGTTGGTTTGTGATGTGTCCGGACAGACAACAGCATGCCACAGCGCCCCAGCTTTGAGATGATGCCCTTTGACGTCTGCTTGTCTCGACTTTCCACATCTCATTGTGTCTCTCGTTTCTTCCCGTGTCACTCCCAAATCAACCTCATTGTCTTCATCCGTCGGCAGAGTATCTTCTTGGACTCAAATCGCCGATTAGTGCGGGAGCGGGAGAGACGTGCGTGTCTATTTTGGACGTGTCCAGGAACTACAGCCGCCGCGATGGTATGGTGGGTGTTCTAAGAAATCCTCGGCCGGTGACAGATTCCAGCACGGCCTCACTCGCCTTGGTCCACGGCCTCTTTCTTCTGCCCCTTTGATAATGGACCAGTCCTTCTTTCTCTGGTATCTATTTTGACGTTTAGATTGTCAAGTGCCCTCTCTTATTGTTCTGATAAACAAACGGTAACGGTTAGTCGAGTTGAACGAACTAACCTTTGAGTTGATGGAAGACGCGGACGGCGGCCAACCAGCGCCCCTCACCTCTCATCTCAACCAAGGAAGCTCAGCTCAGCTCAGATCAATCAGCCCAGTTCACCTCCGTCGCCGGAAGCACTCGAGCTCCCCAAGCCCCAAGCTCCAGGCTATGCATGAAGCTTCTGAGGCTTCTGTCGTCTCCGCCATCATACCCTGGACGGGCCCCTGGTCTTCCCTGTCCGCCCCAGGGTTGATGTAAGGCACGCCGCACTCCTCCTTGCGGATAGTGAGTGCTGCTTTGTGGATAGTGGGAGGTTCCAGCACATCTCCCCTCGCCAGTCGCCACGCTGCACCCCTCAACGGGTGCTCCAGTCATCTGCCCTAAGAGGACCGGGGTAGTCTTCTGGTGTTTTTCTACTGCCGTTCCTAGTGAGTTTGAGGTGTGTGAGTCTATGAGATGAGACTCACCTCACGAGAACTACCTAAGAACGATGGAGTGAGATGCCTACGAGGTACCTAAGCAAGGTACGTAGGACAGAGCCATAGCCGCAGTACCTTCCATTAGCCCAACGCCCCGAGTTCCTGCCCTCGATGGTGGACACAGGGCAGAGGAAGGCGTAAAATCATCCACCTTCTCTGCGCCTTCCTCCCGCCGGGCAGTTCAAGATCAGCCGGTCCCAGAATCTCAGGAAGGAGGTGCATGGTTCTTTCCCTCCTTCCTCCGGGTCCCCCGCCTGGCTCCTGGCTCCTGCACCTGCCACATGCACCACCCGCCCGTTCTTTCCCATCCAAACTGCCATGTTTTCTGCCACGCTCAATTGCCTCAGAATTCAGAAAGCACCAGATGGGACGGGGAGGCAAACAAAAGGTACATCGCTCTTGTACCTTATCCTCCATTTTCCCTTCAGTCACCTTTTTATTTTCCAAAATTCGTCAACTTTCCTTTTTTCTGATTGGTCCAGATATTCCTCGCCGTGAGGTCCTGCCGCCAGTGTGCCTGCTTCCCCCGTGGACCGTGGACCGTTGTTCCTTCCCCTCCCTGTCCCGAGTGCTCTCACTCAGTGTTGCTCCGTCGTCCCTGCTCTCGCTGCTCTCTGATGCCGCACACGTTCGCGGGTCTCCCATCTCCCACCAAACTCATTCTCATCGCCCACCTCAACCACCCTCTCCTCTCCTCGCCCTTCTCCTCTTTCTCTTCTCTCTTGATTCCCTCTTCTTCCCATTTACTCACCCTCCATTACGAAAAATGACTCATGGCTCGCCGTTGCCACGTTTTTGAGTCTTGCGCCCGCCGATCCACCGTCGTCCGACCCGGCCCCAATTTCCCTCCCATTCTCACGCCTTTCCCCCGCCGAGATGCCCGATTTTCCATCATCGCCCATCTTCGATTTTACCCCCGACCGTCAATGCCATCCGTCGCATCTGCTCTGATGCCTCTGACTTTCGGTCTCATCTCGCGCTAACTACATTGTTTTGTTGCTTGAATTTTTCTCCATCGTTCGATGCACTTTTTCCTCTGTTTATCGCGTGTTATGGCCCTGATATTGCGCGCACACTCCTTACCCCCGACCCCGACTGTTGTGATTCGGTCGCGCTTCGTCCAAATTGAAGCTATCCGCACATCTTGCACCACCATCGTCACAATCATCAACAGTACCACGAAATTCATCAAGGAAACATCGGATTCCATCATCTAGGTCGACAATCTGCTCGGCGATATTTTTGTTGAATTTCTATCATTTTCCTAGCCCGATTTGACTTACACCGAGTATATCGTTTCATCCCATCGTGATGGGGCCACGCGACCGATGAAATAAGGTGCATCGCCTCATCCGCGTGCCCACGGCCATCCTGTTGCCTAAACTCGTCAATCACGTCTTCTATGGTATCGCAGTGACTGCTCTCATTGATGCATGGGTTTTTGGGCAATTTGAAGCTGGTTTCGTGCCTCCAGCGCCAATAATTCAATCCAGTGCAAGAGACGCGATGGAAGCTATTCGCATTTCGCCAGCGCTTCCACCCAAAAGCGGGATACCATCGCTGCACACCAGTGAAAGATGATGAAATTTCCGCCGTGAACTGCTGAGGTTTCATTTTTCATCTGTTCACTTTTTTTCTTTCTCTTTTCATCGAAATTGCTCCTGGCCAGGCTGGCGCTTCCAGATTGACGCATGTCTGCCCAAGGTGGAGGAGCAGAACACGTGTGTCCGTCACCGCCTCACAAACTACCGCGGCCAACACATCGTCAACTTGTCTGAAACTTACAAACAGTTGTCGAGCCTGATCAAGAGAATGAGTCAAGAGAGATCGATGTCAATCTAGAGATGATATTGGCAACGCGGCCATAGCAAGTCTTGCGACCTACCGACTGGCAGTAAAGAAAGGGGGGAGGAAAGCCTGTGTCACGTGGTGCTGCTTTCTAGTAGCAAGCACCTTGCGTCGCGAAACACATCATCAATGGCATTAATTCGTGAGTGCTTCAATCTGCAGGAAGTTCTTTCGAGTATTTCTGCGAAACTATCGACTGTGTACTCTTCTTGGTAGGCGCTCGGTCTGATAGACAGGGACCAGATGTTCGCGGGTGAGGCACGCGGGTAGCCTCGCTGAACGGTCGCCCTCCTGCCTTCTCGCGCGCGATTCACTCACGACACATGGTGCGAGGTGCGGCAAGACTTTTGATTTCAAAGGCCTTAAATCGAGTACTCTTGATCAGGAGCTCGACATCCTACAGTCTGTTTGACTGCATTGCAGTATGGTTCAGATACTCGAACGAGGCTGCGACTTCATTGTTTTGACTTTTGACGCGTGTACCACAAGGGTTTCCTTTTCCCTTTTCACAGTCGCCTACAGATCAACAATTACGTCGAAAGAGTCATAACAATACTTATAACCGAACAGAATAGATATTGATCGAAAGAATGGACCGTCTAGAGACCGCATGCCTTCTATGTCGACGAGACCATCGCAAAGAGCTCAAGCCAGACAGACGCGTCAACCGGATGCGCCGCCCATGAAAACGCACTGGACACTTTTTTGCGCGCTGGCAAACTGCAGTGTCGTTGGTCGGTCCGGCGTCCTCCCTGATCTGGAAGGTGGGGCAGGCAAGGCAGGAGGAGGAGGAAGCTATGACCACCGCTCCCGTTGCAGCTCGGAGCTGCCTTCCGCCCAGGTTCCCCCCGCCGCACAGGACGCAACTGCCAACGGGACACAGCTTGGTTGGTTCCTGCTTCCTTACTTTTGTAGGTATTCCACCAAGGTACTTCCTTAGGTAAGCGAAGAAGCTCCGCATCGTAATTACATAATGCATGCGTGCTTACCTCAGCTGTTCTCAGGGTCCTAGAGATGGGTTTGCACCCGACCCCTTGCCAAACCCTTCAGCGCGTCTCACGGAGCGGATGCAGCCGGGGTTTTCTTGGTAGCTGCTTTCGTCGCTGCCTCGGTTGAACAAAGACAAACCTTCAGCGAGGACTGCGATTTGCGACACAAACATTCCGAGATACCAGGGGACACTTGACATGCTTATTGTTGATTCCAAGTGAGATGGAGGGATCTTGCCAATGTTGCATCGCATGCACCGCCACAAACCAAAGGTAAACTCCAACCTCACTTGGCGAAACTCAGGAGCTTGCTACAAGGTGATATGTGGCTTATTGGGCGCATCCATGCCATTATCTCGACCCGTGTGATTTAGAATGAGTGGATCAGGAGCCAAAGGCTGCAAAAGAATGAGAGCTTCCTTCTCATAGAGGCAGACGCACGGCGCTACTAGGGAAGAAGCTTCACTGCTAAGCCTGGGCTCCGGGTCTTGGAGGTGCGAATCATTGACCCTGCCAGATGGACCCCGGGATCGGATAGAGGCACAGCGAGAATGTAAGAACGGAAGCTCACCCTACGAAAGATGCCGCATCTGATGGAACTCTCAAGTTGACTTCATCGTAGAAGTTGCGATTCTGCACCTGCTTTGTGCAGATAGATACATATCTTCTTTTCATACTGAAATACATTATAAGTTACCTGAAAAAGGTGCTTGATTACGTCGAAATACCTCGTACCGAAAGTCCGAGCCGGAACCCCCCACGCCCTTTGGCTCTTTACCAGCACAAAGGGCGCGCTCCAACTACCGACCCAAACCAACGAGCGGCAATAACGCAGCCCGGGAATTGCAACAAGAACCCGCTGGAAAGGGCCAGCCTTCAGGTCAAATTCAACTTCCAACATCCACTTCCACCCGGCGTGCACTCAGATTACCTTATCTTACGGGATACTCTCCCTGATTCTGCACCGACTCGCAACGCGTAGCCGACGGAAGCCGAATTTCCTCACTATCCCGTCATCCACCTTTCGCCGGACTTGTAATCAGAATCTTCATCTCGTGCTTCGCCAGCATTCTCTTTTCTTCTTCTTCGCTTTACGTTACGTTCAAAAGATACCCGCGGTAAGCAACTCAAAGATGCGCAACTCAATTATCCTCAGCGCCGGCCTGGCCCGCCTCTCGACATCTCAAACAACCCGAAGATCGTTCGTGACCACTGCTGCAAGGAGTCTCGCCAACCCTACTTCATCCCCGGCGTCTGCGCCGCCGCTAAACCCGCGATGGCTTTCTGAGCTGCAGTCGCGCATCAAGCGGTGCGCCGGGCTCGACCTCAGCGGGCAGCAGAAGGAGGAGTTGGCGGCTCTGCGGGAGGCTGTCGATGGGCAGTGGTTGGAGTTGCTCGCCGGGCGGGAAGGGTTCCTCACCGGTCCCGGGTGGAGGGGCCTTGACAGACATACGGTGACTTGGGGAGACCAGGTGAGTTCCTGTTACACCATGAGTTTTTAAAAGATGAGATGAATTGGGTGCTGATTATATGGAAATCAGGATGCAATGGTGAGTTGAACCGGAGCCTGACTCCCCAAAGGAAGGGAGACAATGAACTGACATACTACAGGGTATGACTCGCATCCCGAATATACCATGAATCTCAATCTCACATCTGTAGGTCATGTAAACAACGTCGTCTACAACAAGTACGCCGAGTCGGCGCGGGTCAACTGGCTTCGTAACTTTGCGACGACGGTGGATCCTGAGCACAAGGATGAGTGGGACCAGCTCATGAGCCCAAAGGACATTGGCCTCATCATGAGAAGCATCAAGACGGACTACAAGTTTGTGAGTGACACTTCCATCAACTTGAACCACCAGGCTCCGAAAGGCGCTGTATTTCTTGGCGCCGCGGCGGTTGAGTCTAAAACACCTGAATCGCTCACACTGACAACCAATGTGAAGCCAATGGCCTACCCGGACCACGTGACGGTCCTCCATAAGCTTGTTTCCAAGCCGACATACGAATCAGACTTCATTTTGCTTGAAGCTCTTCTCATCTCCGAGGGCCACCGTCGCCCTGCCGCCCGCTGCTTCGAGGATATCGTGGTCTACGACTACAAGACCGCCAAGAGGGCGCCGCTGAAGCCTTTCATGGTCGACCGGCTACGGGAGACATACGAGGCGCAAGAGCAGAGCAAAATTGACTGCGAGGAAAAGGTAAAGGGTCTCGTCGACATTGTCGAGCGTCTGGAGAAGGCTGCGTGAAGTGCTGTGGGCTGGCGCGTTACTGCTTTTTCGCCGCAAGAAGCGCGATTGTGTGTGAGAGGGGACGGTTGTAAAAACATGAGACATTATACATAGACTTAGATCATAGACCTCACACCGAGAATAAAGGTTCCCAAGTGACGTACCTTCACGGTCTGAAAAGCCGTTGGAAGCGCCCAGATCTGAGGGAGGCTCCGGATCGGCGGGCGATGACGGCGTGAGGCTTTTCATCGGCTGAAAGTGGAGATCTGCGCGACATCGACGATTCAATCAACGCCTTGCCCGTGTGACCTTGTTTATTCCCCCACCATCACCACCTCCACCACAAAGCCTTGCCTTTTAATGTTGCATATCGCGCAACCTCAAGTGTGAACCGTTGTCATTTGCAGCATAGACACAACATCCAGATCTTTTAAAGTTTCGTTCATCATCATGGGTAGCATCTCGTTCCGCGAGCATATCCGCTGGATCCCCGATGAGGCGAGCGAGCCGACCTCGACCATAGTGCTCACGTCCCCGCAGCGCCGTTTCGTGGACCTCCGCATTCTGAAGCAAACGCCAACCGTCGATGGCGTGCAAGGTAAAATCTCAACGTCGTTCTCACACGCGACCCGGCCCAGGGACCCCCAAAAGCCACCACGACTACCAGACAACTCCAAGGCTAACACCCACAAAGATACGCACGGCATCGAGCGCCTGGAATGGGGCATCGCGGGAACCTCGTCATCGTCCACCCGCACCGACGACCAGGGCGCCGAGGTGCGCCACTCGCGCTGGGAGCACTGGATCGACTCGCGCACGACGGAGCCCGAGAACGCGGCCGACGAGGGCGACATGTACGAGCAGCCCGACGGGCTGACGCTCGAGAAGGGCCGGATGGTGAACCCCGCCACCGGCACGGAGACGGATTACGAAGAGCTGTGGAGGGACGTCGAGCCCGTGACAGTTCCTCCGGTTGGTGCCGCGGCCGAGGGCGAGGCGCAGAAGGGTGTCGAGTGTGTTGTTCTCAAGCACGAGGACGAGACGAGCGGGGCGCGGGGTATGGTTGTGTGGTTGGGGCGGTTCTGTCAGGGGATTTCGAGGGTCGGGGAGGAGGTTGCGGCGGAGAGGTGGGAGTGGAAGGAAGGGGAGGGGTGGAGGCGGACTGTGAGGATTGGGGATCGGGCTTTGCCTTGCGAGGTGTTGTTGATGACGGGTGCGGCGTTGAGTGTTGGGACGCATGTTGTTCATGAGGAGGTTGTTTGGGATGTGCTTGAGAGTCGGTGATTGTGTGGCCTTTCATGATCGTGACAGTAAGATGAGATTGAGGTGTCTGGGCTGACATTCCCCTAGATGGTTTCTAGAGACTAGATTGCCACGGTTGGGCAGAGAGAGTAGCATGGTTGTTAGCGGAGATTCCCTGAAGATTGCACGTTCAAATTCAAGGGTTGTTTTCTCATTCTTCGCCTCGACTCTTGTGGCTGCCCTTTAGAGGAAGTTGACTTTAGAAAATAGGTGCCAGTATATATTTGAAAACCAGTTGACAACCGACGTCCACTGAGCATGCATGAATGCCCCAAAACCATCTCTACGAGTTGAGGTAGCGAAACTAAGAGTAGAAATCTGAGCAATGAGACACATCCATGATAGGCGGCTCCGAGCAAGTCCGTTCTGGTGCATCCATGTCTTTTGGGGAACAGTTTCACGCCAGCTGAAGTTGAGAGTTTCGCCAATCAGGTCCAGATGCGAGGTCCCAGCGACGCACGAACCTGAAGTGCGATGTATGGGCATTTCAGATGAATCGTTTGCGTATCTGAGAAAAAGAGGCTTTGGACAAATGCTGGGCTCTGGCATTTAAGGTGATTGTTTGGCGTTCATTTCAATATGAGGTTTTACTTCATTCTTCGAAGGCTGAAAGGCTCAATCTCGAAGATTATGAACCACTGATGCTTGCTATGTTCATTTTACCTAGAGGTAAAGGGGATATTCTTCCTCCTGATAACATTATGGTTCTCGAACTGTGTCTCAATCAGCCGTTGAGGTGACTTAAATCGTAGACGAAGGTCTCTTCGAGTGAAGATCCACCAACACCAGCTCCAAGTGATTAGCACTCCAACTTCAGCATACCAACATACGGTGGCTTAAGTATCTGATACGTAGCAAACGACGGCATCGTTTACTTCCAGAACAAAGTTCATGAATTCCGCGGTTCGGTCATTTGGACTTCAAGGTGATGGATGGCCGACCCACAGAAGCCATGGAACCAAAAGGTATACGGAATCTGTTGCATTGTTTCCCGCATCGCTGTCAAGTTTCTTTTCTCCAGCACATGTCCAGCATCTGGCAACACCTAAGATATATCAAAGACCATTCTTCGATTTATTTCGTCTCTTACATCTTATACTGAGAAGAATACTACATCAGAAACCCGGAAACACCACCATAGTCCAAACCCGACCCTTGATTAATCATGGCTACGACATTCCGCCAATTTGGCTTACTCCCTGTCGAGGTGCGACTACAAGTGTGGGAATGCAATCTTCGGTCTGCAGACCCAGCTTTTCACGTCTTCTCTATCAAAAGCCGAGCTACGACTACTGCGTCAACCGGTCTCAGTCACAAAACACCAACGCAAGTTCACCAATATGAGACTTATGTTCTTTCCAATCCTACATACACACCAAGACAGCGGTGTCCGTGGTCCGAGTCAGACCCTTCGACATACCGCGTCGATGCCGGCCTTTGGTCCGCCTGTAAGGAGTCTAGAGACGTGGTTCAAAAGCATTACGCAGCGCTGGTGAACCCTTCTAGCGGCCACAGCTCTTCTACACGACATGATCAACCTGAACGAAGCGCTTCCGGCTCAAGCATACTTCCAGACAAAGATCTCATCATCTTCCAAGTTGCACCCGACGCACACGTCTCCGTCAGTGAGGCGTTGTCCGCCCTCCGCCCCTTCTTCCAAAATGACGAAACCCGACTATTGCACATCGCGTTCGAATTCACCGACGACTGGGACATCCAGCCCACCGACGACATCAAGTCCATGATCAATCAACCAGGTCCCCGGGCTTGCTTTATCCGCCTCTTGGAACGAACTATGTGTGGGCTTCTTTCGGCCAAGCTATACCTCATGGATCACGGCTCGGAGGGGGCCGAGGCCGGGTCGCCGGTGCTCTTCTCCGCTGGAGGTTACGATCTCAGCGAAATCGAGTGGACGCCCACACCGACTGCGGCGCCTGATATATGTGCTGCGAGATGTTTTACTATCGACCTCTCCATCCTAGGTTTGAAGCACTGGGCCTTTTTCCTACCGATGTGGGCGCCTGATGATTCAATGACCTTGCGGCCATTTTTTCACTACTCGTCTTCCATAGCCAAGGTTGCCGTGCTTCGATCCGAGAGAAGAACTCAGGGCGATGAATCAGGCTGTGAGTGAAGGAGATGAGAGTAAGCGTCCTCTTTGTCCTGCCCAATGCATTGTTGCTGATTTTTGTCTAGGTATATGTAATAACAATATCGTATCGTGTGGTTTCCCTCGAAAGTCTGACCCCGTTAAGGCCGATCTTTTGCGCCTCTAAAGCCGGAAAAAACCACCACATGTAAAATGATACGATGGAACAACGGACTGCTCAACGTTCAAACTGTAAGAAAGTGATAGGCTCCTCTGTAAGACACCCAGGCACTGATATCACAAGGACTCTCTCCTGCACAGAAATACCAGCCTACCATGTGATTCTCTCGAGTAGCCTCTCTTCCGTACTTCGCGCTACCTAATTACAATGCTAAGAATTGAGGGTATGAAAGGGTGGTAGACCTAGCAGAAAAGAAAAACGAGAAATCTCAGATAGTACTTCTTATACAGACGACATCGTGGCCAAACGGGACATTATAATTTTCCACGAGCTTGGTGCCATTACAGGCTCACGAGCGTATCTTTCTCTAATATTTACAGCAGTTCCGATAGTTTCAATAATTGATCAGTTTGGATTCAAGTAAGACCTCGCGTCAGAGAGGGGTAGCCATTCCGACTTTCGGCACCGGGAACTGTTCTAGGCAGGTGGCAGATGTTAAGCGGGGAAGCCAAGACGATCTGCCTCATTTCACAGCGAAATCCCAAAGGTATTCAACCAGCGCTTACAGATCGTAGCATTTTGAAGGATCAGGTCGCATCCGGGGTTGCAGAAAGCCTAAAAGGAGACTTGGGACTTCAATATCAGGTTATCTCGGCCGGATCACAACCCCTCGGCACGATAACCTCAGCAAGTCCGAGCGAAGTGATATGCATGGACAGCGGGGCATTGACCAATCAAGACGATCCACAGAGTCGCAATAAACTCTTTTGGCCCTGGTTCGGCCTGTCATTGCATTTGTTACGTTACGTCCGCAACTCAAGAAGCTATTGCTTGCGTTCTTGCTATGGACTGACGCTGTCCATAAAGACTGCGGCCTGTCGTCTCAGAACTGAGCGGCTGCTTTGAAGCTAACATTTTCGTAGCTTCTTCAGGAAAACCAGGTCATCATACGCGCAATGATGGGAGTCTACAAGAGAACCGGTCTTTGTACCCTGACTTGGGTGCTATTGTCACTCTTTGCCAATGCCGCAGCAGCAGCCGGCGTGAAGAGCATTTTCCTCTTCAAGGATGTTCTGCAGTCGAACACAACAGCTCTTAAGACCTCCGGCTTTGACACCCTCCTCATTTTCCGCATCGGTCTCCTTGACAATGGCGATCTCGTCTACTACTCAACGGGAGACGCGGGCGAGGCCGTCGACGCGCCCGTGGTGACGAATGGCTCATATGTTGGTGGAACCGCGTTGGCGGAAAAGGTTAAGTCCTTCAAGACGGGCACAACCAATATCAACAGGGTGGAGATCTCGCTGGTGTCACATGACACGACATTCCAGATCATCCGCGACTTGATTAACGCAGATGGGACAGGGTCTGACACAAAGTTGTACAAGAACTTTGAGGTACTGAAGGCAGAGTGGGATCTTGACGCATTCAACAACGACGATGAGGGCGTCTATGACGTGGCGAGCACAGTCAGTTTTGCTCAGATGCTTGGGAAGATGGGTTACCAGTATTCTATTGCGCCGTACACCAACAGTGGCTTCTGGGCGAACGTCAGAACACAAGTTGAATCCACGAATCCTGGTCTTTTCGATAGGGTGTACCTCCAAGTCTACGACGGCGGAGCTGGCAACAATCCTGGAACGTGGCAGACGACCCTCGGCATGAAGGTGATCCCTCTTGTGTGGGTAGTCAATGACGCAAAGCCGTCTCAAGGAACGACTGCGACTCAAGCCCAGCAACGATTCGCAAGCTGGTTCTCGCAATACGCCGTGGCGGGCGGTGGGTACTGGAACGATTACGATATTGAGAAGATGGACTCGTCTTACACGGATTATGGAGCTGCACTTACTAGTGTCTTCTAATGCACTGTGCGCAATCTCTCTGTCTCTCTATTCGGGTATCATACCTATGTCATTTACCCTCAGCAGGAGTTATTCGAATCTCCCATGTTGCCAAGAATTAGTCGTTGCTTCGGTTTCGGCATTTGCCATCTGGAATACGTGACAAGTTTGCACCCTGGTTCTTGTTGCCTTGAAGCGACGTTCGGTTGAAGAACGGTGGAAGCAAACATCGCTCATATTGCAAACTGCTCAAGATTTATATCTGCTGGTTGACGCCAGTACTGTAAGTTCAGAAGTGCAAGTCAACCCGACTACGCCTCCCAATTCCCCGCCACTTCCCAGTTTCAACGCAAGAAAATCAGCTAGCAAACCTGAATCCAGTCTTCAGAAGGAGATAAGACTTTACTACGATGAATTATCTGACTGATTGATAATTGTTATAGTGCGCCACGCCTCTGGTGATTCGTTGGATCCCGACAATTGGGCAAACATCGACGCCACTCTAGCAAACTTGACCAGGGCGTATTTCAAATCCACATTCAAAATCTCACAGTGAACGACAGACCAAGCCAGCCTGGTATATCGGGCCGGTGGTGTTGTTGAAATGCAGAAATGTGGCCACCATCACGACTTTGATCCATGAGATGGATTACATTGTTCCGGCAAACACCATCGTCGACAAATTGACGCACGAAGTTACTAGTGAGCGGGATACCGGACTTGTCACTCATATTGGGCTAGTGCGAACGGGAGACGTTGCAGATGTCAACACCACGAGATGGACACCATTTCCAGCTTCCGGGCATGATAGGGCTAGTTTGGAGGGGTAAAAGCGGAGCGAAGTTCTTCGTCGAGGGAGCTCGACTATCAAACCCTGCCCAGCCAGAAATATTTAAGCTCAAGTCGCCCTACCTCTTAAACTTTTTAATTGATCAGACTAGTGGAATGTCTTTGCTCCTGCAATCCCGACACCTCTCGACTCGAAACCATATACCCACTGCGACAATGAACGACTTTCTGGAAAGATGTCCACCTGCTTACGTTGAGCTTCTCGGCAGCCTCGGCATTCAAGTGGGATACTTCGCTTGCGGGATGATCATGGAAAAGATGCGGCCTGCCTACGTCACCGCAACATCTCGTGAAGTCCTGAACAAGAGTATTCTGAACCACGTCATTCTGAATTCCCTCCACTTCGCCATAGCAACTTGCATGGGTGGAAACTCGATTTTGTCACAAGGATATCCCAAAAAGTACCAGTTGCCGTCGTGGACCGAGCTCATATCACAGCTGGTGATCGCTCTTGTGTTACGGGATGCTGTATTCTGGATCGTTCATCGACTGTTACACATCCCTGGACTATATCGAGTGCACGCGAAGCACCATGAGATCAAGAACCCGGGCGACCACCACATTTTTACCATCAGCTACATGTCCGTTGCAGACTTTTTCTTTTTGTACGCAATTCCGATAGTATCCGTGGCAAGGTTCTTGGACATGAAGCTCGTCACAACGTTGGCCTTCTCCTTCATTTCTGCAACGGGAGAGCAAGTTAAACTTGTTTGGGGAGACGAGGCCCATGACGAGCATCACGTGAACGGGGCGGTCAATTTCGGAGCATACGGTCCCATGGACTGGGTTTGTGGAACTAGCGGTCAGTGATTTCTTGTCAAGATTCCATGTCCCGATGCATGATTGCTTATCTAACCTCCTATTACAGCCTGAAGAACACCGCGCGAGACACGTGGACGAATGAATGCACAGCGGCCCGCTGTGGAGCGTGGAATGCCGATGTGGTTTGCCGTGCTTTTGAGCTCGTGGGCGATTTGAATTACGATGGCCCTGCCTCTTGGGTTGTCATTAAGTATTTGGTAATTTGGTCCGTGTATGTCTGCAAGTTTTTGAGCGATTACGGTTGGATCTTTGAGGGAGGGCGGCAGCGTTGGACTCTACTCAATTATGGATAGTTGTCACTCATTCGATAGTCGATCATGTTTCGATCAAGTTATGTTTCGTTGATTCATTACCGTGGGTGGACTAGAATCGAGGTGTTCTATGTTGTTAATTAATTGCATTAAGGAGTTGCTACTAATCGAAGCCTCATAATTGCTTCCGCTTGGGATCTTGTAGCCGCGCTAGTTCCAACAGAAGCCTGTAGTTGTAAATTGCAAAATCCACCTCACGCAAGGACTTGGCATGCCACTCTCTCCCCTGCATCGCAATGTTTCTTGCTCGTTGCTGCCCACTATCAGTTGTAGTCAAGTATGAAACAAGCTCAGGTAGCTCCTCCATGCTCAGGCTGACGGGCACATAATGTATCCAAGGAACGAGGCGTTCATCGTGCCACTCGCGGAGAAGAGTCTGTTTCAGTGGTGTGGACTTTGATGCTAGGAACTTGTGATAGCGCCCGCTGATGCCGTTTCCGTCAAGGTCGAAGACGAGCCGTGAGCGAAACGCTTGATTCTTGTCCACCCAAGACCTCACATTGAAGTACGAGTGTTGGTCTCTGCACTGTGTCTTCCGGCACTGGAACAACCTTGTGAAAGCAACGTCGTACAAGCGACTGTTCAAGAAGCTTGAGGTCACACGCTCGACCACGCCGTTGACTAGCCTCAGGTAGGTATGGTGCTGTTCTTCGGGCTGATGCAGATTCTGTGCCAAGGCCACGAATCTCTGGCGGTGATAATTCCTCCAACTGCCATCTACAGCGAAGCCACCGGTGTTAGACCCAGTCCAATAGACGTTATTCCTTTTTTTCTCCCACTCGATATCTTGGTCATCGGCGTACTGAAACTCTTCCTCCAGATATGCCGGGCTCGGGTACACAATATCTCCCATTGATGGGAGAGCACCTGTGGATAGGATAGGCACCAGGCCCTCGATCAAACGAAACGACTTTGGTCTCGCAATGAGACCATGTAGGGAGGTATGCTTGAGATGTCGGCATAGATCCGCAGCCACTGATAGGTCTGACACAAATGGAAGGCCACAGGATTCGACGGTCGAGTTTCTCGTGTGCCTTGATGCGAGTTCTTGGTTTGAGCAGTGCTTCGAGATTTCTTTGCCGACTGGTCGTCCCGACATATTTTTCAGATTGAAACGACCGAGGGTGATTGAAGGCTGTTCACCAATATCTTCTGCAAATTGCGAGGGGAGGAGAACTCGCGGCTCGTCGAGGTGATTTACGAGAAACTTCAAATCCGGGATCTTGCTATGCTCTAAACCCTTTAACAACTTGTTGAATGAAGACGCAATGTTTCGGTCGAAAGTACGGGATGCGTGCTGGCATTGGGTTGTGCCTTGTGCAGACGAAAAGGAGCAAAGCCAAAGGTCACTTCCCGTCGCTTCGTACGCCATGCGCATCACTTGACTAACTTGTTCACCGCTCATCTTGAGCAAAGGCGATACAGAATCAAATATCATATCGAAATCGTCGATAATGGGAGACTGGTTCGCTATTGCAAAGTCAAACCATCCTTGAAGGCCTGGAGGCGGCTCTGTCCTATATCGACGTACGTATTCGACATGGGCTGCCGTGTAGTTGGCCGATTGTGTTCTCAGCAGGTGTTGGAATTTGATGTCTGCTTCTCGGCTTAAGATCTCAACAGGATGTTTCTCGGAATGACCAGCAAATGTTTGAGCTGTAGAGACTGCATCTCTGGCAACGAAAAGATTCATAATGTAAGGGCCAAGAGAAGCAATAGCTAATAACCATAGCGTTGGAACTCTCTTCGTCTTCGATGGCTTGAATATCAAGTGTACCATATTACCCAGTGCCAGTATCGACACTGCCAGATGTGAGATTGCTTGGAACTCTGAGGCTTGTGAAAAAGGACCAGGGGTTGCGGTGATCCCAAAAGTCCCTATCGCTGGTGCAATGCGCCAAGAAGTGCATTCGGCCTAACGAAAGTGTGTCAGTCTAGGAGCTAACAGGGTAGATCGAAAGGATTTAGTTACAGTCCTTGCCATAAAAAACCATGCCAAAGCCTTAGCAATGCCCAAGAATACTGTATTCGGAATGTTGATCGTCGTGAAGTCGAAAATGCTGGCGTCCATTATCAAGCACGCGACGAGTAGGACCACGACCCGAGGAGCCAATGCAGTGACCGATTGTTGAAGATGCACTTTTGGATAGAAATATGTTCGGTATGCTGCGTTAGCATGCTCAAAGGAAGCGTAGATTACGAGCATCGCAATAGCTGGTATCGCTGCGAAGGCAGATGCCTCAAGATCCCAGCCACATAGTGTGAAGGCCGCAAAGAGTCCGATCAAGAATGATACAGGTAATGTATCAAAAAGAAAAATTTGTACTTTCGGTCGAATCGATGGCGTAATATCGGGTGATGAGGGATCGGATCGCGAGAAACCACTCTGAACAAGCAAAAGGAGTGGGGATAGGATCGGCTAGAACTTCCGGTGGTCAGAAGGAGGGATAAGTAAAGCGAAATCATGGTTGTAGAAGTGATACGTACTAGAAAGACTACAACGCTCTTGTACTCAGCTCTGTACACCGAGACCACAGCGATGGCAAAAGCGACTGCCCAAAGAGATAAGGAGCCTGCTGCAACCCCCGACCCGGGACCTCGAAGGATAGGAGACGGGAGGCTGTCCCTAGAGGCCTTGTTGTCTCCCAGACTGTATGAGCTTTGGCGAGCACTGCGAAAGAGTATTGGCAGCAGTAGCCAGCAAAGCAGCTCAGACCATAGCTCAGTGGCGTTGGAAGAAAGATACTGCGTCACAACAGTATAGATCGCGGCTGTTCCCACAGGTCCCGTGATGGAGCCGAACTCCTCGATAGGCTGCCATTGGAGCATTGGAGCAATTCCGACTGTTGTTACAAGCAGACTTTGAAAGACGATTACTTCCAAAGATGAACAGCTGTAATGAAGGAAGGAGGGATAACCACCTTTGCAGCATTGCTACAGAGTCCGAAAAAGAGTATAGACGAGGAAAAGATGCTTAGATCCGGTGGAGCAACCTCGCAGGGTTTTACAGCCATGTATCAGGCGAGAACAACCGGCATACACAATGCGAGAATAGGAACATGACCCTGGTAGCCAGCAAGGGGTTGGATCAAAAGGGTTTGATGTATTACTTGTGCTAGACACCACTGATCGGCTTCCCAAAGCTACGATTGGGAATACGGCAGGACTCATAACGATTTGTCCGAGAGGCCACGCCAACAATTCTATTGCGAAGCAAATTCTTGATGACGATGAAGGTCAATAGTAGCTTGAGGTTGGGATTCATAGTCTGTAAAGCAGCTAGGCTGCTTTGAGCTATACGAGGCTCGTCTCATCCATCGTCGAGAAAGACATTAGAGCCAAGACACCGACAGAAGCCGGGCGATGAATCCATCTTGACCGGGCGGCTCAATTGCTTCCACTTACGAATTCATCCAATCATTCAATACACCCTTGTCTGACGGTGTAACTGCTATTGCATTCCGAGAGAAAGACAGTTCTTGGATCTGTCGGGTGTGGGCCGGGGAGGCGGAGTAGCATTGGCATGACGTTTGGTAATTAGCCTCAGGTCTCTCCAAGAGGTGCCAATTTCTAGGCAGCAGTATAACAAAAAAGTGTCGAGGGCGTTATGCGGCCCTGCGGCAGCGCGGCCCCGCGATTCGGAATGGAGCCGAGCTGCTCGGGCTGGGAAAAATGGGTCGAACGGACTGTGTTCAGTCGGTGCATGACTATTGTACTTGTATCTACCCCAAGCGGGATGGTGCCGGCAGAAGAGGGAAGTGACGAACATTTTACCATTGGACGTTGGAGTTCCGCATGCGAACCGCATTCGGGCGTCGGAGACTTACTTAGCCAATGTAGATCTGATCCTTCAGGTTATGGTCCAGAGTGTCTTAGAGATGCTTTTCGATAACGCTTGGTTCTTCGCTGCGTCATTCCCTAGTGATCTCTGGGATGGGTCCAGATAAGGTAGAAGGTTTCGGGAAGCAAGAGAGCCTGGGAATATAGCCCTAAGAGATTATTGATTAAAGATGTTTACACATCCAGGAAGCTGTCGACTGGATATCAGCTGTTGAGCTGACAATGCACTGCTGTTTGAATGATACCTTCATATATGACATTAATCTCTGGGATTTTCAACCAATAGGAAGGGTGGCCGAGTTGGTTATGGCGCCAGGTTAAGGTCAGCTTAACATCTGTTTCCTGGTGGGGCAACCCGCGCGAGTTCGAGTCTCGTCCCTTTCATTTTGCTTTTCTTTGACTGTAGAAAGGGTCTAATAACGTCAGTCGGGCAATGGTTTGGACTTCTTTTTGCTTTTGCAGCCAGAATTCCACCAACTAAAAGGTGTGTATCATGGCACGAGATGTCGCGGAAGCTACGAAGCGGTCGTCGACGTGTGAATGAAGTACGCTCTTCTCTTCAGGGGGGTATCTATTATGGTATCCTCGACCAATTTTAACTAGGCATCTCTTCACCGCGAGATCTTCGTCCCATATAAACTCTTCGCGTCTTCTTCAAACCGTCCTCCCACTGACATCTTCTCGCATCACCTTAAATGGTGTACCGGAACCGCGGACTCTCATCGCCCAGCTCCGCCAGCTCGTCATCAGAGAGGTCGACGTACTTGTTTTCCATACGACCGCCCTGCCGCTGCTTGTTCTCCCTCGAGTACCAGAACCACATGAAACCGTACATGCATGTTGCCATACCGACCATGCTCAGCGTCACGGCGTGACCGCGGATATAGCGCGGCTTATCGACGGCTTGGCTGCGGAGGGTCCTTCTGTCAGTTTTGTTGATGTGAAGGTGGTGATTATGTGGTGTGATGGGTCTAAGAAGGGAGGAGGACTCACTAGATGAAGGACGACATGACGCCGGAGCAGTTGCCGATGGTGAGCTGCATACCACTCGCGGTCGTCCGCTTGCCGTATCTCGGCGAGTTGTTCGGAAGCTATAAGAAACACCAAAATTGTCAGTCTCGACGTCATGTCGATGACACCAGAACAGCAGCAGAGGAGGGTGACAACTCACCCAAGCAAGTGGTAACCCGACCACAACGTACAATCCCGCGGCGACAAGGAAGCATCCAAAGTAATGAACACCATTTGAAGTCGGTGATATGAGCACGCCGTAACCGATGACGCTGATGCTCCCAAAGATGACACAGAACAGGCCGCGCTTTTGTGTGCGGTCCGAGAGGAAAGCCATGGTCATGTACACCACTGCACCGAGAAAGTAGCACGGTACAGTCAGCAGCTGCACCTGCGCCGCCGTCCACGTTCCGAGACCATTTATGATGGTCGGGAGGAAAGTCGAGAAGCCTACTATCGTCAGCCACAAACCCTACAACATCAAGAACGAGTGAAACTCACCGTAGAGCATCGTATCGGCCCCAAACTGCGTAACGCAAAACACCCACACCTTCCAATCCATAAACGCCTTGAGCATATCCCCACGACTGAACTCCTGCGCGCTGCTCGTGTTGCCGTACTCCCTCCCCCTCCGCCTCACCAACACCGCCTTCTCCTCCTCGCTCAAGAAATACGCGCTCCCCGCATCGTTGGGTAGCGCGAAATACGTCACCACACCAAGCACGACCGTCGGCAAGCCCTCAATGATCATAATCCACCGCCACCCGCTCAAACCAGCAACACCCTCCATGTGCCCGATCCCGTACGCCAATAGACCACCTAACCCGCCCGCGATGGCAGCGCTGACGAAGAGATACCCCACGCGCAGTGCAAGCTCGTGCTTACTGTAGAAAAAGGTGAGATAGACGTTCAACCCCGGGAAGAGGCCTGCTTCGACGACGCCCAGGAGGAGGCGGCATGCGATGAGGGCGCCGTAGGAGTTTACTAAGCCTGTGAGAGTGGCGATGATGCCCCAGGAGACTGTGATGAAGGCGATCCAGCGGCGCGGGGTGAGGAGCTTGAGGACGAGGTTGGAAGGGACCTCGAAGATGATGTAGGTTACGAAGAGGATTGAGACGGCGACTTGGAATTGGTTGCCTTGGAGGTTGAGGTCGCGTTCGAGGTTGTAGAGGCGGGCGTTGCCGATGTTGACGCTGTAAGCGTGAGTTGAGGGCTGGGAGTATATCCGGGGATGACCATGAAACTTACCGGTCGAGGAAGCTGAATAGGTAGAGGAGCATCACGAGGGGCACGATGTGCATGTCTAGTTTGCGGACGATTTTCTGTTCTGCGATGCGGTCTGCGAGCTCTTGGTCACGAGCGTCCATGTCGGGGGAACTGGTGCCGGGGCCCAGGCCGGTGTCTTCGTAGACGCGGTCCTTGCCGGAGGCGTCCATGGTTGTCGTGGTCATGCCGGTGTTACGGCGATAGGCCGGGCGGAAGAAGAAAAAAACTCTATGATGTCCCGGGTGTGCGGGGTGGTCCGGAAGCGACGAGCGGCTCAGTGAGTCTGCGCCGGCGATGAGCTTATGGCGGGCCTTTCTCTGAAGAGCTGGGATTAAGTTCTGAAAAGGTGTAAAGTAAGAGATGCCACGACCTCTCTCTTCACCCAGCCGATAGAATGGGTTGAGAGCCCCCTAGAATTCCACTCCGTTATCGCCAGATGATGCTCAAGGTAAAGAGGAGCGCGGGGTTTGGTGATGTTTCAATGGCGGGGTGAGTGTGTGTAAGGTATGATATCTGTCGCAAACTGCGCAAACAATGAGATTTTCTCTTTGTAACCTGCCCGTCCGGTTCCTATGTCGGCGGGGTCTCTGAAGAGACAATGGCACGATGTCGACTAGGTAGTCACCCGAAACTCCGCCGAAAAAAAAAGCTTGACGAGCTAGAGGGTTAAAGACAATATGGGAAGCGCCGCTTCTGCGAGTCAGCCAAGTTTGGGATCAATTGGAGGATGATTGACTAGCAGAGATGAGGCTCGATTGACGACAATGTAGAGCAAGAGTATGTAGCAGGTCCTCAGAAAAGGTACTCTAGACTGTGAGAAAACTTGAAGAGTCACGTAGATAATTAGAAACACACCAAGCCAGCCCCTCCCCCTCCATCGTCCCGCCCAGTTCTTACCTCCCCCACGGCGGCGTGATTATCTTGACATGTGCAGATAAGACCGCAAAAAGCCAAGACAACCCCCCAGGTCTGGAACGCAACCGTGGTAAGCTCGGAGCTGCGAGCACTCTACGAGTCTCTAGAGGCATCGGGTGGCTGGTCTGGTTGGATTTTCTTTGCTTGTTTCATTTGTCAGAGACCCGCCCCGGGTTATGTTCTATTCCCGCACATGTAGGAGATACCCGACGTGGTGCCACCGCCGTAGGCCGTGCTATGTAGTGTGCGTAAGCAGAAGTGCAGGCCGCGACACACGTTACTGCTTGCTTAAGTACCCCAGAAAGATATGCACCCTACAGTTACTCGGTATCGCTGTCAAGTTCCAAGACTTGTTATCGTGATGTTGCGTCTGAAGTCTTGGCTTGCAGGTAGAGATAGACACCGTTCAATAGCATCGGTAATTTTGTCGCCGATGAGTTTGTAGAACCGGCATGCTCGCTGGCCCTTCTTTTCGAGACTTAGTGCATGGTGTTGCCAGCGAGGACGAAGGCATCAAGCTGCATTTGGAACCACTTTTCGAAGCGATCAAGAGTATGATATCTACAATACGGAGTACCGAAGAAACCTACGCAAATCCCCAGTTGCGCCAACGATATCGACCGAGTTTGTTCGCGTCACAATCGAGACCAAGTGCATTCAAATTGTATATTGACTGACGAGGTATCCTTAGGTAGATAGAGTCATATTGCGACGCAGTTCCGTCTCAAAACCAAATGAAACACCCGCGATTTCATTGTTTCCATGTAGAAGCAATCGCCCAAAGGTTACACAAGAGCCAGGAACGCAAACACTCACACATTTCCATCCCATCTCCCAGCTTCCAAAACGAAACATCAACAACTTGGGATGAACAACTGGCCCCTGCCAACAAACCTATCCCCGTGCTCCCCTTCGTGCATACTTCACTCTCCGAGATTCAAGATTCAAACCGTGCTCAGCCCTCGAACCCTTCAAAACCTTCCCCTCTCCCGCATTCTCACTGACGGCCTTCACAAATAAAGACCAACCAGCTACATCTCGTCGCGGTGAGGACCACTTGAGTGAGTGAGTGAGGCCCACCTCATCTATCCCCCGACGCAGTCAGCAAACGCCGCATTCTAACCTGCACGCCACGCTCCCACCGGCAAGCTTCGCAGGTCGCAGGCCGCATCCGCCGGGACGCCGTTTGACATGACGAAACGGCTGGAGTACAACCGAACCCAGCGAGCGTATCATAAATACAAGGAACCTTCAGTCGTTTTTCTGATGTTCTCATAAGACGTCTGACCTTTCAGCCTCCTTCAACACCTCAAGTCTCACAAACTGACAGCAATGGTTTACTGCACACATCTTTCCATGTCGTACACATTACGAAGATTATCTACCGAATATCCTCTACGTGGAAATACACCCATCCCCTGAAGCAGTCCTTCTTCTTTTTTATAGAGCCTGCTTTCCTTGCCTGTTTCTCATACCAATCTATCCCGTATGGGACTCGATGCAACGCTTTCTCAAAAATGTCCAGGTAAATGACAATCCATCCTCTGGGTGATCCTTATATGCATTTCCCTTTAGTCTCCCCATTTCCTTGAATTCCTCCAATCTTGCCACAACAAAGCTTACACACACATAACAAAAGAAATTATAGCATTATCGATACCTCTCGGTAGGCATCTCGTAGACATCCGGTACAGGACCCGAATTATACGTCATACCCGGCGCGGGTCTCGACTGCTGTTGCGGCGGCTGCTGCGGCCTGGGTTGTGACTCGCCCATCTCGACGACCTCGTCTCCTCCCATCTCTGCGGGTAGGATTCTCGTTCCACCGAGTTCCTGCGCGCCACCCGTCGGCGGGCGAGATCCGTATCCGGCCCCCGCGGGCGAAACGGTGCTGTTCGTCATGGGGCTCACGCTTTGCGAGGGCGGCGAGAGCTGGTGCTTGGGCACGGGCTGCCGTCTCTGCGTTCCCGCACCCGCTCCGAGCGCAGCAGCGCCTGCTGCAGCACCACCATAGCCGGCTCCAGTCTCGGACATACCTCCACCGGGCCCGCTGAGGGGCGAAGGACCGTTGGGATCGTAGGCGCGCATGTCGTCGAGGTCGGCGCGAGAAGGTCGGTTAGCCTTGCGGCGCTTGTAAAGCCAGTATCCGATACCAATGAGAGCAGCAAGTCCAACAATGCCAACACCAACACCGATTCCGGCCTGTGCGCCGGTGGAAAGGCCTCCGCTGCTGCTGGAACCCGTGCTCTGCGCACCGCCCGTCGCGGTTGCGGTGCCCAGGCTGCCGGTCGTCGGGCCGCTTTCAACGGTAGTAGGCGCGGCGGTGTCGATGGAGGTTGAGGTGACGGTCAGGGTGGATTCGACGGTAATTGTGGTCTGGGCGTTGTTGAAAAGGGTGCTTGTGACCATGGAGGTGAGGATGGTATTCGAGGTCGTTGTGAGGAGGACGGTGCTAGTACGGGTGGCCAGGACGGTGGAATCAGCGCCTGCTGAGCCGGAGACGGTGACGACTACGGTGACGAGAGCGCGCTTCTCGATGACGCCGTATCTTCGGAGATCGTTGGCGTCGGCGGCGGGCGTGATTTGAGCAGCCGGGGCGTCGTAGGGAGCATCGAGAACAGGAAGGAAGTTGAGACTGCGCTTGGCAAGGACGGTAGAGGTGACATAGTTGGTCACGGTGGCGGTCGCGACATCGTTACTGGTGATGGTGGTGGTCTGGAAGGTCGTGGAGGTGACGACAACGGTAGTGGTGACTGTACGCAAGAAGACTGTGGTCGACGTGACTGTTCCTCCTCCGCCGCCGCCCACGGTAGTGGTGATGGTGACTGTGGTGGTGGCCTCTGCCGCAGCTGTGGTCTCTGTCGTAGCCGCCGGAGTCGTGGCTACGGGTGTTGTGGAAGTGGGCGTCGAGCCGGTGCCGGTTTGTCGGGGTCGGAGGACAGGCAGGGGCTTGCTGCCATTATCGACAAAGGGAAAGGCGGTGGTGAAGGAGGACCAGAGTAGGGCCGCGAGGCCGGCTGATCCGAGACGCATGGTTGCGATGCGGTCGCTCTACGACGAGTAGAGGACCGAGAATGAGCGCAATGGCAGTGGTGAAGATTGAGATTGACTTCTGTTGGAGGGAAGTGGGAGGTTTAAACGGGGGAGGGGGGGCGAAGAGTTGAGGACGGATTGATGGAGGATGAGGAGGATGTGGTAGGTAGTGACCTAGTCCTAGGGTAAGGCGGGTCGGAAACAAGTGTGAGTGAGGTGTATGTGTGTGTGTGTACTCCGTAGGTGTTGTGCCACCACGGCGAAACACGGTGGAATGGGGATGGCGTCGTACAGTTTGGTTGTGGGAAGAGGCGACGAAACGGTGTGAATAGACGGATGAAGAATCAATCGACGGGGAATACGAAGTGAAGATGGGAAGCAGAGGATGCAAGATCCGTTTGGTAGGTACGCAGTAGGTCACGCCGGCACAGGTTCGGTTGATTACGAGAAGAACTTTTAATGGAAGGAACGGAGACTCGAGAGTGCGGGAAAGAGCGATGTAGATTTAGCATCGATTGGCGACTGCCTCCGTTTGCTGAGTCCTAGAGTCCTGGGCTGTTGGCTGTTCACTAACTTCACTTCGTACACAACTTCTCCCTCCCTTGAGTCTCGACACGAACAACCTTCTCGAGTCCTAGAGACCTAGACCATGCAAAAACGCACACAATGCAGCCAAATCTGCACAAGTCCCAGCAAGTGCGCCTGTACCTCCGCAACAGTGCAGATTCCGTCGAGCTTAGCGTCCCGGCCGACGGGTGCTAATGGAAAAGCCACTCGTAATAGCGTCCACCCGTCCAAGGTGGCGCGGTTTACTGGTTTTTTGCCTCATCTGTCATGGCTCATGAAATGGTCCAAATGGTTTGTGCATGGCATTTCCCCTTCTCCTATGTATGAACTTCTCTGACGAACTCCGTCTTCTCCGTCAGGCTGGGTACTTGGGCAGCGCTTCTCCTTTCCATGTTCCATTGAGTCTCTCCACCGTCGGATACTGGAGAGGAGCCCGAGCCGACGGTTTGAAAGAGGGGCCCGTCTCCCAAGAACTTCGAATGAACAAGTGACCGAGAAAAAAAATAGACAAAAGAGTGGGCGGGAGGGGCGTTGAGGAATTGACCACTCCATCTGCTGCTCTCCCCAATCCCAAACGGCAGGTCGTCAGTCGATACTGCTGCTCGAGGGCGGCCCAAACCCAAAGGAAATAAGTCCAAAGGGCGACGGAGCGAAAAAAGGCTAACAAATGTTTAATTTGAACAGGCCCAAGTAGGAAACACAATGACACAACCACACAAGGGGTGCACAAAAAGGGACGACGATTCCGACGGCGAGGGCTTAGAATTTTCGGGTGCCCGACAACCTGGAGCTCTTTTCGACAAGGTCTCTCCCCGCCATCCGAGAGTGCTCTCGATGCTGATGTGCGCCGCTGCTTGGATACCCGCTGAATGCTGCAATGGCAGTGTTCGACAAGCCCGTCATTGGCAGCCCGCGGTGGCCGGGCTCTTCGCACGCACACACGCACACACGCACGCCATCATGGGGTGTCCCTGAACCCCTGGACCAGTGGACCCTGCCAGCCATGAGAACCTTCAACCGAGGTGCTGTGCGCCCCCAAAACGTGTCTCTATCTCGCTCCTTCCGACCTCTATGCCGTTTGGATTGAAAAGATGGCACAATACGGAGAGAATTGACAGCCAGTCGATGGTTATCAGCTATATTACCAGGGCTCGGGGCCAACGAATGAGTATCGATAGCCAGGCAATACACGGCGGAATTCCATTGGACAATCAGCAGCAATACGAGATTGTCGGAAAACCGCCTTGGACCTGCGACGGTCAACGAAATCTCCCCGTCAACTCCAGTCTCCAGCCAAACCCCAGTGTCGCCTGCCCCATCATGCGGTTCGCGGGATGAACCCAAGCGGGCAACATACGATGGCTGAGTAACCAAGGGCCCCGACAACGGCCACGACGACGACTACGACAGCGACGCGTAAAAGAAGAAAACATGTTGAAACTACCATGATAACGAGGTTTCTTCCACCCGTATTTGCATCGCGCGGTGTTGAGAGGTTTCAAAACGTCGCAAACATCCAAAAGTACAGAATGCACCCAGACCCTTGATAGATGTTGCGATTCTCCCGCCAGGGTTCACTTGGATCCCTCCCCGGGCCATAAAACCACTTCCGTGTCATCGCCGGCGTGGCGCTGGTCATCCGGGCGTCGAACGACCCTGGATTCCTCAGATCGTCAGCTAGCGCCACATTTGCTTGCATTCGCGCATTTCCTGCCAAATTCGATCTTTTGGCGGTGGACCGAATCGCGACATTGACACGCGCCCAAACTATTGCAGCGTGTCGAGAGAAGAAAGAAGAGCGCTCGTGTTCTGTGGTAGCGAGTGAGTGATCCTACTCGTGTCTCACCCTCGATAATGCTTCGTGATCTATCCGTCTGCTCGCAGCTCGAGGGGACGGAGTATCTAGTGGTGTTGACGTTCCGTCATGCGATCTGCGCATGGGCAGAATGATATCTGGGCAGACGCTTACAGCAAACAACGCATAACAACACACACGCACATACGCGCGCCAGAAAATGAGCCGAAACGGAATACGAGATCGAGGTGCAGCAGCTGGCGCCCCAGTAGGTCTACAGAACGGTCGGTTTCGGGAGGTGTGGTCGCCAACAGCGTCATCCTTTGTAGATCAGCACCGTCTCCGACACGAGAGAAGATTGTAAGGATTCTCGGGTCTCAAAGATGCTCAAGATGGGAGAAAAACCCGACAGGACCCAATCACTCCTGGAGTCCGTCCAGTTAGTTCTACGCAGGAAGCAGTCTCATGCTCGGAGTCTATCAACTCTCAGAAAAGTCCGCTACTCAATCTCTTACCACCAAGCTGGCAAGCTTCGAAAGTGCTTACCGCGAAAAGAAGAAAGAGGGGACCGCTCGGGACACTCGGGCGTCGAAGAGTCGAAGGGGCCCAGCAGTTGTAGTTCCCGGAAATTGCCTAGAGACACAGCGTCCACCGGCCGGTGAGTAATCCAGTTGCCAGCTGAGCCACACCTCATTCTGAAGTCCGGCACACGGCGCGCTCACTCAGCTTGGGGCTTGACGGGACTTTCATAACGTCTGTGCATTTGCCTTTAAGTGGGAGTATGGCTCACATGTCACTCACGAGGAATGCATCTTTCAATTCAAGCTTTATTTCTCCAGAATTTGCTCGTCATTTCCCCCATTTTGTACTCACAAGTGTGAAACACTTCACTTTTGTACTATTTGACATGAAGTCGCCTCCATTCTTGCCCGCTCCCTGCCAAGGCCTCTGCTTGGAAGGGTTCGTCCTGCCCATGGGCCGTCGCCGGAAGAGTGGACAGTCTCACTTGTTATGACTACCTGGATGAGCTCACATGATCGGTTCACTCCGACTTCACATCATAACGGCGGAAGCGCACGATAGATGACCAGTAGAGATAACCACGGTTCACGTCCTCTTGTTGACTGAAAGTGCCTCTATTGATCTGTACTCATTTTAACAAACAATTACCCAGCAGCCGCAAAGCAGCCGCGCCATTGTTGGAACTGAGTAGCGCAACCGAGATCAAGATGTGAAACGATATCAAGATCTGAAGTTGGTACGATATCCTCCGAGAAAGGGCTTCGTCGCCTGTATTCCATTGACCGCTTCATGGCGTCACTACACCCGTCACTACCAAAGTCTTTCTCTAACTTTGATCTATTTTCTAGCAGTCGATGGAATGCGCTTGATGTATCTGCATCTAACCCGCAGGGTATATATTCGGACGTGGAACTTCTGGACCGTATCAAACGCTACCTTGTTACACGCCTCGACAGTAAAGCCGTCGGTCCCAGCTTGAGCACTCTCCTAACTGTCGACAACGGCATCTACGGGAACCGCGACATTCATGTCCACACTTCAGGCTGGATCATTGTCTCTGTACGGAGTATTCGAAAGAGAGTACCTGAAGTTTCGACGCCGCCAACAAGCCGTCTTGCCGCATTTGGATCTTGTATACTCTTGCGCTGCTCCACGAAGTCTTGAGGATGCCCATCGGTGATATCACCCAAGAGATCCGCCGACGTCCGTACACACAGGGCCTGAAAGAGGTCAATCTCATGCTCGCCCAATGCCGTGTCCACCCCAGAACATCTGAGCTCCTCATCCTCGCCGCCGTCCGTACCGCAAGCAATCCAAGCACGCCTGCCATCCAACCAGGTCGGCACATTAATCGGCCCATCCCACGGCCTCATCCAATCGCCCGCGAAGAAGTTGATGGAGGCCAATGGACTCTTTGCGTAATGTCGGATGAACCTCGCAACTTGGAGGGCACTCGTCGCCGTGAGCAGAGGGCTGGCGAGCTGCTCCACCGGACCGCAGGTATCCTCGCAACGGACCGGATCGTACGGGCCCTGTTGACGACGGCATTCGCTCGCGATCTCGAGGTATAGCGTGAGGTTGGTCAGTCCAGCCGGGAGGCCTGACGAGAGAGCGCGGAGATCCTCCCATGGCCATGTGCCGTTGCGGTTGAGGTCGATGGTCAGAGATTGCAAGTTTGGTGCTAGGTTGCGAAGGTCTCGCATGACATCCCTCGGAAGCGCTGGTCTTTTGGACTCTAGGCTTTCTGGCGTTCGCCATTCCAGGTGAGTGAGTGAGCGTCCATGGTGTTCGAGTATGGGGATGATGGACTGGTCTTGGCCTGCGTCTAGCCATGAAAGGCTGTGGAGCGAATGCGGAGGTAGAGAGAGGGCAAAGTCTACTGTTGTGTTTCGTTCCAGCCTCAACGTGCGAAGGCTTGGTAGAGATAGAGGCAGTTTGCTCTCGACGAGTGTCTCGGGAGGACCGTCGTAGTCCAAGATGGAGAGATTGCGGATCTTGGAGAAGTCCATCGCGTCGAGCCATAGTTCGATGTTGCTCACCGACTTCTGGTCATCCGAGAGTAGCCTCCATTTCAACCACCCAAAGGCATCACCCGACCAGATCCAATCGCTGAGGTGAGTCCATCCTCTCAATGGATATAGGTAATCCCCACCAGTATCGTAAAAGTGATACTTTTCGAGGGATAGTGTCTCCAGAACGGGGAGATATCGTGATGCTCCGGCAGGATTGAGGGGAAGGCTCCAGCGATCGGGTTCTCCTACACAACCGATCTCTCCGATGCGCAGGTTCAGCGATGTGATGTTGGGACAGTGGATGAGAGCATCGTGGGCTTCGGCTAACGACTCGTAGTCTGTGTTGCTTGGGCTCTGGTGGGACGGCGGTACAGTGACTCTGAGTTCCGAACTGGAGGGGCAAGTTACAGGTTTTGCGGGTGAGGCGATTCCGGCCCAGATGAGGAATGAGGTGAGAGTTTGCGTGGGAAGCATGATGGATTCAGTCACCGATCCCCTTTCTGAACCATCGGTTTCCGTTGTGATCCTGCGGCGAGGATGGAAGTTGAGCTTATCAGGTAGAAAGACGATGGCTGGGAGAGGTGACAGGGGCATGTTGGTTGGACCCCTGTTTCGCTGTGCCTCATTCAATGTACTACTCCCCGCCATTTTTCAAGGTTTGCTTATGCTTTATTATCACAGATATTTGCCCAGCAGCTGCAAAGCAACTGGCCTATTGTTGACACCAAGAAGGGCAACCAAGATCAAGACATCGAATGACATCAAGATAGCAGCAGCACCAACCAAGTTCTCCACCTCATCGTTATCAAGTAAGGGGAGGACTTGGCCATTTCTTGCAGCAAGCAACAGCAACCACCGAAAGTCATCTACTTCCCCATCACTCCCCCTCTCTACCACAGTCTTTGCCCTGAGCCGGAGGAGGTCTGAGGAAGATGCGACCGAACCCCCCAAGAAGGACTCGGTTGCGTGTATGCGCTCGATGCAGCCGTTGCCAATCTCCAGGACATCCATTCGTACTCGGAATCCTTGAGGTGCGTCAAACGCAATCTTGCCGTCGGCCTCGATGGTAAAGCCTTTGGACCCGGCTTGGGCGCTCTCCTAAATGTCGATGATGGCCTCTGAGGGGGCCGCAACATCCACGTCCTCGGTGTGCTATGTCGAGGAGTGGGCAATGCTCGCCGCACCTCCGACTAAGATAACATGCTGCCGTAAGCTTGGCCGGACAAGGGTTGTTGCTGCTTTGAAGCAGGCAAACAGCGCGTCGCGCATGGGGATGGAGATGGTCTTGGAGGAGTTGGGCATTTTGAATGATGACTCTTCTTAGGGATGTTAGAAACATTGAAACATTGAGAGCGAGGTTTGTTGCTGAGAGGTTACTTGACTCACAAAGGATCTAGCTTCGAGCGAACAATACTTTGAACAACTGAAGAGCTGATGCAAGTAACTTGTAAGTAACGATTACCAACCTATCATCGTTAGCAATGCACACGGTAAATGATTCGATGCTTTATCAAGAACCTACCAAGAGTCTGTCGATGATGTCGCGAAGAAGAAAACACAGCAAAAAGAGAGGGAGGGGCAGTTGTCGATCTGACTACTTGCCTTCCCATGCTTTACATCACCTGGTGCCTGCTTTGGCAATCATTCACGTCTATTTGGTGAGACACTTGGGGCAGCTGGTGTCCCTCGGACCTGACTCATTGCTTGGGAGTTTTCATGTGCCTGGAAGACAGGAAAGAGCGTGTCGACGATGTGTTTTCCCTAAACACTGGGTATCTATCGTGAATGCTACCACAACGCCCTCAATCGTGCTCGAAGTAAACGACTATGATCTTTTCGAGAGTTTCCTTGCTTCATCAAGCTCTTCAGTCGATTCCTCCCGCCGCCTCTTTCTCTCAGTTCTGGGTGCCATGCCGGTTTCGCTTCTCGGCAGGTTAATGTCCACGATCCAGGGATAGCGTTCCAACTCACCATCTACCTCGAGCGCGGCGTTAATGAACATGGTGCTCTTGACCTCCGACGAGCTCAGATCGTTGCGAAGATGTCCTGCACTACAGTATCGCTGCGCCCTGCATACGTCGAGTCTCGTCTCCCTAATCTTCTTGTCTTCTTCAGATTCGAACCGGGTACCCCCGAGCGTTGCGAGATTATCTACAAGCTGAGACTTTTCGTGATTAATATCACTAAAATGTGAGGGTTTGTCGGAAATCTTCGGGCGCCAAGCTGCGTCCTTTGCTCCCCAACCACCGTGTACATGTCCGAAACAGTGTAAACGAGGTTGAGACTTTGCAACAGCAGCAAACAGATCCGAACAGCCGATGCGCTTCTTATCCGCAGTCATGTCCATAATCCCACGCGGCGGACCATGCGTGATGAAGATGTCCGTGTCGGCCTGGATTTGGAAGTCATGTCCCTCGCTTTCGTTATACGAGAAGCCCCACCCTTCAGATGATGACGATGATGGCGTGTACGGGCTAGCGTAGACCTTGAGCCTTGTGCCGTTCGCCAGAGTCAGTTCGTGTGTACCCTCGTCCAGGAGAACGATGCCGTCCTCTTTGGCGTCGGTGAAGAGCTTCCTGGCCAGCCCGTATCCGCCGTACTCCCGTTCAAGCAGGTCTGCTTCAAGTGGTGCGCCGTCGATGCGGTTGGCTTCCTCGACTTTTGCTCTGAATGCCACGGGGTCGAGTGAGAAGTCGTGGTTACCTGCGATGACGAGCGTGAGCGGTGCTTTGAACGACTTGAGCATGCCGAGAGTTTGGCGGAATTCGTCCATTTTTGAGTGCTGTGTGAGGTCGCCGCAGTGGATCAGGACATCAGTCGGTTCACGAGGCATCATTTCAGGTGGGAATGTGTGGCCATGAGTGTCGGAGATGATGAGGAATCTGGTTTGGGTGGTGGAAGACATCGTGTTGAAACTGCGATGTTGACTGGAGGATGTAGGAAGTGGGACTTGGCCGACTGTTGAAGACGTCAAGTCTGAGATGAGTGGTGTATGTTTTCCCTCGGTATTTCGATTCAGCTGAGAAATATACTAAATACTTGAATGTGAAAAAGACGAGCCTGGGGAGAATCTCTGCGACATGATTTTGAATCTCTGTAGTCTCCCCACATACATATCTCCGTTTGTGTCCATCAAGTGACCTACCAACTGGGTTTTCAACTGCCGCCAGATAACCTTCATTAATCCCCTCGTGACACCTGGATAAACTAAATGACGAGGCTAGGAAAACACGATTATAGCGGTGATGCATGGTAGATGATGTAGGGAAAAGGACTTCATCAACATCGAGCAGAGAGTGAGCCGCTCGACAAGAAACTTATCAAATGGGATATGGGGGCGTTGACAGTCCATATAAACCTACTACAAGAACAGGAGGATGGACTGCTACCATAACTTCACCGAGACCTGCAGTTTAACCGCGCCGGATCAACCGAAGCCGCAATGGCTCGGCTCCGATTGGGGTTCAAAGGCGGCGCACTAGCTGGGCATTCTCAGCCGGGCAGGGACGGAAGCACGCGCATTCTACTGTGAAGCAGAGAGGGAGGATATGGAACCGCCCTCCTGGCAAACACGATCACGTCTGGTACCACAGTGTTGAGGCAATTCATTACACTAAGTACACATCATAATCTCGCAAAGTCCCCTTGTCTGCTCCGGCTCGAGAACGAGATACCCGAAATCGCCAAGCAAAAAGCCAAGCCGTCCCTCGCCCATCACCCCTCACTCACACGCCACCAAGCACGAAGAGCCACTCAACCAAATCGCGCTCGCCCGGCCTGGAAATCCCCGTATCTACTCACCCAAGTGCCCGGATGACAAGACCGATGTCCGCTGGGCGCGTCCGATATTATCACTAGTATCAATATCTATGATATAGGGTGTATTCCTTTATATGTATGAGAAAGATTCCTATGCGGAAAGGGTAGCGATTATAATGATGTAACTAGTGAAAGGGGTAGATAGGTGACAGAAAACCGATTGCCCCCCACGTTACCGAATCTACTGACGTCGAAAAAAAAAAGAAAAGAAGCCAAGCAATGTTAAGGAAAACGGCTTACGACCCTACAGAAAGAAAAATCCCAACCACGCGGCGGCATGTAACACCCCTTGTTCGTCCGATATCATCCCAGTCGGAGCGTTTTACAACAGGCGTCTCGAAACCCAACAAAGGGCACACGTCCCTACCCAAGCAGTCGTCATCTTTACACCGGGCTCGGGCGTCCGAGCGCTTCCCTCATTCTCCTAGGGCCAACGGGAGCCCGAACAGTGGCGAAGAAGACTTGAGGAAGGGGCACGTCTCACCTCATCTTGGGAGTTGTCTCCTTACAGACATGCACGACTGTGTTTGACAACGAGAGAAACGGCTGAAGGAAACCAAGTTGACTTTTGCAAGAGCCTTGTGCCCTGCTGCATCAAGAACTGTCTAAGTATACTGATGATGGCATCGCTAGGTACAATGTAAATGTCGGTAGTAGTAAATAGTATATCCACAAGGGGTTGCGGGGATGACGCCCAAGATTATCATCATCCACCGATGCACTTCCTCACTGTCGCACTCCAAATTCTCCTCTCCGACGGCATGCCTGTGATGCCGTCAACCGTGTCGCCAATACCTGGCATCCACCTGGTCTCGCGGCGTCCGGCGCAACTGCAACATGCAACCCCGTGGTTCAGACTCCATGATGGTCTATCCTACCACAACTGATATATGATGGTAGAGATAGATTGATACAGGCAAGCAACGACGCTGATATTGTTGACAAATAATATGGTGGAAGAGGGAAACGAAACGAAATTGTTGCCTTTTTCTTTTTCTTCGACTTTGGCTTAGAAGTTCTCCTTGCCCCACACGAACGAGAAGCTGCAGTAATATTAGTATCGAGCATGTCGTCAGGCCTAGAATGGTAACTTACCCAGGTTCACTGTACTTATTACAGAAAATGTGCAGCGTGCTACCCAGACCCTTGGGGCCGCAGAAGAATACACCAGCCTCGGCGGGCGAGTGCAGCTTGCGGATACCTCTGAAAATCATGTCCCAGTTGGGTCTGCCGAAGTTGGTCGGCGAGCGCAGGCCGGTAATGGTATCCTTGTCGGCGTTGGCGTCGTTAATCATAATGTTCGTCGCGTCGTCCGCCTTGATCTTGGCCGTCAGGTAGGTGTGAATCTCAATGCGGTTATCGACATCCTGAGCTTCAATGGCGAGAAGAAGGGAGCGGAACCACTCGAAAGAGCCAAAGTCTCTGCAAATCCAGAAGAAGTAGACCTTGCTCAGGCGGGTCTTCTGCTGAGGGTAGTTCATGCGGTACCAGATGGACTTCAGGATGGAAGCAAAGGGCGTGACACCGATACCAGCACCACAGAGAACCGAGATCTCATATTTGAAAACGTCCTCAGAGGCCGAGCCAAAGGGTCCGTCAATGTAGACACGGGGCAAGACACGGCGGAGGGCGGGGTCGACCTCGCTGGAATCGCTGTTGACACCGACGACCTTGCTCGCATCGTCCTTCTTCTTATCCCATTCGCAGCCGAGAGCCATTGAGACGGCACGAGTGAAGTCACCGACAACACGCATGTGGATGGAGATGTAGTCTTCCTCGGGGGCGCTGGTCAAGGTGAAAGGGTGGTACTGCCACAGAGAGACAGCGGGACAGCAGAAGAAGATGTACTGTCCAGCCCTGGTCTTGGTGTGCTCCTTCTTGATCTGGATCTCGCAGACATTGCTGGGGTGCTGAATGACCTTGGAAACGTACGTCTTGTGGCGTCCACGAACCTCACGAGCGACACGCTCAGCCAGGTAGACGAAACCGCCGTACATCCAGTACTGCCAAAACACACCGATGGCGGAAGTGCCGATGCTGGTGCAGAAAGGAGCAAAGTCGGGCTGAATCATGCAGAAGGCACCGTGGATGGACCAGAAGAAGAAGAAGACAATGAACATGTGGTGAGTGTACCAGAATCGCTCGTAGTTGGCACGGCGGGGCTTCTCAACCGAGGTGAAGACCATACCCATGAGCGCGATGAGCATGACATAGCCAGTCCAGCCGGGTCCGGAGACAAAGTTGGCCAGCAGCCAGCCGTAGATTCCGAGGTTGTTCTTGGCGGCGATCTGGGCAAAGTTGTTCCAGTGGGCAATGGTGTGGACCCACGAAAAGAAGACAATGGACCAAGCGGTGGTGATGTGGAAGGTGATGTTCTTATCGAACTGGATGATTCCGTTGAGTGGAGTCTGGCGAGCCAGGGAGATGAGCGTGCGGCAGACGGGGAAAAGGACCAAAGCGACGTCGACGTGGAGCACCAGCGCAGCTGAACGTGCAATGATGAATGTCGGGCCAAATGTGTCTCTTGCTATTTGCAAGTTGTCCTTGAGGGCGAAGTTGACGGAGGCGAAAGCGAAGACAAGGCCGTGAAGCACGAGGAACACAAAAACAAATCTGCTTAGAGTTAGAGCCTGCTGTCTAGTAGTCGGACTGGGTGTGCGTAGACGTACACTCTTCGGTATCCTTCGTTAATCATCCAACGGTCGAAGCGCTCCCGCATCGTCAAATCCTTTTGCTTCTCCTGAGTCATCTCTCCGGAGAGAAGCATGCGGGTAAGAGGTGTCCATCTTGAGCGTTCCGAAGGCTTCTCGGAGCCTGCATAGTAGTAATCCATGGCTGGCAATTCGATCTGGCTTGTCGCTAGCCAGGGGTTCTTCGACGGCTGTTCTCTTGCTGATTTCCTTTCCGATCCGAAATATCCCAGTCCAGTGGAGGGTTGGTCTTCTTCTCGACTCTTTCTCGGATTTCAATTAAACTTCCCCGTTAACTCTCTTTCCTTCCCTAGTCGTTGGCAATTTCTATCGTCGTGATGATGGCGGTGTGCGAATGGTCGCGGGTATAATCGAGCGTTGGGGATGGGTTCAGAGCCTGCTGAATGGGCGCAGAAAATAATGCATCTAAATGAAAGTAGGCGAAGAGAAGTGAAGAGTCGATCCAAGAAGTACGCGCGAACCCAGAAAAAGAGCGGAAATTCGAGCCTGCGATCCGTTGGTCACTGGGTCAGCGAAATGAAGGCTTCACGCGCGAGGCGGTAGAAGGATGGAAAGTGGTGGGAAGGGCACGGAGCTGGAATGTAAATGACAGAAGGTGGCGGGGAGGAAGCAGAAGAGAAGAAGAGGCGGCCGAGGGGCTTATGGCGCACAGCAGAGTGTTGGAGGCGCAAGAGAGTGTGTCCGGGAGAGTGATGCGGCTTCTCTTGCTGCTACTACTTGTCTGCTGGTAGGAGAGGAGGAAGAGGGATGGGCGGTAGGGGGGAGTGTAGGAAACATAAGGTGATTTTTGTCGATGATACAAGCCACGCTGCTTGGTTCGGTTCTGGTCGCACACTTACCTGCACACAATGCCTGCACTCGGCGGCTGGATAAAATTCTTGGTATTCGCGGGGGATTGAGAGGATTGGCGATAATTACTTGTCCCTACTTGCAGTAGCGGAAAGGGGTGTGAGAGATGGACGCTGGAAGAAGGGGGAAAAGAGAGTCAAAAGCACAGCGTCCGGGAGGTGGGCGATCACAGGATGAAGAGGAGTGAGAGCGAAGTCTCGGGTGTGAAGTATGAGAGGTGTGTGAGGTGGATGCGTTCTGGTTCAGGGCGGGGAGTGGAGGGGGGCAAGGGGAGGGGAGGGTGGCAGGGGTGCTTCAGGACAAGGGGGTAGGGATAGGGGGGGGTCGTGTGGTGGGCAGGGAATGAGGGCTTCACAAGTCTCGAATGGAACGGTGAGCATCCGCTGGACACGTTGTCAAGTAGCAGAAAGACGCGGCAACAGATGCTGTTTGTCAACTTATATCATACCTGAAATTCATAATCATAAAAGCCATATTACGTCTAACGATAGAATGAAGTTGTCAAAGACAGGTGCGTGTTGATGTTCAGGTACGGGATTCAGGTGGTCGTCGGTCTCAGTGACATGCCGAGATAGTACGAGAGCCTGCGACATTATGCCTATGGTGGCTCGAGAGGCAGGGTACTGATGAGTATCGGTTACCGCAGGGCCTCCGGTGTAAAGGCAAGGTTCCAAGGGTTTGGGGAGAACAACCACATGGGGGGATGGGTGTGTGTAATTCAAGAACGATGGTGTGCGGGATCATAGACAACGATGACTAGACTAAGAGATGGCGTCAATGGGAACAACAAGCAGATAAGCGGACGCGAGGAACAAGTGGAAAAGGGGCTTACGATGAATAATTGGGGTTGAGAGGTGAGACTGAGACTGAAGGTCCTGGACTAGAGGTGAGTAGTGTACGAGCGTGAGAGTGAAAGTGGATGAAGCAGAGAGAACAGACCATCACGCACAGAGCAGTGATGGTGCAGAGATGCAGCTTGCGCAAACGCGTTGCAGATACGGCACGGCAAGGCAGCCAGTGGTTCACTCGGCCGGCGCGGACGGCGGACGGACGGTGTTTTCGCGTGCCATTCCACTCAGATCGAGGATTCGTCTCACTCGAGATGGATACTATGTAAAGACTGGCTGCAGTTGAGGGAATGGAAGGAAAAAACGTCTGAGCATGGTCCCAGGGCAGGGATGCCAAGCAGCTAGAGCCTCAGGGGGCCAGGCCACATTACGCTTACTTGGGCGGGTCCGGAGATGTTCTCGGCCAATCATCGGTTGTGGATCAATGCAGGTACAATGTTCTTGCCGCGCTGCTTCGGGACGGTGCATTTCTGCATCTGCGCTTGCCTCTCGTACCTCTCTCTTTCCCTCCCAAGTTTTCCACATGGCACGGTACTGGCATACGTAAAGCATGAGAGTACTCGAGTACAAGCTTCAAGTCCGTCGTCGAGGGAAAGACTCACCGGACGCTCTTGTCAAATCGAGAAGGAATATCACGAGCGTTGCTTCAGGTTAACCAAGGCAGGCGCCAGCCAAGTAGTTTTCATAGCATCAAAAAATACAGCAGGTGGCCAGGTCGTGGGGAGATTCTTTCCTTCCATGGGCCCAATCGAAAACGATAACCCCGCCACGGGAACCAAGCCCAATGGCCCATCCGTCTCACCGACTCTGCCTGTCTTCCGAGTCTTGGCTTTTCCAGGCTCACTGAATCCCTCTTTTTCTTTCCCGAATACACTAGGTACTTACTTTACTCCATAGTGACCGAACACTCAGCTTCCGCCGATTAAACAACACCGCAGAATCCCGCTCACATCATTCCATCCAAACCCCCAAAAGTCATGATCCCGGCTTGGACGCGCGCTTCCTGGCTTGTCGCCGCCCTCCTTCTGTGGGCCTCGTTCCCGTTCCTGGGACACAAGGCCGCTGGAACGGGCTGGACGGCATCGCGCACCCACTAGCTTCCCTACCTTAATATCAAAAAAAGCCTACCTTATTCGGACAGTCGCAGTCTGGGATCACCGTCTTTGCCCGCCAATCACATCTACCGTGTTCGACTTCCGGAATCCACTCTCCTCCAGCTCAACTTCATCGGACGCTGGCCGCATCAAGAGCTTAGACCGACAACGAGCCGCCTACGAAGGTGGTTGACCATATTCGTACAACTAATTAATCGCCACGAAGCCAAGCCTTTTGGACATCTGCGGTCCATATTGCCATCACGGAGCATGCCGAAAGAATCCACCTTTACCGACGGATATAGGTAATTCGCTTCTTTGTACGGCATCGTTCCCCTGGGCCCTGGCAGTGGTCATCCCACCGGGCCACCAGCAGTCAGATACGATGAATCCTCTCAAATACAGGAACATGTTGTCGATGTCCAATATGCCATAGGGCACATAGCCATAAAGCAATGCAGGAAATCTCATCAGCCCCTTCCGCCTCACCACGGTCGCCTACGCCTCGTTGCTGTTTGGGCCACGTTTGGAACAAGGCTGGTCTCCCGCATCACATGTGGGTAATGAGGCCATAATCCTCCCCGGCCTACAAACTTCCAAACCGCCCAGTTGCACATCGATACGCCCCCAGCCAACAGGCACAGGCAACAAGTCTTGATGAAAGCCACCTATTCCTCGAAATCCTCGTCAGTCGTCACGGCAGTGACTCCCAAACAAGACAAGGGCAAGCTTCAGAATGCGATACGTACCCTTGGCGGGGGTTCGGTTTCTGCCCGTCTGATTGGATCCAGAGTCGTTTCGGAGATGTAAAAGAGGGGCGTGCGTCTCGATTCGTCGCCTAAGCCCGTGTCACAGCTTGTTTCGCCAGGGATGTTTTGACACAATTCTGATTTCACAACTTTTCTCTCTTTCCTGTGTAGGTTGTCAAGTCTCGACTCTCACTCACTCTCGACTGCTTTTTCACTGATTGTGGCGCTTCATCGCTGCTACGGCACGCACACTTTGGCCCCTTGATCATCACGCCTTCGGAAAAAATGTTAGTCACTTGAGTACGTGTGTACGACATTGCTTAACACACTTCAGCTCCTTACTAAGCGGCGGAACCAACTTGGCTCCCCCCTCGGAAGCATTTGTCGAGACTTTGGATAACGTCGTTGGTCAACATCTTCTGCGCTCTTCCTAGCCAATACCCCGTCTGTTCAGTCTCACAAACCACATGGCTTCAAACCCACACTCCCCCCATTTCATATCTCACTCCCCCTTCTTACCGCCCTCCCGTCTCTGTTCACTGAAGCCGGAATATTCTTAGCACTCTCATTGGCTAGGATCCCTCGACTCGCCCTGCCCTGGATCGAATTCAGAGAGGCACCGGCTACACATTCGCCATCTGTCACTACGCGGCTGATTGCCAAACCTCTGGCTCGCCTCCCGCCGCACATCTCGTCCCGTCACCGCGCAGATTGATCCCCCGTCAACCACTCAACATCCTAGTGGAAGATCACTCACAATCTACGCACTCAGGACCAGTTCAACGTAGCGGCATATGCAAAAATCAGTTCATATTTGAAGCTGCTCTACCCCTTCCCGCTGCCAGCGTAGATCATTGGCAACCTCAAGCCAACTTCAATGGCACGTTGCCGCCCGCTGCTTACGCAGAGGATGCCCCTCGTTGCCCCTACTTCAACTACTTCGAGACAGTCTTGTCAAATTGTCAACCATTCGTTAGCAAGACAAGCTCGCGGTTTGTGTCTGCTTACAAACTTACCTGCCCTTGCCCTTGGCTTACAAGGTGCTGGCAAGAGCGCCTACCGGCGAACTGAGTGAAGATCCTCATTGCATGCAACTGAAGCCGAAATCATCTGTACTCGGCTACTCAAGAGTAAATGCGTCTCACCAATCACAGATTGCTAGATTATCAATCTGCCGCCCCTCTGAGAGTTTCCCCCTTGAGATTGTTGCGGACTCAGCTGCGTCAATCTGCATGTCCTCATCAACCCAGCGGCTGAAGACCCCCACATTTCAAACTATGTCTCTACCAGCCTCATTCCATCTATCTGATACAGACTCAGTCTCTTCCAAGTCTCGGGAAATACTTTTAATTACATCCCGCATTCTTCAGCCTGTCAAGAGTTTACTTTATTTGCTCGACAAGCAAGACCACCTGTTCACCACGGTCCATGAACTCCTCCGTCGCTCGACCAGTCCCTTGAAATCCGAACGACGCAAGCCCCTGTCTCCTGAACAGACTCCATTCCCACCTTTACAAAACGCGCGATATTCGCTCGACCTTTACCTGACAGTGGGCACACCTCGAGTCGATCTACACGGCACGATTATCCGAAGCGTCGAGGCACTGCCCTCTCCTTTGAACACTTCTCGAACGTGAGGCCCGTCTTCTTCCGTCCCACTGCACTGGAGACGATTGTTCCCGAACAATGGCCGTCTGGTATACCATCGACACTCGAGCGCTCGACCTCAAATCATCAAGTTTCAAAACACACCAGCCTTGCCCTCTGCTAAACATCATTCACCCTTTGCCCGCCTTTCTACGTATCGAGATCCGTATAGGGCACACGCTTGAAGGAGGGACGCAGGGCACAGGCTCCCGTCCTTCCTCGTCTCTGCCTACCCGGGTGGCCCTCTCGCATCTACCGGCCGTTTTGAGTAATCTCACCTCTTCTACTCTTCAAGTGAAACCACGTGCCCCCTTCCGCGGCTGGAAAGGAGCCGTACATACACACAGATACCAGTACACATTGCCGCTCATCTAGGGCTAGTCAATTCGCTCGATTCGTGAACACCTCTTCCGTCCCTGGAAGAATGGTCTCTCCATCGCCACACACATCCATCTCATCTTTCCCGCGCCCGGCTACCTACGTAAAGGCAAACGATTCTCTTTCCATCCTCGGCCAAAGGGGGCCACCACCACTTCCAAACTGGGCCTCACACGTTTCGTTTGGACTGATGTCGTGCATGTTTGCTGGCCCTACAAGTCAACGCAAGGAAAGATCCAAGCAACGGCGAGCCCGCAGGCCACCAGTCCTTTCTAAAGGCTGGTCCTGGTTCTACTTCTTTCCTGCAACGTCGTTTATGTGATGCATATGACAGTGTTCCGGATACGATCTAATCTGCGCCCGTTGTTATTCACCTTGTTCTTAACAACGCGATCAATAAGGCATCTTAGCGTCGGATGATGTATGAATGGAAGGCTGAGGCTATCCCCGTGGATTGGTATCCTTCAAAATGTTGAACCAGCACGGGAGATGTGCCATGCCAAGGACGATCATCAGCCTTTAGTAAATCACTCTGATTACTATTCGTACTGCCGCGCCTTGCTTCGAGAATGATCCGTCTAGTAAGTCAATATGCCATATACGTGGATCGTTGCCGAGGCGGTGAGGCCGGAAAGTGTCCAGCCTTCCATGGGTGTGAGCTGGATGCAATCACCCAATCTTCCGCCTCTTTCCTAAACATGTAGTATAGTATCCCGTGCTCTTCTTCATTCCTTCTCTTCCCGTTGTGATCCTCAGCTGCGAACCGCATTCGCCCTGGAAGCAAGACAGAATCTCGCTGGGTTACACCTCGAGTGACCATCTTGTCTATCAATTCCCCGTAGACTTAACGTGTCTCTCATTTGAAGCTTCATATCAAAAGCTACATCATCCACTTTTCCCACCCAGTACAAGACCGCGGCTAAACAAGCACCAAGTCCTCCTCACACCTTCTCCTTTGCACACCTAAATCCAAACGACGGATCATCTTCAACTTGTTTCTCGTATCTCGCGACATGTTCCCATAGACTGCCGATTTTAATATCAATAACTCCCAGTATGTCGTTCTCTTGAGCATGCAATATCGCATTGCCTCATCCTGCGGACTGCTAGAAAAACAAAAGAACCTCACACCCACGAATCCCATTAAGTTTCCTCCCCCACCCATCACGCATAGATAAACACACGAACTCACGTGGACACCTATCCAGATCCCATCTCCTCAAACCCATCACCATGATCCTCGGATCCTCAGATCCCCGGGTCCTCGGAGCCGGCGTCCCAGCACACTCGATCCAGGCAAGTCAAGCAGGCACATCTAGACCTGCTGCCCTTGCCACGGGACAGGTATTCCGGTGTGTGAGGGAATCGGAAGGCATCGAAACACCCTATGAACGGGCCTTTAAACACGGCTCCCGGCAGTCAATGACCGCCGCTTAGGACAGATCATCAATGTTACATTGACATCACTCGGTCTCATCGATCACTTACTCAGGTAGAAAGCCTTCTCGAGTCGTATCCTGGGCAACGATATCTGCTCTAGCCCGATATTAACGACGACCGACCCTCGCCAGCCAAGACTAATCCTCTTCATCCAAGCGTTGAGGGTATTTGGCAACCTACACTGGCTTTGAGGAACGCCACGCCTGATACACGAACACACATTATCACGGAAATAATTGGGTACGATGACTACCAGTCGTCTCTTCTGAGGTGTCAACCAAAACGTACGCAGCAATGCAGCGTGAATGCAGTAGAAACATGAAGCCTTGCCGTATGAAAACCCGTACGTGGTACCTGTGCTGCTAACTGTCTGATCGGTCCGCCTTCTATCCACATTGCCCGCGTAACCTCTTCTCGAGAATGCCAATCCGCCGTCAAGTGTTTTGTTTCGACGGCCGAACCGTCTTCTGTGTGCTGGTGAAACGAAAGAGATCCCAAACCGCAACGCAGAGCAATGACCATGACCTAATCGTACGCCAGAGCTGTCGAAGAGAGAGAGGAAAGCCGTCGCCTGTCATACTTGTCCAACCATCATGCCTCGAGCACCGTCTAAATAGCGTACTTGCGAGTCCACTCGCGAGCAGTGGCCTCGTATCTGGCGCGGTCCGTCTTGTAGACGTGTGCAATCTCGGGCACCAGAGGGTCGTCGGGGTTGGGGTCCGTCAGCATTGAGCAGATGGACAGCAAGACTATCACACGTTAGCACAGTGCCTACGTCAGGCTTGGGGTGAGCTATGAGATGACGTACCCTTGGAGATGGTCAACGCCGGGCTCCACTGGTCACGCAGAATATCTAAGCAAATGCTGCCGTTGGAGTTGATGTTGGGGTGGTAGATGCGAGTGGTGAAGTTGACTTTGGGCGGCTTGAAGGGGTAGTCGGTAGGGAAGTGAATGGCGAGGAAGAAGACGCCGCCAGAGTAGGGAGAGTCGCCCTGAAAGTAGGTATTAGCCACATGCTTTGATTCACGTCATTATTTCCAGCTGATAGTTGGCTGGATCTCGGGTACCAGTGCCAGGTCCAGGTCCAACCAACCAAGCATTCGAGGGGGGAAATGGACTTACGGGTCCCATAATCGTCGCTTGCCAGTGGAACTATACGAATCCAGTCAGTCATTGTCTACATATCCCATCGTGGGCACTGAGAATCCGTGATCTCGTGCTCGGCTGAGTCATGATTCAAGGCATCACCACAGCGGGCTCTTATCGGGAAAGATGTAGTCGACGTACCAGATCTTCGCCGACGGGGCCGGCAGAGCAGGAAGAGGGCGGGTCACTGTCAAGGAAAAGAAGTCAGCATTGTGCATCTTTTGAATCGTACTCGTCGGCTTGATGCCGCCATCACCGTCAACATCAGTGGTCCGAATGAGCTGAAAAGTTGCAGCAGTCCTTGTTGAAGAAGACCCCGCTCCCGATGGCCCCACCTGACGTCTCGGGCTGCGACAAAAAGGCTGCGAGTTTAAATGACGAAAAGTGTGCAGGCAACTTACCGGCCGAGATCAGTGAGCTCCTTGTTAATGCGCTTGAGAGCCATTTTGGATGTGGTTTGTGGTTGGGGGTATCTAGAAGATGGTCGATCGCCAAAGCGCAAATGCTATGTTCTGTTGTTGTGAGGGGCAAAAGTCAGCGAAAGCGGTCGGCGGTGGTGGGCTTTTTTTGGATGCAGGATGCGGGCAGAGGTGGGTGGAGGGGTGGTGGGCTGCACTGTTGCTGCTGCTGGCCTTCTGTAGTTTGCGTCGGCCGGGAAAGCGAAACGAAGTGGTATGTGTCGAGATGCGAGGAATGCCAGAGGAACCAAGATCGTGTTGGTATGACACTTGATATATATGTATGCCGAAGACGAAGAGGATTGTCGATGTAGCCGGTGTCGATGCAGCAGCAGCAGCAGGCGTCGTGGAAAGCGTGGATGTGACGGTCTTGGGTGCAAATCATGTGCTGCTGGTGGTAGGGAGGGGCGTACAGTACCTAAACGAGGAAAGATTTATCCCCGAAGAAGATGCTCCCGAAAAGAAAAGAGCCCGATCGTGTGTATAAGGTCGTTCGGTATATCGCCCGTGAAGGATATTACGCGGTGTTCGTGGAGGAAATGATTCGCTTCGTGGCGGTCCCGTTACAGATTGATGTCGAGATTGAAATGGGGTGGGAGGGAAAGGAAGGAGAGAAAGGAAGTCAGCGGTCGGGCCTGGCGAAAAATGACGGGAAGGGGTGAGTCGTGTGGTAACCTTAGGTAGGCAGGAGCCACTTTGGAGGGGAAAGGCAGGAAGTGGGAAGGAGGGGGGGAGCAGAGCGCCAAACCTAAGGCTTAAAGGAAAGCACTGAGGCTGCCCAGCGCGAACCATGGCTTCCATTCACTGACACGACCGGGCAGGAAGGTAGCCGCCCGCAAAGTATCTTTTCCCCAAATTTACTCACAAAGGTACTCGTTATTACCAGAATTGAACCCTGAATGGCCCTGGATGCACTGTTACTTTCCACGGATTCCATTCGATTTGTGAGCGTCAAGAGAAGCAGGAGCCGGGCGCAGCAAATGCAAGTGTGGCTGGTGACTAATGATTTATGACTGTTGATTGGTCATTACCGCCTCAGACTGTCCACCAGGGAATTGGGAGGTTGACAAACGATGACACCCATCAAACATCTACTCACCTACGCAGTTAGGTATTCAGTCATCATTGGCCATTCACTCTGTAGCGTCAGCCTCAATTACCGGGCGACAGGTTTCGTTCAAACAAAACAAAATGTGGTTCTGTGGCCACTTTCTTCCAGTTGTGAAGGACACTCCGAGGAGAGGTAACTTGACCTGTGCACCGCCACATCCTCACTGGACAGCACCTGCAACGCTAACTGATGACAATTGCTGACTGGTGGCGGTTCTGGTAATGCCACCCGATGACTCAGCAAGTGCCTCAGCCTCACCAATTCCCAACCCAGCCGAAGTGGTTCCCTGGTCTTCTACCAACACACCGGCCCAGACTTCAGAGTACCGGTACCTAAGCATATGCATCTACCTACCTTAGCATAGGCGCCAAAAACACCAAGCAATCGCGTAGTATTATCGATTGCTACCTGGATGGCAAAAGAAAAGACATCCCATGCATCTTACCCAACTGGATGATGGATTTGGCCCTCGATGCCGTCCAACCAACAGCGACGCATCAGTTCTCAAGCAAGAAAGCACCCCGGATTCCGAAATCAGCTCATCCTTCTGGGATATGGCGTACCTGAAACCTCGTACAACAGAACATGTGCCGTTCTTCGACACTTATCATCCTCTTCGCGGCGGTCACTTTCTATCAACACCAACTCCTCGCACTCTGCCTACACTCTACATTTTGCATTTTTTGCATCTGCCATCCCATTGCTGTCCGCCGGCTACGGCGAATGACGTCCAGCTCTTAGGTGTCGCCCGAACCCGGTACTTGACTTGGGCACCGAGCGATGCCTAAAAACCCATGTACCTCCCGAGCATCTCATCCCGGGTCTGAACTCTGCCGGGTGCTGCCGAACAAAGGGCCAAGGCATTGCCCTGGCATGTTTCAACCTTTCAACCCCAATCCGCACCCAGCCTGTTCCTATTCTTGTACTTGACCTCCCCTGCTCCGGTCTTTTCCTTTTTCCAGTTACAGTCCCTCCCCGGGCAGGTCTCGCGATCATCAATTCCCACTCTCCAGATTGTGGCTGTACCTAGCTACCAACAATCCCAACTAATGTCCCGATATGCTTCATTGCATGAACGATAGTCTGGGGAACCGCGTCTAGCACTCGGCAAGCACACACTATTCGGAACTAATTCCGGGTACCATTCGAGATGGAGATAACACCTTGACCGCATCCCATCTAAGACGGCTTGAGTCCATTGCGGAGGTAGTCCGCGACGACGTCATTCGCCGACACCGGGTCGTTATGTAATCATCATCTACAACCGTTCAGCCAATCAGATACGACCCCTATTGTGCCTCGGATGCTGCTCGGGACAGCTCCTGGCGGGGAAGACGCCCCGTGCCCGGGCTTCAAGGCCATGTTCCCGCCATGATGGCGGTACGATTTCTCCCCAACCCACCGTGAGGAAGAGTCAATTGATCAGTAGTAGCCATGATGTATCGCAACGCCTTGAGAACATGCGCGACGCGATGCGCCGCAAAGCGCACCTTGCCCGCCGCGAGAACCTTCGCTTCCGCCTCTGATGGCCCGGTCTTCAACTGGGAGGATCCCTTGAACGCAAAGAACCTCCTGACTGAGGAGGAGGTCGCCATTTCTGAGACAGCTGAGCGGTACTGCCAGGAGCGCATGCTGCCGCGTGTCCTTCGTATGTCTTCCCTTTCTAGTAACTTCCATGGCTTACACTGACCACTCTCCATAGAGGCCTACCGCGACGAGCAATATGACCAAAAGATCCTCGAGGAGATGGGCGAACTGGGGCTCCTCGGAGCAACAATTGAGGGCTATGGATGCGCCGGTGTCTCTACCGTTGCCGGAGGACTCATCACAAAGGCCGTCGAGAGAGTCGACAGTGGCTACCGTTCTGGCATGTCCGTCCAGTCGTCGCTGGTCATGGGTGGCATCGCGGAGTTCGGTACCGAGGAGCAAAAGGAGAGATTCCTGCCAAAGATGGCCACAGGAAAGATGCTCGGCGCGTTTGGTTTGACAGAACCCAACCACGGCAGCGACCCCGGCTCCATGGAGACGACGGCCAAGCCTCACCCGACCAAGGAGGGCTACTACTCTCTTTCTGGTGCCAAGACGTGGATCACAAACTCGCCCATTGCCGATGTGTTGATGGTCTGGGCGAAGCTGCAAGAAACGGGCAAGATCAGAGGGTTCCTGGTTGAACGGTCTCAGTGCCCGCCCGGCACTCTCGAGACGCCAGCCATCAAGAACAAGAACGGCCTGCGAGCCTCCATCACAGGCATGATTCAGCTCGACGACGTCCCCGTCCCCAAGGAAAATATGTTCCCCTCCGTCGAGGGACTGCGAGGCCCCTTCTCGTGCCTCAACAGCGCGAGATACGGTATCTCCCTAGGTGTCATCGGTGCCCTTGAGGACTGCATTGCCCGCGCTAGGACATACTCACTCGAGCGAAAGCAGTTCAAGGGTAACCCCATCGCCAAGTACCAGCTCGTACAGAAGAAGCTCGCCGACGCTGCCACCGACGCGGCCTACGGTACCGTTGCCGCGATCCAGGTTGGCAGACTCAAGGACGAGGGCAAGGCGACGCCTGAGATGATCAGCATGGTCAAGCGTCAGAATTGCGATCGGGCGCTGCAGAATGCCCGCGTGTTGCAAGAGATCTTTGGTGGTAACGCTGTCAGTGACGAGTATGGTATCGGGCGCCACGTTGCCAACCTTTTCGTAACGCAGACGTACGAAGGACAGAGTGACATTCACAGTAAGTTGCTCCAGTGGCCGTATGTTTCGGGGATATCCCTTACTAACCTAAGAAACAGGTCTCATCTTGGGTCGTGCCATCACTGGTATCCAAGCCTTCGTGTAATAATGTGAGATGGGAAAATGTGGTCTTGTATATTACCTTGACGCCGGGGAACGGGTACGGTGGATCAAAACATACAAACCTTGAATGAGAAACTTGCGAAAGCTATGCCCACTATCAGAATTGGCCTTGCTTGCGATGCAATGCATCTTAGATGGGAGTACATCATGACCGTGACATGCTTTTGACCTTGCTACTCTTGAGTATCGAACAATGCACTGATATTATGGAAAATCCAAAATACTACGATTTCTTTGATAATCTTGATTTTAGTCGGGATCAAGCCCTGTCGGATTCATCGCAGTCGCAGGCGTCCTCATCATGCCAATGCGCTAAAGTCCTGATGAACTGGCGTGGATGCTCATCCTTCACGGGGCTAGTAGCCTAGAGGTAGGACTAGTAGGACTCGAGCACGCACCACCGGTCTCACAGCCTCACTTCTGACTGTTCTTGAAGCCACCCTCTACAGGTACATGTACCTAGCTGAGGTTGGCTTTATTCAATTTGGTATCTTTCTCCTAGAAAGTATGAATCATGTAACCTCGATCATAACTTCAAATTCCCGTTTTGCCAGACTATTCCCGCACAAATAAATCTGCGCCACCAATTTCCTAGCGCGATTCTGCGGGAAGAAGAACCAAGATCTCTGAAGAGCATTCTGTTGTATCTTCCGTGGCCTCATTCAGAACTGCCGACCCACTACGCCATGCGCCTGTCTCTTTTGCGGTAACACTACAAAACAAGCCGGAAACCAAGTCATGCCGCCTCTATCCCCAGCACCAGACGCCACAACCGAGGCAATCGACTGGGCGCAGCGGTGTCGACTGAGAACCTGCCTCGGCGTTCTCTCTGGCGAGGTTTCTGCTTCAGCTGGGACTAAGCTGTCCTGTAGGTGTCCGAATCCGCTGGTCTCGAGGGATCTCAGCACATTGGGATGGGGAGTGTTCATCGGGGATGATAAGAGGGATCAGGAAGGGGGGTTTCTAGAGAGGGTCTTGGAGTGGTGGAGAGAGTTGAGAGAGGTTTTGGGAGAGGATTGGAGGAGGGGAGGGATGTGGGATTCTGGAGTTTTGTGAGGGTTTGAGTTGAAGGGAGTTGGTCGTTGTTGGCGAGGTTGTTCTATCTACGGAACGAGTGTGGGATCTACATGAGGAAGCACGTAGCAGAGTTTCTAATGATAATCCTGTTTCGTGACAATATTTTCATGTATAGAAGGCGTTAAGTGATGAAATTCAGGCTCTAGGTACATGATATACCATGAAACTTCGGCTTTAATTAGGCAAATGTTGCAACTTGCTCCCCTCGACCCCTTGATGTTTGTTCTTCAAACTTGGCTATAGAGTAGCCAAACATTAATCTAACTCGCACGTTGGTTTCAAAACAAACGCAGACTAAGATTTATTTGATAATTATACGCAGTCGAACTGCTTCGAAAAGATAATAGATGTTGCTTGTATTGGTAGACGGATACGCCATTGTTGAAATGAGCAGCTAGCTATCTACGTGTCCATGCAACACAATCCCGAAAGAACTGGAATGGTGAAAGCTGTATACTAGAAAGTAAAGAGAAATTATGACGGGGAAAGATGATCATGACGTGATCTTGGTGAGATCAGGGAGATGGGTGGATTGCAGCCTGTACGCCTCTCCTGACCTGAGTCCTGACCAACCCCTTGATTAAGATTCTACTCAAACTTGTAGGCATCGAACTTGGCGGGGATCTCATCCGAGTTTCCGCCGTTCTCCCAGATAGAGATACTGTTGGTGACAAAGACGTTAGTAAATGTGACAATGGAAGGGCTGGAAAGGGAGACAAGAGGAGCCTCGATCCATGGAGATGAAGGACACTATAGCTTACTAGAAGAAGAGAACCCAATGTCAGTATATACGAACTTCAGAGAGCAAATAACATCAAATACACAGATGTACTTACCAGTTCAGTGTAAAGAGCATCATCAAGATCAGTCATGTTATACTTGGGTCCGTTCTCAAAGACCATCAAGTTGCCCTTCGCAACGGAAGTGCAGCCCCCGGCAGAAGCGGCGCAGGTGCCATCCTCAGTAGCGCCCTCATCGCGCTTCTTGGAAGCAAACACATAGTTGCCGCCAGAGTAGCTGCTCCCGCCGCAGCAGACGTTCTGCGCGCCGTTGGACTGGGCGACGTACTTGACGTTCTTGCAGTCGCCGCCGCTGAAGGCGCGGCCGATGATCCTCCAGTTGGTTGGGATGGCGCGGAAGCCGATGCTGCGGAAGCTGTCACCAGAAGAGCGGACGCAGCAGTCATTTGGGTTGGCGTTTGTGCAGACGATATAGTCGCCGCCGCTGCACTTTTCGTTGTTCTTGTAGCCGTAGATATCGATGGCCGAGACGGTGGCGATGAGGCCGAGGAAGATCTTGGAGGCGTACATTTTTGGATGGAGCAAGGTGACGATAGGAGTTACTGAATATAGGTTAAGAGTTGTCTTGTTTCGTGAGTGACGTGAGTAGATTGATGTGATGATGATGGAGAAGAGATGAGAGCTTTTGAAGTGAACTATGTCAACCTTTTATAGAAGGTTCTCAAGCCTCGAGACATGACTTATTGTTCCGGAAGTCCGAGGAAGAGCTGATGTCAACTCGATAGGCCATAGTCGTCATCCCAGTCACTTTCTGGATAGCTTCGCCCGGTGCTAGTGCCAACTTCGTATTGCCACGGTGTCCATGACCATGAACCTAGGCTCTGGGGAGGAATACGACAATAGTCTATCACCACCACAGGTCTATGCTATTGTGGATCAGGCTCTTGTGTTGCAAAGCACTTAGACTGGAACATGACCGATCGTCATATCCACAACTGCTTTCAATACCTTGTTCTAGTGAGTATGCACCTCGAGTAATCGACCTGACTTAGAATACTCATTGCCACACCAGGGGTCCTTTGATTGGATGTCAATCTAAGAAGCAAAGGTCCCTTGCCATCGGTTCAACGGAAAATGTAAACGAAGTAAGCAAGATGGACCGGGCCGTCCCCTATACGAGCCAATCAACTTGCGTACGGAGCAATTGTAGCGCGGGAAAGTGAGGTAAGCTTACTTGCATGAGAGCCAAACTTCAACGACAACACCCCACTCCGGCTGCTTTCCGTCCAAGCGAAGGACTGAGCCTTGTTGTCTCTGCCCTACATGCAGGGGACTATGTTCTCTTTGAGATAGTAATCGTTTACCTGGCGGCTCAGCAGAACTATGTCCGTTTCATTACATGCTTACTAGTAGTTGTGAAGTTTGCCTATGAGGCCGGGGTCTGTATACCTCCAAGGTTAAAATGCTATTGCTTGATACTTGCTAGATGCTCGAACATAACATCATGACATACAATTGTGTTAGGGCTAAAATCTGAGCCAGTAGCCCTTGACACCCCTTGAGTGACACGTCAGCTGAAGCGCTTCACTTTGCGCTCGTCTCAGCCCACCGCTGTCGATCCTCGGTGTAACATCGTCTAGATTTAATTACACTTCACTCAAAACTCGGGCAAAGTATCAAGGATATAGTATGGGTACTGAGCGCTTTGAGTGAAGCTGACGCAGGATTCTACCTGCAAAGCACAAAAGGCCTCGTGAACCTTGATCTGTGCCACCGTAATGCTTGGAGAAGGATCGCATAGGCGACTTTCATCATTTATAGGCGCCTCGCTTCAGGCATCGGGCAAAGCTAAGAATAAAAGAGACATGTCTTTCACAGCCTTGTGTCACCATGAGTCGTAGAAGGAACACCCCGGCGGAATTGTCGAGGTATACTACTACTTTTGGCCTCGATGAAACGACAACCATGCTTGTCTAGACCACTATTACGTAGAAAGAACTACTTTCATGCTCAATCTTAGAGAAGTATCTACTTAGTATATGTTGCCTCGCTCAGAGCCGGTGACGCCTCCCAGGATCGAGCAATCTGACTGGTGTTGTCTAATTCTATCAACAAGCGTGTAAAGAGATCATTATTAGGCTTCAACTGTCCAAGTCGTCCATGTAACTCTTAAAGATGACAAAGACTCCATACCAAGATCTTATAACTCCTGGCACTTTCTATGGAAGCCAAATCCCTTCGTGTTGGCATCATACTGCGTAAACATCAAATTTGCGTGAAGAGGATTCCATCAAAGATGAAGGAGATTACAGGAGTTCAGTGAAGTGGCGTAGTCGGAGATGGCGATCAGTCGGATGATGAGAAAATGATGGATTATGATGGATTATTTTGTCGACTCCGAGGCAGATGCACCAGAACAAGGTCAACGTCTACGGGTGGCGGGTGTAGCAGCAAGTGAGACGGAGTTGGAGACGGAGTTGGAGACGGAGTTGGAGACGGAGTTGGAGACGGCCTTGTATCGGCTTACTCTTCCTGGAGAAGTTGGTATACACATGGGCTATTGGGCGTCATCCGGCACCCGGTCACCGGTGGGATACGAGGAAAACCGACTCCGTACCCTGGCCTATCACACGGTTCCACAATGCGCTGTCTCCCAGTGTCCTCTCCACCCCTGCGATGTTTTCTTCCTTGATGCCATTGCTGTCGATCTGAGAGCTTGTCAGAAGGGTTCCAGTTGTGAATGCAAAGAAAGGCGGTAACGCTTACATCGACTAGCAATCCTGCTTGACGGTAGTGTCGTTCCACAGGCGGTCCTTCCTCCAAGTACTCTGCGAACCGCTTCTTGAACTTCTCTCCGCTGTCGTTCTTGTCGCGACCGCGCGCGAGATATCTCGCTTCTGCGTTCTCTTCCGTTACATTGAGTGACAAGACGATGTCGGGTTTTGGCTGACCCTCCTGCTCGAATTAGCCGTTTGTAGCCCACATGTTTGGGCTATATCCGCATCAACATACCAACGGAAGGCGTTCTTGAAAGGGCCACTGCGCCCACGAGGCAAGCTGCTCCTCGCACCTCGGGAATCCGTCGATCAATATCCCGTTCAAATCATTTTGCCGCATTGCATCCTCGATGGCAATGCCCAGGAATGGGTTCAACTCCGTCGACGTGAGGAATCCCTGGTTGTCTAGCTTATCCTGAATCGTAGCGGCGAGAGGCGTCTGGCGGTTTCCTTCATCCTTCATCCAGGTGCGCAGATTATCTCCCACTGAGAAGTGTAGCAGGCCATTCTTGCGGGACAGATGGGTGCAGATCGTGCCTTTCCCCGAGCCGGGAGCTCCTATCACGATAGTGAGCGGGCTTGTATTCCATCTACCGATTAGGGCCGATAGGTGACCAACCGAGAACGAAAATGACTGCAAACTTCCGTCTATTCGGAGCCTTGGCGGTGCCCATGGTGATGAGGCTGGTGAGCTGTTTGCTCGTATGGTTGACGTTGACAGTGTGCTGCCGGGTCTAGTAACGTCGGGAGGGAAGGTGCATCATCCCCGTCCCACGTCGCAATCGGATGGCCGTGATGGCCTACGAAAATTGTCTCATTACATAATCTCTTGTGATACCGGCATTTGAGGGGTTGATCAATAAGTCCTCTGTGTTGATTGGAAGCCCTAAACTCTAATAATACCCGACTTCGCTCAAGTTGGGCATCTCTGAGTGAACCTGATATTTCCTCAAGTACACTGTTGCCGTATGTGGCAATATTTGCAGCGAGGCTACATCTAGAAGCAACAAGGAGAATATATGAGCCCTACGATATCATGGGAATCCTAACTATTGCCGCCCAGACGGCGCTATCGACCTTTTCAATGATACCTCCCTTCTTATGGGTCATGTGTATTGCTGTGCTAGCAATAACCTATCATTTCTCACTACGCCGCCACGCCGACACATCCCGCTCTGATCGATCGAAGACAGCCCTCACCCAGGAGTCAAAACCCAGACCTCCAGTGGACGACCCGGACGCACCTGTCTCTGTCAATTATTTCCCATCCCGAGAATGCAACTATGCCTGCGGATTCTGCTTCCACACCAACACCTCAGGCTACATTCTTCCTTTGGACGAAGCCAAGCATGGCATGCATCTTTTGAAGGATGCCGGCATGCGTAAGCTCAATGTTGCTGGCGGCGAGCCATTCCTTCATCCGAAATTTCTGGGCGAGCTGCTGCGGTACTGTAAGGAAGATTTGGATATCGAAAGCATCAGCATCGTGAGCAACGGAAGCAAAATCCAAGAGAAGTGGCTCCGCGAGTATGGCCGATATCTGGACATTCTGGCAATCTCTTGTGACTCGTTTGTCCGTGAGACGAATAAGGAGATCGGTCGGGGGGAGAATGGCGGAGCCGAGGGAGAAAAGGACCATATCGCACAGGTATTTCGCATTGCCGAGTGGTGCAAGGAGTACAACATCATGTTCAAGCTCAACACTGTTGTAAACATCTACAACTGGAACGAAGACATGGCAGATACGATTGCCCAGTTGGCACCGTTCCGATGGAAGGTTTTCCAGTGCCTGATTGTAGAGGGCGAGAACGAGGATGAGACGCGGGTGCGTGACGCAAGAAAGTTCCTCATCTCGGAGGAGCAATGGCAGACTTTCTGCGGGAGACACAAGCACCTGCCTTGTTACGTGCCCGAGGACAACGAGACGATGGCTGGTAGTTATCTTCTGCTGGACGAAAATCTGCGCTTCCTCGATAAGGGCAATGGACCGATGAAGAAGAGCGAGTCCTTACTTGATGTTGGAGTGAAGAAGGCCATGCTGCAGGTGGCTTGGGACAAGAGTGCGTTTGATAAGAGAGGCGGTGTCTACGAGTGGCGAAAACCGCAAGCTGGAAGCGCCGAGGGAGGTTGTAATAGCGAAAGTAAGAAGGATTTGGAGTGGTAGGTGGTAGGCGGATCATGAATGGCGTTATGCTCACACTTCATAAGGGGGTGGTTAAGGCTATCTGCACGGAAACCGGTAAAGCAGCCCGTCGCGCAGATTGGAAATCGATGTCAGGGTGAAAGACAGGCCTCGATTGACATTTAGGCCATTAAATCACGTATCTTATCTGAACAACCTCGTCTGATATAAGACTCCAAAGAGCAGTTGATCAGATGACAATATAACATGGCTGTCAATGCGCTCAAGATTCAAGGATTCTATGGTAGACCATAATTCCTAGACCACTCCATCTATCTCTTAAGCCTCTTTTTGACTTTGAAATTTCCTCATAATGTATTTTCTCATTCATGAATATTTAGGGATACCTCGGCTAGATATGGCCTGTGATTCTGCTCTTCCCAGTCGAGTCTAGCCTATTTGCTGCCTTGTCGAACTGACGCACGGCGAGCGAGTCCTTTGGCAGGAAATAGGGCCGAATTTCTACCTGGAACCTTGGTTTTGAATAACCGACAGCAAAATTTTGAGGAGACGGAGACTTTCCACATCTTCAGTACTGCCTTCACTAAGTAGCTGAACATCTTGAGTTGCAAAGACTCTCCCTTCGGTATTACCGCGACCCTGATCGCAATCCTAGCGGTCAGCAAAAAGTTCTAGCGCCTGGCAGAGAAAGTCTCGCAACTGCAAAAGATGATTGCAGATATAGGACTATGCGAAGTCTGTTGAGGAACGCCAATATCCTGACCGTGCCTATTGCACGCTTGCCAAGACGGGTTAGCCATGACAAGCTTTGCGGCTCTCGACCGTACGATTAATTCTGGAAGGTTGACGGTCGCGTTCCTCCAGGAAGTATATTGCTTGAGATTGGATCGCGACTTGGCCAGAGCTCACTGTGATCCAGAGTTCACTTACTGAACAGAATGGAGAATTTATCGTATCGTAGGGGCGCAATTTCAAGACAGTTTCTGCTATCACGAACCCATGTAATACCCTAAGCTTAGTGTCGACTCATTGGCCAAAGAGACTGTGAATATACGACGCAACTAAGCTTTCAGGCAGACTGGTATAGGACCAAATTGGACGGGGTCGATAGTATATAATCCAAGCTGATAACTTCTGCATCTCGAATGAAAATATCATAATCACACCAGTTCATTCTCATATTCAACGCTTCAACTTCTACCTTCTACCTTCACGAGCCCAATCGTTTCAAGCACCACTTCAACAATGAATATCCTTCTTCAACTCTCGCTCCTTCTCGGCGCCGCATCTGTCGTCTCAGCTGGCTGCTCAGCATGTCCCCTCGGCAGGTATTTTACCCCCATACTAAGCCAATGAGCCCAAGTCGTGCATATGCTCTCTGAGATGGAATGCTAAGTCTCTGTTTAGTGGAAGATGCACAGATAGCGCCGGCAACGGCTGCAGAAAGGGCGAGATCAAGTATCAATGGCTTGTGGCTCAGAACTATTGCTGCCGCGAGCCCGGATTTGAGACCGTGAAGTGCTGGAGCGCTTGCTAGACAAGTCTACGTTTGTGTAAGTTCTCAAATCACTGATGAGGCTGAAGTTCTTATCGTGGCTCTTCCAACATTTCTGACCGTATCATTGCAGACAGGAGATAGGTATCGTGTTGTCAAAGTTCTGCTTTGGGCTAAGTTGGTTCGAACGAGAAGATTATGGTTCACGTCGTAGTTACCATATATTTAAATGACAATTGGCATCAAGCATGTCTCCTCCCAAGAACGGACAGCTTTTCCACCTTCAAGAGCGCCGCTTTGATGTCGATGGGATTATCCGAGCGAGCTACCCCTGGCCCACTTTCACAAGTCAATACTCCTTCTGACGAGGTCAAGCCGTACTATTGTACACCATCCAACACAAAACAACTACAAACTAGTCAAAGAAGCAGTCACATGCACTGACACACCGTGCCGTCCGCTCCCTCTTTAGTCAAGTTTGAATCTGCTAAGTTTGACTCAGATGATGGTGGAAACTCATGGAGAGCTTGTTCAAATAGCAAGTTGCAAGTTGCCACTGTCTCCCTGCACCTACATGTGCGACTCACTCGGACAAACCTAATGCGATCGGCGAGTGATTCTACCGGGCCCGGAGAATGGATTATACACGTATTCAATTCCTGTCGACTCGCGGAGTCCAACTCCTCGGCAGTAGTTTCTACACGCCCGTCAAAGCCGGTTTTCCGGTTAGATATTAAGACACAAACTCTATTTCGTCCCACCGAAACAAGGAGTGCCAAGATTCCCCAGTTCATCTGGTCGGTAGTATATCGGGAGTTTCCCGAACGGAAAGATTACTTCTTCGGACTTCTCTAGGAAAGAATTCTAGACCAGTGTGGGCGGGATTTACTGATCAGTAGCCATCGAAGGACGGGACGATCGGTCATCCCCGGGCCAAGTGAGGGCGGTCATGAGTCGTGATGCTCATGAGGCGTGGATGGGCCCCTATGCGCCCATGGTATTGCCTTGTGGTCTCCCCTGCGACAAGTTTCCAGGGGCCTAGAGATAAAACAGCAGTCAGAGGGTTGAACTTTATTCACTACGACTGGAAAACCTCCCTTATGATTCCCGTCTCTTGCACTCAAGCACTGTGATATTTAGAAGATGCTGGGCAGGATTTCTCCGTAGGGACATTCGTAGCATGATTCGATATCGCTATTGGAAGCTTAGGCCATTTGTTTGAAGTCCTTAGAGCGTATCATGGTGCACAGCCTCCTTTGCGTAGAAGCGTAGAATGTGATACGCTCTTTAGGCGGTCCGGCGTACGGCATAACCAACCCGAACGCGAGGAAGTCGTAGTCTACGAAACGGAACTTTTGCAATGATTCGATACAAGTTGCGAGCTGCGCTTATGCGTCCCCCATCGAGCATGGTGGCATAGCGATCCACTAATGGAGCTATTCATAAGTCAGTTGTGAAGTTCCACCTACCATTATAGACGAATCTCGTATAAAGGGCAAAGGACTCTACCGTAGTTTCATGTCTTGTCCAGCACAACGATCACTCAAGTCTCAACTTCTTTCTCATTCCCAAAACATTTTTCATTACAACCACCATCGCTAAAATGAAGTTCCAACTCCTTCCTCTCGTTGCTCTCTTCGCAGCTCATGCCTACGCGGCATGCGGCCCTGACGAGACCGAGCTCTTCGACCTCCAGGTTACCACTGGCACAAGTCAATGTTCCAACTTTGGATGTTTCAAAGCTTGCACTTTCCCCGACGGAAGCGGTTCATGCAACGGTTGCACACAATCAGTCTCTAATGACCACATTCGACCACTCGGCGGTAGTTACTGCTGCAAAGGACCTCTCACAGGCCAGACCAATACCTGCATTACTGGCTGCCCCGCAGGTTAGACTTCTTTCGATCATGATTCATAGAGAAGCAGAAGTACTAACGTTACATCTTACACTAGGAACAAGAAGTTGAAATGCTACAATGTCCCACGAGGTCATAGCTGCTTGAACTCGGCAAAACCATCAAACAGTTGAGCTGGATTCTTGTGTGATTGATCGAAACCGAATGCTTTCTTGATTTTCAAGGGATAGCAAGGCATCTGACTTGGAGCGAAGGGGGGGATGCATCATTGATTTAGAGCGTAATGTCTTCCAGGATACCAATATAGCAGCATATTCCAAGTTAGTCAACTTGAATACATGTTACCACTCACCTGATACACATCCCAAATTACGCTGCGACTTGAATATCTGGTCTGGTGTCTTGACTTGGTTAAACAACATGAACACAAAATGGGGTGAAAGCATCAGTTGCCACGGACAAATATAGATATCAAAATAACATTAAAAGGATCATTATCGATCACTCAAGAATTGTAACAGGTTATCGAACATCTAGACGCCCGCAAAGTGCCATCCTTTACGTTGAGAATTATTCATCGGCACCAAACGAACCTTGACATCGTTTGCCAAGCTGTTCATCTGTCTGACAGTCTCGAGATTCTGACTCCTGGCCTGCAGATCCTCATCCAGCCCATGAAAGAGAAGTGCTAGGGGCGAGGACTTCCAGACTGCACGACTTGGCCCATCCCCGGATCTCCTTCGTTGACTGCACGCTACCAATACCAGGGTCGAAAATATCAACTGCAGCGCAAGAAGGGCTATGGGGTATGCTATATAGCCCCATTGAACATAAATGCATGTTTGGGTGATGATAACATGCCCAGTGGCCGCCTTAAGATTAGCAGGTACGTTCTTACGCAACTCCTCTGATGTTCCATAGGCATCATTGCGTATCGTAGCCGTCATTGAGTCAGCCAACCCAGCAACCATGTTGTTGACCGTCGACATGGATGCGTTTCCGGATGCAAACAGTTGCTGACCCCAGACTGAACCTTGGGCACATTGAAATGATTCAGCCTCTGGGGCGGTCATTTTACCACTCAGAAAGTCAGTCATCGTCTCCCTCATCCCTCGCCAAGAGCTTCTGTCTACAACCCAGACGCATTCTCGCGGGTACCTCTTCCAGGTGAGTTTCTCTGAGTGAGAGATCTCGGTGGAGTTGTCAAAGATCTCTCTGAAAATGCCATCCTTGAAGCCGACTCGGACGGAATTACTCGTCCTTTCGTCTACTTCTTTGCACTTTTCCTCTGTGCCGTCAATCAAAACAGTTTCCGGAAGTAACGAAAAAGAAGTTTCATTCCTGGGTTCATCCAAGGTTGCGGGACGTCTTTTTAACAGCTGTTCACCGCCCTCCACCTTTTCTGTATAATTCCCATCAGTGACCGTGGCTTGATAATTTCTGACGCAAGGGTCGATTCTGCATTGAGCCGCAAATGGTTTTCTGTTCATCGGGGAATTTCCAGGCCCACATGAATCACACTTGAAAGATGTGAGCGACAGAATATCGAAGCTGTAAATGGGAGGCGAGCTGTTGTTGTACGCCTCACTGGGTGTGGGTGTCATTGTCAGAAGTGTACCGCCGCCTTCCCCTTGGAGGATCCTCTCGTCAGTTTTATTTTTGCTCCATGGAAGGTACCACGTCGAAACATTGGAAGCGGATGCCGATTTGTTGGTGAAAAGCTCGAAGACAGCTTTGTCCGTAATGTCTTCACAAGAATAACAGATTCCGAGAGACGAGAAGTAGCCTCCTCCGCCATTTTGTGTGAACGTGCAGTTGCGAGAGGTGCAGGCGAAGTTTATTAGCTCTCCAGCCTTTGGAGGGTCCACAAGACCTTTGTTGATAGCCTTCTGCATTTTCTGATTCGAGGTGTCGGGGGCAGCATCGAGGGAGCTGTCGCGCTGTTGAGGATTGCCCGAATAGTTGTTCGTCCGAGACACTTCAGCTATACCAAAGTCTGTCGTAATATTACAAGAGCCAAGATTGATTGTAGCCTGAGAAAAAGCATCGATTGCGAGGGCTGCAATGGTGATGAATGCACCAAGTCCAGCCAAGTATCTGTCAAATCGTCAATAGGCTAACCTCAAACAATAATTGAGGCCATATTTTACTCTCTAATATTCGGCCGGAGAATGCATCTCTTCATCAGCAGAACTGAGCCCCACGGCCCTCGACTCGCATTGTCAAATAATACGAGATCACCTAGGGTTTGAGATCGATCGAACCAGTTCCATTTCAACTGTCCTAAGCCTAATGATTATTGTAAGTTAGAATGTGTACATGCCTCTCGTGCGCCGTTCACCCATCGACGAGAGCCAGAGGCTTGCTTACCTTCGGCGACAGGAAGTATGAGCGCAGCTTTGAACACAGCCGTGAAGACGGCGATCAGGGAGTTGATTGATATAAGCTTCGGCCAGTTGGGTAGAGGCTGTCCTCGGTAAACGGATAGGATAATGACTATGGCAGAGATGCACTCTAATGCTAGAACGCTGCTGAACATCTCCACCCACCACACTGACCATATCCATTCTACGGATAATCCGCTGTCTAGTGGTGTACTTGATGGATCGTTGTTTGGAACTTCATTTTCAGAAAGCTTCGAGGTCATCTGCTTGGAGAGCTCTTCTTCTGAGTCTGGCGAGGATACCTCTGAGACTGAGGCGGGGTGTAGAGACTGCTGATCCGAGATATCTACCATGCTAGGGGCAAGAAAAGCCCTACGCTCGTCGTTTGTAGACATGTTTCTGGTCTCCTGGAAAGAATAACCGCATTGTGCTTCGGCGGGTGTTTCGGGGCGACGAGGAGACAGCTCTATTGGATCGTTATTTTCTTCGCGAGAGGCCATCGAATTTCCGCCCATCGAATGTAAGCTGGGGAAGTACATAGCACTTGGAGAGATGCTATCAATCTTCCTGTGAAGCTTTCAGATGCATAATCAGGCAAGGCTCGACCGAGGGAGGCTAGTACTTATATGAATGGCTACCACGCTACCTACATGGCAAGACATGTTCCAACAATATGGGTCGAGGCTTGAGCTGCGAGTAGCTGTGGCGCTCCCCTTGCTTGTGATAAGATATGTGATTCGCCAACCTCACCAAGCTGTCAGCAGTAGATGCGGTTGCAATTGGTCATGTGTGAGGTCCAAAATAGTTACGAGCTCTGGTGTAACTCTAACAATGTACATATCGGAATGGAAGATTGACATCAGCTTCTAGGTTCAGCCTCAGATGCCCTTCGAATGCAGGCCCGTGGTGCATATGAGCTGGATGTTGAGACTGGGCTTGCACCCTCAGCCTCTCTCCCATTTCCAATGAAGGTCCACCACACTTGTTTACAGCCTTTCACTAATTTTTTAAGCAAGCCATTTGAGCATGGATTCTAACGTGCATATCTGACAACTGAATTAGGCTGTGGAGAAATCAGGGCCCAATTCTTGACGCCTAGAGTGTTGCAAGCAGATACAAGCGACTACATCAAGAAGGCTACTTACTCAGAAGCGGAAGAATCAAGATGGCGCTTTATTACGCTTCACAGATGTGGTGAATTCACACCCACGGCTCATAATGACCAGCACAATGATGACCAGTAGCGGTACATGGAAGCATCATTTCCACTTGCTGTAACTCTTTTCCCTTTACACAAGGGGCACCAAGAGCGCTTGATCTAGAACTAGTATGCCATGCCTTCCTCCGTCATCGCGGAGCTCCCTCCAATCGTCATCAAGGTAGGACTTCTGTGACAAAGTAGTATAGCCAAGCCACAATGATATTGCATAGCCTAGGTAATCAATTTGACTCTAACGTAGAACATGATGTATATGCAGTGGGTCGAATAGATGCTTACGCATGACGGCTTTCGGTAGACCTCAGTCAACTTGGTATGGGACCCTCAAGTAACCAGCAGCCTGAAAGAACCGACATCAGAATGAGCCTGAAGATTTTCGCAGCTTGTTCGAAACTAAGAAGTCTCGAGGCCTTCAAAGTGTCTATTCCTGCGTCATCGCAGCCATGTAAACTGTACACAATCCGGATCGTCTATCCTCGATACTCGTACATCCCGATAACGCCAAGCAATGATGTGTCATACCCTCCAGCCTCGCGGCTAGTCCCAAACCCCCTTCTGCTGCCATCCCACTCTCTCAAAGCTACTCAGCTCAATCAAGAATTCCGTCTCTCATGATCCATCCCGACCATCTCATACCCGCCCTCGCCATCCCTCCCCCTCCCGCGTCCTCGTCCCCTCGAGAACCCAAGCCCATCTTCCTCGTCTCCGGTGCCACCATTCTGCGCGGCACCGTCACCACTGCTCCCAGCACCGCCTCCGGCATTTGCACCGCCTCCTCCGCCGAACGATATTGGCCTCAGCTCGCGGTATCTGGACCCCCAAACGGCCAACGCCACACAGATACCCGAACTGGCCGCCATAGCACCCCACCACATTGCGTTCCGTGGGATGCGGCCGGTGTATAGGCTCGTGACGACGAGGTGTAGACCATGCATCGTCAGCGCGAAGTCGGGCACGAGTTTTGAACGACCGATGAGGATGATGATTGCGACGGCCCTGTTGTTGTGTTAGCGCTGGTCTTGAAGCTCATGCCCTTGCTCGCTCGCGTCCTTTCTCACTTCACCCAACGAGCTCCAGCCTCCCAGAAGCCACAAACCACCAGCCCAGACATCCCATATGAAGTACGGAAAGAAGGGAACAACTCACATGCAGAAACCCCCATCGAGAACCCACAAGAAAGCTCCCAGCCACCCCTGCGTCGTATCCCCCCGAACAGCCTCCCACCCAAAGACAAGATCCAACGTGAACCCCGTACCAGCGACAAGCGCTGAGAAGAGCATCAACACCAGTGCCCCGGCATAGTACAGTCCTTGTAGCGCCGCGATTTGCGCAGCGATGCGCAACGGCGGTAGGTCGTTAAGGGCGCCCGGCCGGGGCGGCTTGCGACGGCGGGGCATGGCGGATGAGGGTCACGGTTGTTTCGGACGGTTGTTTGCTTCGGATTTCGGGGAACGCTGTGGTAGGTAGGTTTCTGGAGCAATGTAGATGGTCGAATGGGTCGTCGTTTTCGTGGTCGTCGTCGGATGGAAGGGAGAGAGCGTTTGTCTAGGTGTCGTTGAGAAAGGACGGTCGTGCGCTCTGTCTTCTTGTCTTGCGAATCTCGCTACCGGCGGAGCATTATCGAGCTTTCCTCTGCGGTTCGCAATAAGAAACTCCCAGACCACCCCCCGGTCGTAATCCCTTCTTCCCTGGAGCAAATCTCCGCGGCCGCTTATAAGCTCTTGCGTCCCTGTTGGCAATCAAAGGCTGGGGAGATTGCGTCAAAGTCAAACCCCAGCGTCGGTTCGTTCTCGTGGTGATCGTTTCCGTCTCTTGTAAGGTATGTCAACGTAATTCGTGGTTTGTTTCGTCCAAGCTGTCACGTTTGGAAAGGATGTGCCACAAGGGAAGCAGCGGGATGTTGACAGTTTTGGTGGCTGGAGTCAGCTGGGCCAGTTTGCGCCACACTTTCTGTCTTTTTGCGGCGCGCGCCGGTGAGCCTGTGCCTGCCTAGAATCGCAACGGCAGAGCTTCCAATCGGCACCCGCCGCGCTAAGGTTGGATGAGGCAAGGCTCACTTTGAAGCTGGGCCGTCAAGGAGCCACCCCGGTAGAAGGAGCTATTCCACTTTAGGCCACCGCTCGATATTTTGCCGGCCCTCCAATTCGAACTTCGCGCGGCGTTGCTCAAGATCTACAGAAGTCGTCATCCAAGAATTCAAGACTTCATCTGAACCGCCACTCGTCGAACATACACGCTAAATCAATCCGCATAACGTCGAAAGCCAACTTCTTCAACCAAGCTATCCTTCGGCACCCACAACCAAGCTCACGACCCATCGATCCCCTCCCGATCCTCCCGACATCGAATTCCAAACCACAGCTGCAAACTTCCCTTCCTCCTCCGACACAATGGGTCTCTTCTCCTCCTTCCAATCCGAGGAAGCCAAGCGCGCCGAAGAAGTCCGCACAGGCGCCGTCGCCCCGGACCGCAGCGAACGCCGCAAGTGCTGGGAGGCCCGCGACGCATACTTTGGCTGCCTCGACCGCAACGTCATCGTCGACGCCCTCAAGGACGACGCCAAAGCCCGCAAGGCGTGTCCCGCCGAGAACCAGGTCTTTGAGCGGGATTGCGCTGCTGCGTGGGTACGTGCCGTGTTTATCCCCCCACTCGAATCACATTCCCCCTCGTGCAGTCGTCATTGTGCCCTTTGCCATTATGGGTGTAGCTTCTAGCTACCCAGCTGTAGAGAGAGGTCTTTGAACAGAGCTCTCAACTGTTCACGCAACAGAGACGAACGACAAGCACCAACCCCTTACCCTCGAGCACCCCCTCAACCCTGAACAAAACCCAAACTAACACCCACCTCTACCTAGGTAAAATACTTTAAGCAATGGCGCGTAGCAGACCTCCAAAAGAAGCAGCGCATAGCCCAGCTCGAAGCCGAAAACGCAATCAAGATGGACGTCACCACCACCTTTGCCGACCAGCCCTTAGCCCCCTCCTCCTCCAAGGGACCGACGCCAACAAAGGTTGATCTGCAGGATATGCTCGCCTCGAGGAGGCAGTGAGACGGGGATCCTTCGAGTTCAAGACAAAGAAACAATTTCAACATGAACGGACGAACTAAACAACAAACCCCAGTCGAGTCAGATTCGGGGTGAAATGGGAGGATTCTCCCTCCTCAGCTTCATTCTGTCTCTGGCCAATCTGCTCGATGACGCCGAGTCGTCGGCAACTGTATATGGGCCCTTTGATATCAGAAAACCCCTCCTTCCTCCAGCCACCATACGCTGGTGTACAACACTGTGTTTCTATACACTCCTCTCCTCAGGGGTCCGGCGGAATTCAGCATAACGTCTGTAGAATAATGTAAACCACAATGACAAAAAGAACCACCAGCCATCAATCAGCGTCAAGCTAGGCTAAATCTCAACGCCCAGGCATCTGCTTTAATGAGAAACACGTCACAATGCAGACTTGTCTTCAACACGATTGAGAACCGACTCTTCTATTTGTGCTACCTAGACGCACCCAACCCCATCCATATTATGGGAAGGGAATAAAAAGCGCCCTCTTGAATATCGCTATGAAGTTTTCCACCAATCCCATCCCACGACTCCTATTTCTTTTTTTCTCCCTTTTGCCTTTGATTCCCAGCAGTATTGGGTCATCACCTAGGGCGGAAAACAATGATCTTTTACGTGATGACCTTTATGTATGAGAGAGTTTCTGTATGGGCGAAAAACACAAAAACACAAAAAAAGAGGTTTGATAAGAAAACCCAAGGAAAAAGGTGGGAAGAGAGAAATGAAAAAGTTTGAATAAAAAAAAAGGAAGAAGCATGCTCAATGCAATGGTGGTATCATCCATGAGAGAAAACACTAGTAAAAAGCTCTGTGGCTCGTCTCGGCTCTCTGTTGCCTCGGTCGCTGTGAGACCTTGTCGAACGAGCTTGCAGAATTTGTCATTGACCCCGTTGATGCAATTGTTGATTTGTCGACCCGTCTCTGTCTCTCTCCCTCTCTGCTGCTCATGCTTCATCCACCCTTCTCTTCCCGTCGCGTGTCGTCCCCTGCTTCGTCATTGCTCCCGCTCGTACTCCTAACGACACTGATCCGTCCGCTGTTGTTCCGCAAGAGGCGGCTTGCGCCCTAGGCAAGGCCCATGCGGAAGCTGCTCTGTCCGCCGGCCTCCTTGGGCAGCGGCGGCAAGGCTTTATCCAGCGAGTCCTTGCTAAGGCGAGGCTTGATGTTAAGCGAGTCCTCTCTGCTCATCGTCGAACCGTTTCCGTTGGGCAGCGCCCCGTAGCCGCTGTCTTGACTTTCGGGCTTGAGATGATGTCCCTTTGGCGGTGTCGGCGGCGCATAGTCCCTGAGTCCGGCGAATCTGCTCTCCATACCAGGCTTCGCTGGGGTAGCCGGTCGGTGATCATCCCCATCACGACTCGCTGCCCCGTCTCTGCTTCTGCCGCCTAGCGATGAAGCCTCTCCTGCCTCTTCAACTACAGGCAGGATAGGAGCCCCTTGGCCACCAGATTCTCGCCGTTCGTTCATTTTGGTTGTCGACAGGACGACATCTGGAACGTTGAGCTCGGAAGCCCCGTGTCTCTCGGATCTTCGGGCATCTTGCTGGGCTCGCTCGACGGTTTCGCGTGCTTCGGGTGACATTGGAGCGCTAGGCGGGGTTGGCGGAGGTCGGTAGTCGGGCATTGGCGGAATGTTGTTTGTCCCCGACCTCCGGCGCATACTCGAGCTCCAGCTGGCAACACGCTGTCTCTCCGCAGCCGCAGCTGCCTCGATCTGCTCCTGGTCCTTCCGCTGCTTCTCCCTAGTCGCCTCTTCAGGGGACATCGTGATGCCCTCGACGAAGTTGTAGAATCGGTCGCCGTACTGTTCAGGGGGAAGAGCGGAGATCTTGGTCTTGTCGCTTGTCAGTCCCTTCCAGAAGTGCTCAATCTTTTTGATCATTCCGTACTATACAGAAAGTTAGCAATGAAATGGCAAGCGTGGGAAGAAATCATACGTGAGTGAGGCAGTCGATGACACCCAGGTAGTAGATCTCGTCGGCTGGAGAGTTGTCCTCATGGGTCGCCTGGAACCCACCATCATCCTGATTGAAGATGTATCCCGACCTGCTGTGTCCCTCATCAAGCTCGTCTGGCATTTGAGCTGCAGTCTGTCCCATGGGCACTGGCCGTTCGTGCCTGATCATGTTGCGCAGCTCCCGCGCCTTGCGAGCGTTCTCCAGTTTGGAGGGTGTTCGCAAGAGAACGGATGGCGGCTCACCATCTTCTTGCTCGCCGCCGGGGTTGAAGACCTGAAGAGTCTTTCCTCGAAGATTCTCCTCGTTTCCTCGCTGTAAATCGTGGATACCGATCAACAGAGAGTAGTCCATGATTTTGAGCTTCTTCATCAAGACCACATCCTTTTGCAGCTGCTCCAAGAAAAGCTTTTTCTTCTGGATGCCGAGCTCGAGGTTTCGTTGTCTGCGCATCCAGTTGAGATCCTTCAGCGTCGCCCGAGGGTTCTTGTCCAGGTCCTCTTCCTTATAGTCGCGACCAATCGTAGATCCCTTCAAGTCGAAAGTGGTGTGGATGTCCCGGTGGGGAGGGAACAGATTGTTCATTACTACGAAGTGAATCTTCTTTCCGTAGGGCATCTTGACACGGTGGAGACCGTAGAATTGAGAGAGCAGCGTATTCGGGTTCTCGGTGACGTGATGGTAGTAGTCCTTGAGGACCTTGCGGAGGAACTTGTGCTCGGCGTGGTGGATCGTCTTGATGATGTACTTGTAGTCTCTGGAGAAGTAGAAGAAGCTACCACTCTTTCCAGGGGAGCCCAGTTCGGACAGGATATACTTGCCCGTCAAAGACATGAGGTAGTCTGCGGGATCCAAGCGAAATAGGCCGCGTAGATGTCGGAATACCCACGGCGCATAATCCTTAAATTTGAAATCGTACTTCGCCGAGGGCACCAACTCGTTTCCGGCACTGAAAAAATTAGTAAACTTGTAAAGCACGTGGGTAACACGGGACTTGACGTACATGTCAAAAGTCGACTTCTGCTTTGCCTCAAAGTCAGCATCGGTAAGGGGCCGGTCGAGCTTCGCGTTCGTGCGGGACACGGAGACACGGATGCCCGTCAACATGTTGTAGGCCGTGACCCAGTTGGTGTGATGTTCGTCGACCTTTGTGCCGACCAAGACTCTATCGTCATCCTCCTCTTCCTTTCTCTTCCTCTTACTCGCCCGCTTCTGTCGATAATGTTCGGCCCAGCGCAGGGCTTCCTCGTCGGGCACCACCTCGTCACGCGGTACATCGGACTGCATGGAGCGAGTATCTCTCCGCACCAGGTTAAGGGAGGCCCTACGCACTCTTTGCGTGGTGCTTGTGGGAGAGAAGCGACCGCTGGAGAAGCCCGTGTCGGAGCCATCTTTGGAAGCGCGGTTGGATTGGGTGCCGGGAACCTCGAGCGTATGTCGATGCTTCAGTCCGCCATTTGGCGGCTGCAGACCCGTCGATGTCGATCCGTTAGGGGTAGCACCACCGGATTGATAAAGAGGCGGAGAAGAGAAGCGTTGCGGTGATGCCGGTTGGTTGTTGGCGGTGGGATCTGGGGACAGCGATGCGTTGCTAGGTGCTGGCACGGGCGTTGTGTGGCCATTGGCAAGTCTACCTTGCGATGGTATTGCTGGAGGTGCGTAGTTGGGACTGCTAGTCCCGTTTGTTTTTATGGTATGATCGATGGATCCGGCCGCAGGCGATCCAATTGATGGCGGCGTGAGGTAGTTATCCGTCGGGCTGGATTGCTCGGTATCGGAAGAAGGCTTCTTGATGATAGTGATGGGCGGCGGCGGAGCTGTCCGGTCGGGCATGGTGACGGTGTGTCCATTTTGTAGCGGGTGTTTTTGATTCTTGTAATCGTTGTACTGGTCGTGGTGATGAGAGTCGTGGTCGTGATAATCAAAGTCTGCGCCTCCTCCGGCCCCTGCCGAGCCGTTGGGCAACGAGCTCATGCTAGTCGGCCTCGTCCCATTCATCTGATTGGGGATGGAATCAGAGACGTCTGAGGCGTGGGTTGATGAGGTTGAGCTTTCGTCGAAGCTATCATGGAGGTTGTTTGAGCGCGATGGGCGAAGTGGTAAAGTATGGGAGAGCCCGTCAATCGGGTGCTTGTGGCCAGACAGATCAAGCGTGTTATTTGGGTCGAGGTCCAGAAAGTCGGAATTTGGCGAGTAGACGGGGGCGTTCTCGCGGGTGAGGTAGGTGGGCATGGTCGGTCGGCCGGGGTTCGAGACGTCGGGAGGCTGGACGTAGCTGAATGTGGGAGTGGATGTGACGGGGGGTGTTAACACGGCTACTGCTACTATTCTGAGCAATGTCGTTATTTTGTCTCTAGTTTCTCCTGGTTGTTCGTGGGGGGTATCAGCGGCAGGATGGCGATATTATCGAGTCCCTGGATCGTTCGGTTGTTGGATTGAAAGAAAGAAAAACAGAACAGGCCGAGCAAAGCCTCAGCACATTGTTTTCCGATGAAAGAAAAAACAACGCAAAAGTCGAATCAATGCGGCCGTTCGTTCGTATGGATCGTCGAGGTTTGGGGGGTATCGTACTTTCGCTAGGCGTGCAATTGACGGGGGTCGACGTTGTCGCTGTCGATGGTGAAGATCGACGAGTACCAGAAGCAAAGATCGGAAATTAGGGACGATGCGTCGCTCCTGACTATACGGTCCAAGTCGTCAGGTCCGTCTTTGTCGGGATGGAGGACTAGACGAAGAGAGAGGAGGAAGCGTCGGGGAAGACGTGGAGGGTTGCGAGTCGAGACGGAGACAGAGACAGAGACAGAGACGGGAGAGGATAAATCAATGGCTCTGGCATGTCTCGACGGCGGCGCGGCGCATGATATGACGAGGTGGGTGGTGGTGGGCGGTTGGATGAAGAGAGGGAGTAGGAAGGAAAGCAGGGGAAGAGAGGTTTTGACGATGAGAGAGACTCAGGTCAAAGAAACGGCGAGAGCGCGCAAGGTTACGGGTCCACGTTGGTGGAAGAGACGACCTGCAGGGCAGTACGAAGTACAGATAGGCAGTGTCCAGTACCTTAAGGTACGAAGCTACGGGTCACAGGTGAGGTGGGCAGGCCTCAATAGCCGGGAGGGAGACGCTGGAGACACATCAGGAACAGAGGAACAGGCGGCCCGGTCCACTGAAAGAAAGCCACCAGGCCCCTGACGGTACCACTGATCACAACACAGAACCACTGAGAGACGCTGGTAGCCCGACGTGGACAGGACAGTGGAGGTTATCTTCCATTGAGAGTCCTCCGAGAGGTACGTACTCCAAGGTTTACCACCCCAAATTCACCTGAAGGCAGGATGTTCAGCAGAGGGGCGGGACTCGGAAGGACGCTGGCAATGAAGGCAGTTCAAACTTCAGTGGGCGAGTGGCAGAAAATGAAAGTGGGAGGCGGGTGCCCAAGTCCCCGGTACGTACTCTGATATCCACTGGCCGTCTGGATGTTCGCCCTGTTGCCCACTTCCTCCTGCGCCTTACCTAAGCTTCTGGATAGTTTGGTACCTTAGGCGGCAAGGCGCCATGTTCCTGAATGGAGGAAGGGGAAGGGGATGGGTGAGTGGGTGGATATGTATCTCTCCACCATTGATTGCGTGCAGAGATACTTGGAGATCCACCTCTCCAAATGAGAGAGAAATTCGCATCTCTGAGTGGCCGACGGCGGGGCTGCTGCTGTGGGGTCCACGGCCCAATCAGGCTTGGTCGCCCACCGGTCTCTAGGTCCTGTTGCTGGGGGCTCGAAATGAGCCGGCGACCTCTTCGCCTTTGTTCTCTGTGTCTGTTTCTCTCTGTCTCTCTCTCTTCCTAAGCCTTTCAGATTTCACTGTTCCTGTTCTCCTCCAAGTTACACCAAACATTGAAGCTAGACACACTTAGGTAATCGTCCGCCGCCAAAGCCCCCCAGTGCCCCCGTCTCGCTCTCGCCGATACGGTCACCGTTCACTGGTCAAGAACACACAGGGGCAGCAGCAAGTCCCGCCGCCCAGGCCCAGCCCCAAGACGTGCTTGACGCCGTGTTTCCGGTCAACTGGGTCGAATTCGACCACCAAGCCACGGCATCCAATCTCGACTTGTCAAGGGCCGTGGAAGGCGTCTCGAAGGGGGAGGGGGAGCCTGAAGGAGCCTCGAATATGCCACCAGTCGCTGATGGCCGTCGATACATCTCTTGAAGTTCTTCCGGAGCAACCTCTCTGCCAACCACCAAGGCCCGGACTCCATAAGACGTCAAAATCAGGGGACGGAAGACCCAGCGGTCCTTGCATACACGTACATAAGCGGTCCCCTTTTCCCACTCTCATGTCCGTACTATTCATAGCACTACCTCTGCTCCCCTTTCAACGACCTCCTCCGTGTGTACGTGGATATGCACACCAGTACGGAGTAGGTAGCATCGGATCGTCGACTGAGCCTCACTATGCATGCAGCTCCTTAATCGACCTGCCCTTACTTTGGCCCTTGGAAATTGGAACTCTCGAGTCCTCACATCCAATTCCGTATATCCCTATCCCATCACTTCATTATCAAGTCTCGTCATTGCCAAAGTAAGGTTTTTGCACTGATCCACCGTGAGTGTGTCTCACAGCCACACTCCTGTTGTGTTCCTGCATATCCCTATGCCGCCGCGAAATCAGACATGCATTCGATAGCACTTCGTTAGATGTTGATATTGTGCTCAAATGGCGGTACATCGATTACCACGTCTCATCCCCTTCCCTCGCCCCTTACACGGTCCCGTCCCTCTGCCATCATGTTACTATATTCAACTCGTTCCGAGATCTCAGGAGTGAGGGGCCGGCTTTCACCAAAGCAGAGGCCCAAAGGGAGCCGCGATGGATCAAATACCCCCGAACAGTTATACGCGTGACATGTTGCATACAGACACACTTGTCCAGAACCATCCCGTTCCCCCCGTCAACACCTTAATATCAACGACCTGCCACTCTGCATGCATGACCGCCCCGTCGGCGGGCCCCTTCCCCTCTCCTTCGTATAGGCAAGAGCAACAGATTGCAGAAAACTTTCCCCTGCGCAGCTGGAAGACCCTCGTTGTCGGCCTGCAGAGCGGGGTGCACCACCAAACGTTGGGACATTGCGCTCTCATCTCTTCCCTGGTCGGCCCCCTTTGATTGTCTCTGTTTGTCGCAAAGCTACGGATCCTCTGGGGTCTCTGTGCCCGAATAGACAACATGACGAAGAAGGCGATGGAGATTGTGGAAATGGAGTCGGCATGTGGCCTCGGCGCTCACGTCTATCGGAACAGAAGATTTACCCTCTCATAGATCTCATAGACACACATCCCCCCCTCGTAGTAGTACTTCGCAGAAGCGAGAGAGGCTCGAAATACGCAAAATGTGCCTTTACAGATGGCGATGTCGACTTTTGCCTTGCCTTACCTTCACTCGTCTTCCAGTCCACTGTTCATCTCATGATCTCACCACTAGTGCCGCGGGGGCACGGGAACCCAAAGAACCCCGGGCCCGATCGCCGTCAGCAGTTAATCGGGCCTCTCTTCATCTGCTTCGCCCTCTGTACCTATTTCCTCGAAATTCCCAATGTCGCCCTGAATACAGGTGTTGTGTTGCGCAATCCTGGGGCTGACCTAAGCACCCTTCAGGGGCAGCCAAGCATCTTTGTGAGAGACAAGAACCAACGAGTGCCCAATCACACATGGATCCGAGGCGTCCAAGTTGGTTTGTTCGAAATCAGCTTTTGGTCACCCGCGATTCCGCGGCAGCTAGCCAGCTACCGCATCCCGAGGGCCGCGCCGGACCATGACTCAATGAGATATCTGTATCCGTACCGATATGGATAGAGCTTATACATAGCCTCATCTTCCCTATCAAAAAGCATATCTCAAATGGTACCTTTCGGGCAAGTTCCTCTCCGAGTAGAACACTGTTGCCGAAGCCAGAGCCGTAGCCACCGCCATTCTTTTCAGATGTCCAGACTCAGTCCTCCAACCTTCTCAGCCAAGATCTTACCGCCCGCGGATCCCCAAGACGGGTAGAAAGATTGCGTATGCGTGCCAAATACGGATGCCAACTCATCAGGCGCCCAAGATCGTCCAAGGTCACATCACGCACCACAAATCACACAACAGACATCACACTCGCACCACACGCCCCTAAAAAACCTGACCGCCAGTCCCCCCCAAGGTTGCTGATAGATAGTGAGCTCTTCGGGAATTCGGGAAAGGTGAAAGGCACACACGCAGACACGCCCAGCTATTACTCGCTCACACACCGTCTGATGAGAAGCTAGCCAGCGTGCCAGCCCAAACCCCGTCGATCCTCTATACCGACCACCCATCCGACCGTGACGTCGTGCCAGTCCTGGCCGTTACAACTGCACTAAACATGCACAGTCCCTGATTTTCCCTGGATCGCCAGAACGTGGACGATCCCTTGGGACTGCCAAAAATGCAATGACCTCATGGTTCACCTGCCCGTCAATTTTGTACCATTCAATCCGCCGTCTAGGCTCTCACTTCGGCAGTCGAACCGCACGTGGAACGTCTTGTCTGGATTAGAGCAAAAACTTTGTACGCCAAATTCAATCTCTCACTCATTGCCGCGAACTTCTCCAGTAGCACAACCAGGGACGCCCTGTCACCGACCAGACACCCACCTCCCAATTCTTTCACCAGAAGAACCAAGAAAGCTGCTCACAGCCTCACACAACAAGTCCCTTCCCTGACATTTTCACTTTATAGTGCTCCGTACCCGCTCCGGGCTCCCGCGCCTGGGATGAACCTCCTTGGTTTACGCGCGTGCCCCTAGCCTTTCACTGCCGCTCGCACCCTCTCCTTCCCGCCACCCGTCGGAACAAGAGCGTTGTTCAGCAGTGCGAAATGGTTCAAAAATGAGGTGAATATTTTTTTTTTTAGTGGTTGCATCGAGAGCTTTGGCCCCCATCGCGGCACGGCACGGAAAGGGGCGCTTGCAATAAGGTCGTTCATGCTATGCGGTGCAAGCCTGGCCGTGGGCACAAACATGTTTGATGCCTTGAGTCCCAATACTCGTATGAGGGTGGTTATCGGCTGTACAGCGTCTCGTCACTCTGAGCTTCACTGAGTTGAAACTTTGAGGCATCTTGCCCGATATCTCACTCTTCCATTCTGTTCTTCAATATCTCCCGTCATTCATCTTCTCCTCATCTCGCCAATACGAGGCCTCCCGGTGCAGTTCGTAAGGACGGCGGCTCTTTCGGGATTACGATAATCTGAACTCATCGTTCCCCCTGAACCTAATTGAATCCTGTCTTCTCACCCCCAGAGCATGTTCATGCCCCTACGTGCATACATCAGAGCTCCAACGGAATCGTCCGTGACTGACCACGATTAAACAATGCAAATGAATGTTTCCGAGCACGTTCACCTACATCATCCTGCAAATTACAAACAACGGACCGACAAAGCTTTCCAGTTCCTTCAATTGCTTGGAATACCCAGGGATCATCATATTGATGCTGGCAATGGGATGAAAAAACAACAGACGATTGGCTCGTCACTTACCAGCCAACAAAGTCGCCGCCCTCCCCCTCATGCGCCGCCGAACAGCCTCTCTTTCACATGTTTGTTTTAGATCAGGAAAAAAACGCTGTTCCAAACATTTCACAGGTTCCTAGCACAGAGGTTCTCATGCGCAGCATCTGATGTGACGCACCTGTCACCAGATGGCATTCCTGCCGTCCTAGAGCTTATGCGGCCCTCAACTTGAGACTTGAGTTCATCTCATATCCTCGTTATGAGCCCTGCCTTCTGCCGAGCATGAAAATGACTATTGGTACTTGTAGGCACAAATGCAAGTTCCTTCCTGTGCACGTACTCCGAAGGATCACTTGCTGCCCGAGACCATGCATAACCAATGTATTATTGTGGTATCATGTGATTCCGCCTCTGCTCAGCTACCTACCTGCAGCAGCATATCCATCGGGTCCATGTCGCCGAAGACTCCCTCCAGACTCGCGAAATCAACATCGTCGAGGCCATAGTAATGACCAAATCCCTCCTCATGCGCGTCAGAATAGCATCCGTTGCTTGCGTTCCTTGCCTCTGTAGGTCCCGATATGATAGCTTCCGGGGCATCACCTTTCAAGACAGGATGGACAGGTTGCCCATCGAAAGGATGAGTCAACTGGCGGACATAGGTGAGCGCCGTCTCGAGGGTACAGGTAGACCTCCCTGAAGACAAGTTTCTCTGTATGGATTGAAGTGATTCTTTCCCGCCCTTTGAGTCAGCTTGTTCATCTTTCATCTTCGGAAGCCATGAAGGAAAAGTACTTACTGCCGAGGCGCTTTGCTATCCCAAATATGTTAGAAAGAAGGGGCTATGAAAGGGTCTGGTAGGAGCGATACTCACCAATGGGCCAACGGCTCCCTATCTGCTCCATAAACAGCTCCAGCAGATCAAGCTGTGAGGAGTAAAGGGACATCTCAGACGAGAGCGCCCTCTGCAAAGAGAAGATTGCGCCAACCAAAAGAATAATGTAGGAGCAAAGCGGATCAACGACGTCAAGGTAGGCGGGCTTCCATTTCCCAACGACTTCGGCCGCATCGTTCGCCTTGTCCAAGATCGAGTGCCAGTGTGCTGTGAGATCGGGAGCAGCCGCGGTCGACGAGCCGCTCATCTCCACGGCACAGATAGCGAGCAGCAAGTCGGAGCTGGAACTGTTAGCTTCACTGGTCCGATTTCTTACGGGCACGATGTCGAGCGATGATCACAGTTCTTACCAGGACCAGACAAGCAGGTTCTTCAACCGAGACGCGTGGTCTTCTCCCGTCTCGCCGACGCTCAGGTTCCTCACGGGCTGAAAGTACCACGAAGGCAACGCAAACGCCGTGGCGGCGCTGTCGTTCTCGAGCTCTCGCAGGCGGTTCTCAAGGCCTTTGGTGCGGCCGGACTTGACTAGGGACCTGAGTTCTGTGACGGATCTCACAAAGGTGCATACGCCGAGGTAGAGGCTCTGATTCGTACATGCCGGCTGTGAGAAGATGGCTTTCATCGTCCGCCAGTGTTTCGGATGCGTTGGTCTGCTCAGAGACTCGTGCTGCGACAGGTTCTGATTCTGTTCAGAGTCAAGAGGCGGCTGTATCAGGAACTCGGTGGGTGATTCAGAAGTGAGCTTGATCTTCTCTTCGAGGCGATTCGATATCGCGTTTGGTGATGCACTTTGAAGGCTTCCATGTTAGCACAGTAGAGCTGACTTCCCAGGCATGTCCGAGCATGACTTACGTGATGGCACAGCAGCAGGAATCAAGGCGGTAGATGCACCACCATACCCTGTTCCACTCCTCCATCTCAGCATCCAAGTCCCCCGCCTCGTCCCGTCGTCTTTCTGCCAGTCCATCCCCACCGCCGGCGTCCTTCTCGCTATTGAGATCAAAGGCCCTGCCGGACACGTTGCGCTGTCCTCCGAGGCACATCGTGTAGTACAAATCAGCCATCCTGGTGATCTTGGTGGTTTCGGTGACAGTTGCCCACGTCAAGGAGTCAGACATGGCGTGAAGGCACAGGAGGAAAGATGCTTTCAGTTCATCCACGCTCAGTTCCGAGTCGCTTGAGAGACTTTGAGCTCGGTTAGCAAAGTCTTCTGGTGACCACGGTATGAAGCCGGGGTTCGCGAAGCGTGAAGACACAGTGAACAGGGCCATTTTAAGGCGGGGTGACATGCGCAGCGCACTTCTGAGTCGTCTATCTGGGCAAGTCTCGAGTAGTGGATAGTTTGGTTGGATGTGTTTGAAGTATAGATTCAATCTTGAGCGCTCTGTCAGTTCCTCGTGTCTCACTTCGCGTTGCCGCATGGCTGAATGTTGTTCACTAACAAGTAAGTTTCCATCTCGAGGCTGACGTTCGGGCCGTATGATAGGGGTCTTCCTAAGACATGCTCAGACCAAGACATAAGGGACGCATTTCCATTAGTCCTTGTTCGATTCGAAGCTCTAGATGGTAATTCATCTAGACCGTCGGTGCAAATGGTTGTGTCTGTGACTCGGCCACCCAGCTCTGAAGAAGCAGTCGATTCAGTAAAAGCCGAGGGTTTGAGTCGTTTTGTGCATCCTTTTGGAGGTCCTGGAAAACGCCGTCATAAAGTATTAGGAAACAAGGTCGAAGCAACCTCTAGGACAACACAATTACCTGGTTTCCTTCTTCGTTTGGTATACGAACAACTGATGAGACGTGTACGGCAGTTCCCACACGCAGGACGGACTTGGTCACCTGTTCCACGACCACGCTGTTAATCAAAGCCATGTGGCTGGATGAGCACCAGAGTTTTCAAGCGGCTCAATCTCTTACACTTCGTTTTCTTTCTACGCAGATGATGTCAGTTCAGAAGCTTTCTCCAGACGGGGGTAGTTGGGAGTTGACGGATGGGAACGAACACTCTACAGTGGTCGCAGACTCGCAGCTTTCCCTCATCTGACTCCGGGGGACTCGAGGCATTGCCTGACGGAAGATGGTCGGCTGTGGTAATCCAAAACGACTCGGGAGACATGACGATACCGGGACTCAGTCGCTGTTGGCCTCCAATGCATCCGGATCCTGGATAGCTCAAGGACACCCCGAATTGTGACCTCGCGTCCTCAAAACAGACAAAGAATAAGGCCAGAAGTGTCCAAAGTCAGATGTGGAACAAATCGTCTGGCAAAAGACAAAAGATTTCCCAGAAGTCGAAGTTACTTGCTACAAAGTGTGTAGACGGACACGGCGTTTCGTGCTGTAGGTCGCGGGACATATGCAGAGGGCCCGAAGAGGCTTAGAGATCCCGTTTTTGCGGGGTAGCCTGTGGAGGTGCCGGGAGATCTCCATGGGGCTCTCGTACTTCCTCGCTTTCTGACGTCTTTGTTTCGGCCTCGGCAATTAGTAGCGGTCCGGGACTTTCTCCAGTGAATTCATTTTTGATGATCAAACAATCGCACTCCATTTGTAACGGTTTTGAGTCTATGTAAGCAACACATATCCATTACCAAGTTCCCGATCGTGCCAGCTACGTCGTATGAGCCATACTTACACCAAAATCTCCTTTTACTGTAATGCTGAGCTTCGCCACAGGATCAAATTATCTAACCACTAGACATAACATAGCACACTGATATTCCAAAGAACTGCAAATTTACATCCGCACACAAGCTTGCGGTATCTTGGCTAGCCAGTGCCTCATTCCTTGCTAGCGATGATCTCCGGCGTCCGTGGGCTGAACCGAACCAACAAGCCCGACTGCTTCGCAAACCAATAAGTTGTCACCTGCCACTCCGGCTCGCTCGACGCCCATTCAAGACTAAACTGCCTCAGTATCTGGGGCACTACCTTTCCGACTTCCATGATTGAGATGTTCTTGCCAATACAAGTACGGACACCAGCCCCAAACTACAGGGTACCGGAGCAAAAGGTCAGCACATTCCTTCGAGAAGGCGAAACGGCGTCAACTTTATCAGGAAGCTTCATACGTACACTCATGTTATGCCGGTCCATTGTCTTGACAGCTTCAATGTCGTCGCTGAGCCAGCGCTCGGGTCTAAAGGTATCGGCATCATCGCCAAAGATGCTGCGGTCGCGGTGGATCACGGCCGCGTTCATGCCTACGATGGTGCCGGCCGGTAGGTGGAACCCCGAAATTTCGGCGCCCGTCTTCGGGACGATGCGTTCGAGGGGGTAGGATACGCCTGGGTGCATCCGCATGGATTCTTTGATGCATGCTTGGCTGTGTGTTGTCTCAACGTTAGGAGAGTGGATCTCAAAGGCCTAGGTTGATGAATGGACTTACAGGTATACGAGCTTTTGGCTCTCCCCGAATGTGACCACAGGAGATAGTTCTCCTTCTACTTGTGCTTCGTCGATTTCCTTCTGTAGAATCTCATACACGCGCTTGTCGCGCAAGATATAGTAGAAAAGAGCTCGGAGGGCGATACCAGTCGTATCGCTGCCAGCCAGCCTTGTTTGATTGAATAGTCAGTGTAGGCCACTTTGCAAAGTCTTCTTTCTTCCTTACAGATTGCCCATTAAGTGGTTCATCATATCTCGAGTACTGATGTGTTCACCAGTAGACGCTTGCTCTCGTCGTAAATACGCCAAGAAATCTCCTCGTTCAGAAGAGTCTTGTTTGGCATCGTAATCTTCGAGGCCCTCCATCACCATCTTTTCCAGTTGAGGTCAGCTAGACACGCTCAGACAGAAGATTCCAAGAATGCACGTCTCGTGCTCGTAACTCACATTCATAACTATTGGCAGCGGATCTGGAACTCCGAGTTTCTCCATCACTTTCCTCAACGTGATGTTGCCCAGGAGATACTTGTGCAAAGAAGGCACCTCCCCGATTATTCCGCCGTACATGAGGCCAGTCTCGATGCCAGAAATAACATCATTGACGTCGGACCGGGTTTCCATGAATCCAAAGCGGCGGGAGAACGTGATGGCGCCAATGACGTCGAACGCGTACCACTGTACCCACGTGCCCAAGTCGACCACCTGCCCCTGCATATCGGTCATGGCATCCGTGAACATTTTCGTACAGGGGTCCACCAGATACTCGAGGGTTCGAATAGACGTCATGGAATACTTTTGTGCCACTGGTCGCTTGAGAGCCTTGTGCATTTCTGGGTCGATCGCCGTGAACAAACTCTGCATCCTTTCGTCTTCGTAGATAGCGTCCAACGTGTTGTAAAAGTTTGACTGAGAAACCGCTGTGTTAGATTGTGTTAGATTGACATTCTTCTTGTTGTACGTACCTTGATGAACTTGGAATTTATGCCGTAGATGGTTTGCAGAGCTGTCGGGTCTGAAATATCAACCACGTTGGGGGCAGTTCGTACGACTGGCCCGTACTTCTCATGAAGTATACGGTAGTCTGAATGGGCGTTGCCCTTCCAGACGAATAACACGCGCCATAGCGGAGTAAATCTAGCAAAGAAGGGACCAGGAACTTTGCTGAGGCCAGGGCGGAAAGCTACTCGCAGTGAGTTGGCAAGGAAGAAGAACAGGATCAAGACGAGCCCAAGTGCAATATGGCTAGAATCGATGGATAACATGGTTGCGCTCAATGACAGTTGTAGCCTGAGATTGCGGTTGAGTTATCGTAGCGTGAGTCGTTGGTCGACTGGCCATTTATACTCTACATTGCCATAATGGACTGGACAAGGGGCACTATTTCGAGCTCGGATAGGTATTGAGCTGTCCTAGTCTTTGTGGAGAAATCGAGGGATCTTGGCTCGAGGCTTCTCCACACTTCGCTGCTCGCACCGGCACATCACAACTTGCGGGGCATCCAGAGGATACTCCGGTGTCTCAGGCCTCGCATAGCTGCCATTCGGGAACTAAAAGACATAGGTCACATTATCAAAAATCACACTAAGAAGACGCGCTCATTCGAGTGGTTTCTTGCCTTGCCTTAGGCTTTAGTGTACAATCCTTGCCTACGAATAATGCTAGCGCTAAGACCAAGGGAATACAACGGCTGGCATATGGCTCTTGCGTATTTTACAGCATCATCCAGATGTTACCGCTTGATCGCGATGGATAGGACATATCCTACTCGATTATATCTATATCATAATCAAATATAGATCAAGTGAAGATACCTTGAGGGTCCCGGCGGCTCGTGGAACTTGCCAACACAGCTGCCGGCACGGTTTCCACTGCCGACCTCCGGAGCAATTGGGCCCCACCCGGTGCGACACAGAGGTTCCTCCGGACCCACTTGAGGATGCTCCGGAGCCTGCATCTATCGGTCATCACCTACGACCGAAAGGCCGTCATTAATGCTTACAGCTTGCGCTTCAATATCGCCTCCGTCATTGGCCTACAAATGACGTTGATTGACAGGTCACTTGACAGCACTTTCTCCAAGTTCTTTTTCAGCTGCACAGGCATTTAATTTGGATTTTGTTTATGAATGTTAAGGTTCATCGCCGCGCACACGTCTGTCTCATCATTCATGAAAATTGATCTGTAACCACAAGCGTAATAACGCGGAATCCGACCGATGTGACAACTTAATAGTTCTTCACGCTCTGTGGAACGATGCCAATGCCATTTCAATGGAACCACGCCTTGGCCATATCATTGAATTGATCGAGCAGATACGGAGGCCCATCAATACCGTTTGTCAGCTATTTGTATTGCCACAAATACATAGATCGCAGGCGTTTTCCAATCGTCATATTCCTTCTTAAAGCGATCGCTAAACCTATGCATTCGCTTTCATCCTTGACAGACTAAGTGCTTAGAGCATCTCCCCAGCTGGGTGAGTCGTTATGGACCGCCACTTCCTTCCTAAACATATGGAGCATTTTGATCCAAAAATACATATGAGGAACATTCTGAACTCAGACTGAGATTGTAGTCTGGAATTACCTTCGCCCATGTCAAGATGCGTTGGTTTTATGACCTTGAAGAGCCTCGTCTTGACTGTGGGCTCACGATTCCCGAGCGAACCTCGTTTTCGAGAACTTCAGTGTGATTTCACGCCGACAAAATTAGTCTGTGAATTACTTTTAAGACTCCTGAGCACCTCTGAATGGAGCCTATCAATATCATCGGGTTTGCTACGGTAGCTACTAGGTTGGGGCGACGCCGCATGCCCGCCCGCTCGCTTCAGGTACAGCAGATTTCTTGGCGTGAACGCCACGATAACTTGTTCTTGAGCGAAAGTGCGCAA